GGGGAAGTGGGTCTCCGAGCCTTTAAGTTGTTTTTGGGAGACGAAGACATTTTGTAGTCGGAATTATTTGCTTCGAAATCTAGGGATGAAGTGCTGGAGTGAAATATTAATGATACATTTGTTGCTGTTTCATGGGAGAAGGTGTTTTCCCCTCCAGCGACAATATCGAATCTTGGCAAAAACAGAAATGGGGGAGCTCTGACTGAAGCCATTATGTTAAATTTTTTTCGAATTCATTAATAATATTTTTTGCAACAAACGGGGCGTCGAAACACTCCTCCCGTTTTGTGTCCTTTGTTTCCATCTGGTATGTTTGGGGTAGTGATTGGTTGCTAAAAAGTAAGTGAGCCAGAAAGAGGTGTTATCTTCTCGGTTTAAAAAAATTGATTTTAAAATTTTGTATTTAATTTGTTCTATAACTTAAAAAACTAATTTTAAAATGTTCTATTTAATTTCCTTTATAACTTTAAAAATATACCATGACAACTTTAAGTGAAAATTCCCAAAAATGAAAGATATAGCTGATTTAGTGTGAAAGCATCAGGCGATGTCGGATGGCGCCAGCAATTCTACTGGGGCGGCAAACCATAAAATCGAAAGCGTTTTCTGGTGTGGGCAACATACATACATGAAGACACATTTGAATGTTTGTGGTGACGTCAGTAGCAATTTTGTTTGACTATAATTTCTAAACAATATCTGAAATAATTGCGTTTAAGGTAGTGAAAATAACAAGCAGGTTGTTTTGAAATACATTATACATAAAAATATCTTCTATTTACAGATTTTTAGACATGAGGATACAAAGAAAAGGATAAAGAAACAAAATTTCTCGAACCCCAGTTTATTTCTCAGTTAGTTACGTGACCCAAATGTCAAAGACCAGATAACTGAACGTCTATAACACATTAAAGCAACGAATTCCTACAACGAATAAGTTGAAGAACATTCTTTTACTAGAAAAATGTGTTCTTAATAGACGAAATCGGTCTACCAGAACTCAAGATAAATCAAGGAGAAACCCTATAGTCGAGGGCCTCGACTGTAAGATACCCGTTACTCAGGTCACCAATTTCAAAATTAATATGACTCCATCTAATGGCGCATTTCAAAAATTTTAGGAGGCGCCATCTAACGAGCTGCAGTGCAAACAACAGTTTTTTGCTCTTTTCCGCTCTCCCAAATATGCCCTTACTGGTAAAAAATAGAATAATGAATGCGGGCGAAAAGCGTATTTTAAACTTAAAAAGAATGTAGCATAATCAAAATAAAAATTGCATTTTTTGTTTTTATGTTGCGTCCGAAATCATTTATTATTGTTTGGTGTAAAAATCGGTTTGGCATTCGTATGCTTTTGTGTTTGTCTGCAGTTCTATAAATTGCAGTTTGCCATTTTTGTCCCTTCCAAAATGCATGCAGTTTAGTTTATTTCTAAAACTTACTCGATAGATTTACCTAAGCAATGATGATTCAGAGCTATCCAAAACAAAAATCCACTTCTTAGCCTAGTAATGCATTTCAATGTGTATATGCAAATATCTTAAAAAACATTTTAATGGTATTTTTAAAACGTATTGACTTAAATAACAAAACCCCCAAAAAAGAAACTTGATTATTCGGTTTGATAAACTACAAGTATTTTGTTTATAAAGGCAGATTTTTACATGGAGCTAAATAGGATTTACATGAATTTCAATTGATTTTATTTATTTTATACAAAAGTCTTCGCATAATTATTGTAAAATGTACAGATATAATTATACTGTTGTTCGGTTTCCGTCTCCACCAAGTTTTTGAACAATCTATATAAATACAAAAGGAAAAACGTTAGGTTGATTAATACGTTAGTACATATGCTTAAATATAACGCATTTATAATTTTATATTTTGGGAAACACGGTATGGCATTTTTTTTTGCGATACATCGATATCAATGAAAACGTGCGCTAGTGTGCCTCGAGTATAATAATAATCGATTTCGCCCACACGCCATATGTGAACGCGAATCGATAGCTAGGTGCGATAAGTCGCGAGCCCATCCCTAGCAATAACCAGCTTTCATACCTAAAATAAAAAGGACTGGAGGAATCACTTTCCTGACTTCCAATTTTACGTAAATCATGTCGAGCTATATTGCCAGGAAAGGCCCAGCAGTTCTCTGTAAGTATTGGCTCGGAAAAATACACGCGCCCGATGTGCTAAAACCCGCAAGGCACAGCGCCAGAATGTGATTACGTAAATATAAAATGTTGATTTTTCCCTGCAGCTAATCTGGGTAGATGGGCCTACAATCTTTCCGGATTCAACCAATACGGTAGGAGAAGCAAATAGACACAAAATTTCTAGCCCCTCATCATCTGACTACGGCTTTTACAGGTCTGCACCGTGACGATTGTCTGTACGAGAACGAGGACGTGAAAGAGGCCGTGCGCCGCCTGCCCAGCAAGTTGTACGACGAGCGCAACTACCGCATCATGCGTGCCCTCCATCTGTCCATGACCAAGACGATCTTGCCCAAGGAGCAGTGGACCAAGTACGAGGAGGACGTCAAGTACCTGGAGCCCTATCTCAATGAGGTCGTGAAGGAGCGCGAGGAACGTGAGGACTGGGAGAAGATTCACTAAATTCTCTGCACCCACTTCTTTGGACTTGTAAATGTTGAAATACATAGCTTAGATAAATACCAAATTGGCTATGAAATCTAATTTCTGCTTGGTCGATTGGGAGTGGACCCTTTAGTTTATTCAATGGGATTTGTTAATCAAAGATGAGCTCGGAAAATGATGTATTACTGACGATGACAAACTTATTTCTTATACAAGGCTCCGTGCTACCTTACCTTTTGCATAAATGGTAAATTTAACAGCGATCCTAAAACTGGCACTCGTCCCAGGAAGTTAATGGCCACGGGGAAGAATCCGCTGCAAAGAAACAAGTACAATATTTAAGCGGGGAGAGATTATAAGTAAAATGTTAGATTTCTAGATTGTGTTCGGAAGGCCATCTTTCACGTCTTAAACTGTGCTGAAAAGAGCCAATCTTTTCTATTCCAATTGGGTATCTATTCATGGTCAGGATTAAGTCACTCCAATCCGCCAATATTCTTTACCCAAAGGTCCAGCAGAGTATGTTTGGCCACACAACTCTTGCGTCACTTTTAAATAAATAAAGGATATTTTTGTGTCAAAATTTGACAAAAATCCAAAGCAGTAGTGCTCTTTCGTTTATGAATATTCAATCATATTTTCACCAAAATAGAAAAAAAAAAGGTAGTAAAACACAAATAACCTCTTAAGACATTTTTCGATGTTAAAATGCAAATATAAAAAAAATTCCCTCCGCAGTCTTTAGGTTTCCACCTAAAAAAAATATTGTTTGGTTTGTTTTTTGGCGGCAGTCACTTAGAATAGTCGCACAAAAAGAAAAAAAGAACACCAATAAATGTAAATTAATCTTTGAAAATCTACACTGATTTTGACTTTTTGATTTTTCTTTTTTTGTGAGAAGTCACTATGATTCCGAAATCACAGACAAAGAAATGAAGATGCTAGTAATGATACAAACAAAGTTTAGGTATGTGTTATGTTAATAGCTATATTTATAGGGCAAAGCAAAAAGTGCGTAGGAAAAGACGGACGGACAGACAAGTCTGCTAACTGAACTTGATAATAAACAATAATAAAAAGGGAAATGTCTCCTTTTCTTTGTTGCAGACATCCAATCAATTATAATTCGCTCTGCAATTTTAAAGAACTTTGCGAAAGGTGGAATGGGAATCTTATAAGATCTTTAAGATCATTTTGAATATACCTATGTATGTAATTAGCTTTAAAACCAAATAAAGGGTGTTTGTTTTTATGGAAGCTATAGAATAGGGTATACCCGTATGATCTGTAATAATTGTCAGCATTACTTCATTGTTCTTAGAGAGATACCATGTAAATATTAAAATTACATTCAAGGGCGTAGCCAATCGGCTTAAAGAGCACTATTTTGAGACGGAACCAAAAAACTACCGATCTACAAATGTCTTTCCTAAGTTTTGAATAGAATTCACCTATGAACTCATAATTTTAAGACCAAACCAACTGAGATTGAAAAAAGTTCTTGATAGCCAAGACCACGCAAAGTGGAAAGACCGCGGACTTCGGATAGTATGAAACTTAACCTAAGTGTTGCTAACCTGAACAGGGCGAAAAATCCATAGGATTCAATAATCATGCCAATGATGGGGAAGCCCAGTAGGACGATTACGATTCCTCCGAAGAAGGCTGTAGTTCCTTTGACTTTGTGCCTTTGGAAGAAAAAGCGTAGGGTGCGCTCCACACCAATGACACATCCCAGGCCCGATATGAATAGAATCTGTGGGAAGAGGCAATTGCTATAATTATACAGCTCACGGCGATGCGATGCGGATGGGGACGTACATTGCCTATGGCGAGCAAGCCTTTATCGAACAGCAGCAGCATGCCAAGGAACAGAAACGAGATGCCAAAACCAGCCAAGCCGATGCCAATTTCTGTGGAAGGTTTTCAATAAGCGTACGTTTGAATTTAGGACCGGATTGCCACCGGCGACTTACTCTGCAGATCTGTTATCTCAATCATTTTGTGTTTGGGTCTGCTTTAATTTGATGGCAAAAAAATCCACGTAAACACCAATTCAATTTTAAAGCACGAACAGCTGATTTCCACTTTCATTTAAAGTTTCGTGCAAACGAACGTAAACAATGATTGCAGGGCTGCAATTGGGGCAGTGTTGTAAAGCGAGCGTAGAACCAATAAATTAAAATGAATATTATTGTGTGAAGTGAAAAATATTTCCTTTGCTTCGGTGTAATTTCAAAGTCGGATATACGTTTTTTCTATTTCTTTAAAAATGAGTAAAATATATGAAACAGCAATGTAGCAGATGACGAATTTGTGTTCTATTTTCACTAGTTCCGCGATATATTTAACACGTATATACACATTTCGATAGACTCTTCGATAGTCCCTTACCAGCCCCAGTCGTCACATCTCTAATTTATTTTCACACGCCATTTTACAATAAAATTTGTAAGGATCTGACGCTATATTCATTCAGTCAGTTTGTGCACAAGGAGTATTGAAACTCCTGCAACCGTTTCGATCGAAAAGAGACCGTTTCCAACGTTTATTTGTCATGGAGCGTAAGTATAGCCGTATATCCGTTGGTTGTGCGTGAAAACACTGAAATATGTGCACTTTAGGTGGCGGTTATGGTGGTGGTGGTGGCGGTGGTGCCGGACAGGGGTATAATAATTTCGCCGTCCCTCCACCAAACTACCAGCAAATGCCAAGTAAAACTGGTAACTACAACGAGCCACCTCCGAACTACAGCAAACAAGGCGGTGGTAAGGCGTACGCTTATTCCCAGCATCGAATGCTGCTCTATATCGACACATTTATGTTTAAGGTTATGATTCCGGTCATCGTGGTTCTGGCGGCAGCGGAGGCGGCGGCGGTGGTGGCGGCTCATGGAACGACAGAGGAGGCAATTCCTACGGGTATGTTATTAACTATAGCTAGTATATCGGTACAGATACAAATCACGGGTAGAGTTCCGTTCCACGGAGGTTATAAGAGCTATAAGCAGTGTACGAATTAAAACATTTATGAATCAAATCAGCCTAATCAACGAAAACCGAGCCAAAGTCTGAAACATAATGTGTAATGTAATTAAAGATAATCCGCTTTGACAAAAAAAACGTCAGAAAGAATGCAACCGATGCGAACCTGCGTCGAAGTGTGAAATTGCTATTTGCAACTCGAGCGAAATAATTCGGACTGGTGAAAAAAGCAGAGAAAAAATCAGAGTGTTTTATCTCTACAGCTGTTCTAAAAACAGTATCCTCCAATTTGGTTATTTATTATTAACACGGCATGTCTGTATATTTCATGTATGTATGTTCTTTTTTTGAAACGCCGACCATAACATTAGAAACTGGTTTTATAAAATGGTTTGATCATGCAAAAGTATTATATGGTAAATCGCCCTGGGTATACAAATAACGGCTGGATCGAAGAATCTATGAACTAGTGTTGGCTGTTTAAGCCGTTGGAATCGGTAAAACAATGTTGGCCCAATGAAATCTATAATAATTCCTTGGTTCTTGCATAGAGAATGGCGCACATTAAATTATTATTGTTTCGCTTATACCATATTATACACCCCTTTGTGAACATTTTCAATGACACATTACAAGCACAAACATTTCTGAAATACACAAAAAAAAAAGTGTGGGCCAATAAAATTAAAAATAAACAAAGAAGTGTAAAAGGCATGAAAAGTAATATGTCTTTTGTCTAAAAATATGAAGATAATGAATAAATCAAATAAACCAAGAAATTCCCATCGATCATAAAATTATCTCAAAATAACTATTATTCATGCCAAAGCTCGAATAAAAACAAGAAATTACTCAAATACTAGAATAAAATACATATAAAATTGTTCGGAGGGGCTGGTTTACTTCTGATTTTGTGTAATCTGTTAAAAATATTTACGTATAGTCCCATAATATTATATCAATTTTAACAGATACTTGATAATATAGTAGATAAAAAGAGAAAATAACAAGTTGAATATAAGGTATAGCATAATATATAATAAATGTAGTCTAAGATATGTTGTTTATAATCTTTTATCACATATTTATCAGTTTAGGAGTTATATTTTTTTATGTTTACTTTTTTAATGTTACTTTTTTGTTTAGTTTTAGTACTAACACCCATTGACTTCGAAAAAGATTTTTTTAAGGCCTACCTACCATAAGAAATACTAATGAATTTTTCTTATGGTTTTATTGTAGAGTGTACATTATAAAACACAATAAATATTGTGTTTAATATTGATCGTATTTATGTATAAGACATAAGCTGGACTTTTTGAAAGGGTTTTAGGAGAGATTGTCTTGCATCCCTTTCGTTTCTATGCGTTTGGATTTCTCTAAGGAAAACTGTTTACAATAGAAATAAAGAGTCATAGAGTAAATGTTTAAGAATAAATATGTATACATAAACTACGATGTCCTCCTTAGCAGTTTGATCAGTGACTGTCACACTTGATTCTGGATATTAAGATGGAAAAATGAATATCCGCTGTTTTACTGTCGTCACTGAACGAACTGTGTCGGGTGCTATTAAGATGGTATTAGATACCATAATGTCGAAAAGCAATATGTATTAAAGGGATCCTAGGCGTATACCTCACCATACTGCATTAAAACCAAAATCAAAGCATTAAATAAGTTATTCAATATCCTCTTTTAGAAATGGAGGCGCCAGCAAGGACAGCTACAACAAAGGTAAAAATAATGCAAATAATTGCAATCATATCGAGTAATGTATACCAATATTTTTCTACATATTGAACTTGAACCTAAAAACTAAAAGAAAAAACCGAACCGATCAGAATGAAACAAAATCTAGCTCCAACGCAAAAAAAAATATGAAAAATCGCAGCAAAAAATAAGCAAACAAAAATGTTCCTTTCCTGGCGGCATTCTTTGTGGGGGTTACCCATTATAAATCCGTCGAAAAGCCCACATGGCGTGGCCTTTACAGTGTGTTTAGTGTACTTCAAACTCGTTGATCTTGTTTGATCAATTTTGGTTAACGACCGACTTGGTCTGCGAGGGTTACTTAATTTTAAATTTCTGTGAAATGTTAAGTGTACGTCAAAGCGTTGTCATGAATTAGGGGCTTAAGGTGCATTGGTCGGGCTTACTCCTGGCAATTCGAGGTCATTGCTATTGGCCGGGTCACCTGTTTGTGTTCGATGTACCACCAGTACCAGTCTAGCTCTAAAAACTCGAAACCCACTTAGAGTGTCACCATGTCTATCCCCGAGCCAAATAAGGTTTGGAATACACCTCGAAATTCTGGTTTCAAATACAAGTACAAGCGCAGAGACGCTGTCCTGGTTAATATGTTAATATCACGGAACAGCTAAGGGATAGAATTCGTCATTACGCGGGCGTGTACTTTAAAAATCTGCGGTCTTCACCTTCGTTGCGTTTTCGGTGGTTGAACTGAGGGGAAAAATTCCGAAAAAAAAATATGTCCCATTCTAAGCTGTTCTCTGCCTTGTCAGCGGGTTCTAATGTTCCGTTCGCCTTTGTAGGACCCGGAGGATACTCGGGCGGCGGCGGTGGAGGAGGCGGCGGTTCCAGCGGCGGCGACATGATTACCCAGGAGGACACTATTTTTGTCTCTGGAATGGATCCATCCACCACAGAGCAGGATATTGAGACTCACTTCGGAGCTATTGGCATAATCAAGGCAAGTAATCATGGGACTGTCCTCACAGGCGGCCAGCTCTTTTGACCACTGGTTTCTTTTTGTACTTTGGCTCAACAGAAGGACAAGCGTACAATGAAGCCAAAGATTTGGCTGTACAAGAACAAGGAGACCGGCGCCTCCAAGGGAGAGGCTACTGTGACCTACGACGACACCAATGCGGCGCAGTCCGCCATCGAATGGTTCGACGGCCGCGACTTCAACGGAAATGCGATCAAGGTCTCGCTGGCCCAGCGCCAGAACAACTGGAATAAGGGCGGCGGAAGTCGCGGTGGATTCGGTGGTCGCCGGGGCGGCGGTGGCGGCGGAGGTGGTGGCGGAGGAGGAGGCGGCGGCGGTCGATTCGATCGCGGAGGCGGTGGCGGCGGCGGCGGACGCTTCGATCGTGAGGGTGGCGGTGGAAGAGGCGGCGGAGGAGGAGCTGGCGGCGGCGGTGGCAACGTGCAGCCCCGCGATGGCGACTGGAAATGTAATAGCTGCAACAACACCAACTTTGCATGGCGCAATGAGTGCAACCGGTAAGCAGATCTAAGATATTTAAACACGTGTAGTAAAATTGTTCATTTAATGCTTATACCGAACCGAATACGTTGCATCTTTAATAATTTTGACTGATCCCTATTTTATTTACAGATGCAAGACGCCCAAGGGCGACGATGAAGGTTCCAGCGGCGGTGGTGGTGGTGGTGGCTACGGAGGTGGCGGCGGCGGCGGAGGCTACGATCGCGGAAATGATCGCGGATCCGGCGGCGGTGGATATCAAAACAGGGACCGCGGCGGCAACTCCCAGGGAGGCGGCGGCGGCGGCGGCTATTCGCGCTTTAATGACAACGGCGGTGGTGGCGGAGGAGGACGTGGTGGACGAGGTGGCGGAGGAGGCGGCGGAAACCGCCGCGAAGGAGGCGGACCCATGCGGAATGACGGCGGCATGCGTTCTAGACCATATTAAGATCATGCAATCCGACGGCACCTATTTTTTCACATTTACGTATTAATTGTAGCGAGTACCCTTTTAAATGTACTTTTAAATTTACCAGTCAGAGCTAAATATAAATACCAGCACATTTTCATTTCAACCGATTTCTAGCCAACACGGACACGGTTATCGCTCGTTTTGACTGAACTTATATATATTGTAATCTAATTTAACAATTGTAATTGTAACATGGTACATAAAAATAAAATATATATATATATAGCTCATATATATATATATAACTTAAACCAGGAAAATAAGTCATTCGTGAATATGGTGAATTTTTGGGTGACTTGGAATCCGAAGAAATCGTATGATGATAAAAACGATAATGGTAAGCCATATTATTTTTCATTTTGGGGACAAACAATATGCAGCTGTTTCCGTTAAAAGTGTCGTTTTTAACAAAACGAATAATTTTATTTTTAGGCATATTCTCATATGCAAATTGTAATAAGAAAACTTTAACAATGATTACTTTTTTTATAAAAACAAAGAGGCTTTTTAGGAAGTCAGGAGTTAAAATTATGTATGATTCATCCACTGTGATGACTAACTTGAGATTTTTTAGTCTGATTTGCCTTACACCAGAATTGGGGAATCGCGTAGTTCAGATAAGGTATTTTAATACAGTTTTTATATTATTTTCTTTTATTTTTAATATACATAATTATATTACAGTTCATCTTTCTCTAGCAGGGTGTAGCGATGCTTGGATGGGCCAAGTTCCTTGAATTTTGACTCTGGCGGTGAAGTACCTTTGCCGGTGTGTGGGTCAGGTTCTATTTCATTTGTGGGATCCGGCCCATAATGAAACTCCCTGCAGAGAAGAGACAGGTAAGCTTTCTTGGATATACAGTGATAGTTTCAGTTCAATTACCTGTGTAGCTTGCCGTTGTAGAGATCCTGTAGAAACTGCTTTAGCTTTCCTGGTGAGTACATGTCGCTGAAGTGAGGGAAAAGATACATGTGCTTAAACGAGTCGATGGCAATCAAGGGCAAGTCATCCTCAGATTTCCCCAGATGGTGAAGAGGATGCGCAAATCGCTTGCCATCCGCAGTCAAAAAGTTGACGTTTTCTGCAAAGTTTGATATATACAAAAAAAGATTTAATTTAAGTAAATGAATTGAAGGAAGTGTTTTTCATCTTACGTTTCTCATCCAACAATTGACGCTCAATTATTGATTTGTAATCCTTAATAGAGTTAAGATCATCTGGGCGGTGGAAGAGAATGAGGAATGGCAGTCCCTCCTCCGTTAGTTCTTCGGCATTCTCAAAGGTAATTTCTCGTACAAGCGGTACACACTTTTCCTGGACCCAAATTTTTAATTCGTCGAAATTTTGCAGGCCTCCAGTGTATGTCTCATCATTTTCATGAGAAAGGGCCACATCGGGTCTAAATACTATGATGGGTGTGCCTAAATCAACCAAATTTTGATGTCAGTATCGAAAGGCATCGCTTTTTAAATTAGTTGGGGGTTACCAGGAGGATGCATGGCTTGGGCGGCATCTCCGAAGCCCACGTGGAACTGGCAGTCCTCCTTTAAATTTGTAGCCACTTTGCGGAAAATGTCGTACTCAGGCTGGTCTCTACGGTCAAAATAGCCCAGGATGAGGCGCTTCTTTGAGTCCAGATTCTCCAAGTCCTTGAGGGATTTGAACTCCTGGATAGGGTCTTCCAGCTGCTTCTTGACGAACTCGAGGAAGGCGTCTGCAGAACGCTGGCCCCGGTACTCGCGCTTGCTGAGCTGCCCATTGCGGACAATTTTCAACGTCGGGTACTTGTTTATGTGAAACCGGGAAGCGATTGCAGTTTCCTTGTCGCAATCAACTTTTCCGAGCACCACCTTACCAGCCTCTGGAAACTCTTCTTTTATCTGTAAAAGAAGACTCAATTATTAGTCATGAATTTACACAGTCTTCAATTATGCTCAAATAAAATTCATTCATCTTATTCAATTTAATTTCAGTTTTTACTTCCGATCTATTTGACTCACCTTATCTGCCGCTTCCCCGAATATAGGCGCTAAAATATTACTAAACCGACACCACTCCGCATAAAAATTAAGGAAAACCAATTCATTAGACGCTGGAAGAAACAAAGCGTGTTTAATTTTATAAGCACCAAATTGTGTATGAAACTTTATGTGTATTCTAAATACGGCAAACTAAAGGCGATATGTGTTCTACATATTTGTAGAGTTTAATTTCGATTTTATAAAATACATTTTCAATTAAAAGGTTTAGATTTTTTTCATTTCATAATATAGTTATTCTTTAAGTTTTTAATAGCACTCCCCAGAACGTGTGGCAAGCTTCAAGGAGTAGGTAATTAAAGCCTAAAAATACTATAAAAGATAGAATAAATGCTTAAGATAAAATACTACGAGATATAGTAGACATATATAGTCCTGAGAAAACGTAAAGTTCCTAAAAACTCAATTAACGCTATTGAAATTATCCTACAATAATTTAATTTAAAAATAGTTTCAAATAATAAAATAGAATCGATCACATTTTGTTATTTTAATTTACCTTCTATATTTAAATATGGACTGGTTAAACTTCCAAAAAGGTTTAAATATAAAAACATTTAAAGATATAACTATGCATATAAAAAGCAATGTCAGGCAAAACGTAGCTATCAAATCAAAGGACAACAAACCCTATAAAATGTTATTTTAAATAGTTTCACACTATAGGTCGGAACCTAATCTGAATTCGGTTCGGTAGTCACAGAAATCAACAAATTAATTATTCCTTGGTTGAAATAAATTGTAAGCTAATCCAATTTAACGCTGAGTGTTACAATTTGATAAGGATTGAATCTTAAACATTGTCAAACTACAAATTTTTAAATAGGTTTAGGAAACGGTTGTTAACTCTGTTAATAAATTCCGGAGTTATGAAAGATTGTTTTGAAAAATTTGTATAAAATTATATTGGCATAAACTAAGCAAAAGTCAAGTCATGGGATAATCAAATAATTAGCACTGCAAGGTGCAACCTGTATCTCTTATCGTTTGGCCCGGATCTGAAATGAACCACTCTGCTCTACTGCCATTGAGATGTCTAATGCTTAATTTGGCGGATCGCAATCCACCGTGCAATCGAAATTAAACCCAAAACAATTTTATTCAGCTTCTCTCATCTTCTCCTTTCGCAAATCGCCTTAAACGCAAGTTACCACGTTGGCAGTGCCGAATTGAACGAGCCGCTGATTTTGTTTAGTGACACGTCAATGGATGTCAGTTAATTGATTTCCAGCCTCGCTGGCTGCGTATCGGTTGGTGTCTCACCTAGGGTCATATCGATATTATCACTGGTCATGGGCACGGCGCCGCAATCTGCCGGCTGGGGCTGCTGGAGGAGCTGTAGAACCTGGAGTTGCAAGAAAAACAGCGCGACTTAGTGCAAGTTCCGATCTGCGATGGGGCTCAAAGCCGGCTGCTCGACTTTTACGGCCTCATAATCGGCCTCTTTTTTGCCAACGCCAAATGAATCAGCGGGAGTAGAGAACCAGACCAGACAGAACAGAACACGTCGACTCACCGCAACTAGGGCCACACAGGGCCCGAGCTTTCCGATTCCGTTTCTGGCTCCAATCATTCTGAGGAGTTGGGTGGTGTGGAGGTGGATTTGCGTGCACCGGTGGAGAGTCCAAGCGATCGGCTTCGATTCAGTTGCACATCAGCTGGAATGGAATGGATGCCTGCTTGGCTGGGCGCACTGCAAACGTACGCACAATATAGTTTTAACAATTTGGTTGATTATCGGCCGGCCAGTGTTGTGTTTTCTCGCCCAGCACAGTATTTTACAGTACTGAACTATCGGTACGGTGTGTGTTATCGGAAGTATAGTCACATGATCATCGCTAGTGACATCGATAACGATTACAATGGAAACGAAACAAAAAGTGTCTAAATGAATACATATGCACACATATGTATGTGCAACAACATTTGCAAATCTTTGTTTATAATAGCTGACGCTTATGGATTTTATGGTGGTAAATAGAGCGAGAAAAGCTAGTAGCAAAGCGCGTTTTCAATTCGGCAATTCGTCTTTAAGCTAAATACCCGAAAAGCTGCTGCTCAAACGTTTTGTGGACCCCGAAACCCGAATGTGTGTGCATACATATGTAACGATTGTAATGTGTTATTGATGCTCTTCGAATATCGGAATATGTACATACATGCAGATGATACACATATATGTACATGAATTTATGCAAACATACACATGCATAAATGTTTAATTACTCTGTTTATGACAACATAAAGACTCAGTTGAGTCCCTCCGTGTACCATAATCGGCCGTTTTTCACTTATTGGTTATGGAATTGTGATAATCTAGTCTGGTAGTATGTATATACATACTATGTATTTGTATTGCGCACCTTCTAGGAGTGCAACTGTGTGCTCACATAAATACGTGCATATATGCATTCGCATTATCTATATTGCCACCACGACACTCAAATATTAACTTCGATTTGTTCTAAAAGTGTTGGTTGTGCTCGAATTATCATGCATATAATATTTATTTGGCTTTGTTTGTGCATTTTCAAATGCACATGTCCTATGTACACTGTTTTATTTATTTATTTACGGCTATACTTCTACAAACCTACCATTGAAGCCCAAATACCATCTATATACATACATATGTACATACATACACATCTGTATGTAATTATTTATTCGGATTGTGGATATGAGCGATAACCGGATTTCCAATGACACTTAATATAAGCCAATAAGTAATTTGGTAATCGTTACATTAACGCAAAATTATTCTCTTAGCCGATTCACACAATGTCCGATGGATCACCGCCTCCGTCGATTTGCTTTATCCGTGCCGCCGAATCGTATCCGAAATCACAAATGGAGAAGGAAGACTCACAGCTGTTCGTGCCCTTCCAAGAGCGTAAGTAGTAGTAATCAATGCGCAAATGTATAATTTAATACTCCAATATACACCGCACAGTGGCTGGTGAATCGATTAAGTACCTGGGACGCACGGATGACGGCGTCCTCGCCCTGTCCAACTATCGGATATTTCTCTCCAAGAAGTCAACAGCCTACGAGACCTACGTACCGCTGGGCCTAATCGAATCCGTTCAGGTGCGGGACCTGTTCCAGCTGATTGTCAACTGCAAGGACGCCAGCACGGTGCGGTGCTCCTTTCAGTCGGCGGAGCAGTGTGCCGACTGGCAGCGCCGCATCCACCTGCTCATCGGGGTGCCCGAGGTCCTAGAGACGCTCTTTGCCTTTCCCTTCTACTCCTGGACCTGCGATGTGATCGGAAGCGGAAACGGAAGTGCTAATGCTAACGGAAACGGCCTGATGACCAAGGAACGCTCCTTAGCGCTGGCCAATGGATCGGCAAAACCCAGCACGATGGCAGCGACAGCATCCAATCCATTGGTTGATCCTGCCAGCGAGACGGTGTCCCCGGTGAGCAGTCGCCTGCAACGATCCGTTCGATATGAGAGCGACTTCAAGAACGAGGTGGCCCGCTTAGGATTCGACCTGAAGGGCTCTTGGCGCATCTCCACGGCCAACGCCGACTTCAAGCTTTGCCCCTCGTATCCACCCAAATTGCTTGTGCCCTGCTGCATCACAGACGAGATGTTACACAACGTGGCAAACTTCAGGGGATCGCGCCGATTGCCGGCGGTCGTCTGGCGGCATCAGAAGTCTGGTGCTATTTTGGCCCGCTGCAGCCAGCCAGAGGTCGGTTGGCTCGGCTGGCGGAACACAAAGGACGAGCAGCTCCTGAAGGCACTGGCCGATGCCTGTGCCTTTGACAGGGGCGAGCATGCCAGGCATTCCACCTTCGCCAGCACAAAGACGCAACCAACAAAAGGGTCGAAGGAGACCAACGGTCAATCGGGCTTATCCGGCAAAAGTTCTCCATCACTGGAAGATTCCTCGCACGAGGAACTCACGCTCGATGAAATACGGGTGAGTTTATGGCTTTTTGAAATATATGTATCAGCGCAAAAATAACAAAGGCTTGCGGTAATTTAATGGGTATACACTGGAAAAGGAAAATAATTATTTCCATATAAAGTTCATACATTCCTTATAGTGCGAAAATCAAGATCTCAAAAACTGTATAAACCCAAGAGGTCGTAGAGAGATTCGGTTTAATTTGTATTGTATTTATCGTGCCTCATATTTTTTTAATGTGTTTTAAATTATAATTATTTTTGATGTTTCATACAGAATAGATTATTGAACTGCAAAACACAGCTGTTTATGTTAAAAATAATTGGTTATTACTTTGTATTAACCCAAGAAATCGAATGTCATTAACTCGAAATGAAAAAAATTACAATGGTAAATTATCAATTCATACAGTAAAAATGGGAAACTCTTAATTAATTAAAAAAAATTCGGACGGAAAAATTAAGGACGTTAATTCCAAGCAGGAGCAACAGTAAGAGATCTAAAGTGTGAACTGAAACCAGTTTTGTGACCAAAGAATAACTTTTGTAATGCAATGTGATTATTTGTGTATTTATTTTGTTATTAGCAATATTTTCCTGAATAACAACATAACTATTTATTTTTAGAAAATCCTTATTGTGGACGCTCGGAGCTACACATCCGCTGTTACAAATCGCGCCAGAGGTGGCGGCTGTGAGTGCATTGAGTACTACCCTTGTGCAGAAATTGAGTTTATGAACCTGGGCAATATCCACGCTATCCGCAAGAGCTTTCATGCTGTCCGGCAGCTTTGCGCGTCATCTCCTGATGATCCAAAGTGAGTTAACTAGGAAATTCAACTGATATGTGTAATGAAATAAATCTTTTAAAAATAACTCATAGTTGGTTCGGACAACTGGAAAAGACCATGTGGATGCAGCACCTTTCGGGTCTGTTAGGAGCCACCATGACCGTTGTGCACACAATCGAAAAGAATGGACGGCCCGTACTTGTTCACTGCTCAGATGGCTGGGATCGGACTCCGCAGATCGTGGCGACGGCGCAACTCTGTTTGGATCCCTACTACAGGACTGTTGAAGTAAGTTAATATAATTTACATTTTTATGTAGCTCATGGTGTAAATTTTAAACTGAAATTCGCAACAAACGAAGGCAGAGATCTCCCATTCTGTAAGGATTTAATATTTTTTGCCTGCTAGCGACCCGAACCTGGTGGAAAATTCTTGGCCATTTATATACATACATCGATTTTATTGTATATTGATTTTTTGCGACCAACCATTAGGTAGAAGAGTCTAGACTTCATACATATAAGTGATTAAATTTCTGTCGGTTTGTAAACAAATCGTTCCCAAGAGAGCTATAATCAATAGATTTGAAAATTTTATACATTTTTTTTTGTTGATAGCTTTTACTTTTACTTATAAAAATGCAGCAAATTTATCCGGATTGTTCCAATTGTAGCTATAAAATATAAACCACCGATCAGTTGGCCCTTTAAGACTGATCTGCCTGCGAATTAAACAAGAGAAACCGACAGGTCGATTCTGATTGCCTAGCAGCTGATCAAAAATATTTACAATGTTAATAATTAAAATAACCTCAGAAAGGATATAAAAAAGGTAGAAATAACAGGAAAGGAAAGACAATTTGCCAAGGATCAGCGGATTACACATTGTTAAATTATTATAAAATTTAGAAAATTGCGTTATTGGATTGCTTAGGAAAAAAAATTATAAATTTTATTTTATTATATTTCAGGGATTCCGCGTCCTTGTCGAGCGTGAATGGCTAAATTTCGGTCACAAGTTTGCCGATCGCTCCGGCAACGGCCCCAACTCCGATGAAGTTAACGAGCGATGCCCAGTTTTTCTGCAGTGGCTCGACCTGGTTCATCAAATACACAGACAGTATCCATGCAGTTTTGAGTTCAGTATAAGCTATTTGGTAAGAGATGCAATCGAATATCGCATGGCCTGTCTAGTAACACCCCCCCTTTAGATCAAACTGGCGCAACATTCACTGTCCTGTCTATTTGGCACGTTCCTATGTAATTCGCTCAGAGAACGCATCGAAAATTCAGTTTTCGACCGAACGTTTTCAGTGTGGCCATTTTTAGCGGAAACTATGTATAGAAATCCTCTCTATAAGCATGAGACTGAAAAGGTAAACATCATTTGGTCCCGGCTTGTATTATGACAGATTATAATATTGCTTTCGTTTTTTAGGTTCTTTGGCCGGCGCACAGTGTGCGGTTTTTATATTTTTGGTCTGACGTATACCTTGGTAGTCTAGGCAACAAAAACGGAACAGATCTGCCATTACTGAGTAATGAAAGACAGAGTGGACACAACGGTGAGTTCTGAAATATAATAAAAAACGGACCTGGCTCAGCTGAGTTTTCCCACAACATAGGCCTAATGGCGAAGACAAGATCTTCTGAAGACTTAACAACGAATGAGTTGGGACAAAGTACCATTTCGAGGAGATCAAGTGATCCGAACCTGACAGTTGAATCCATGTATGTCCAATTAAAGATATACGAATGAGCGGTCGAATGTATGAAATCCCTTTCTTTTATGATTCAGTGTTACAGATTGCTTCAATGCGAATAGCAACTCCATGTTTGACATACGATCTGAGACCGACAATAGTGCAAGCGAAAATGTCCGAGAAAGTGTTAAAGACTCCAAAGAACTTGAGCTGGACGTAACGGATGCTACTGAAGAAAGTCCTTGTGGGCTTTCAAATAAACCCGTTCTAGAGTTCCATAACGACCAAAGTACAGCTTCTAACCGTGATATATTGGAAGTAGAATCACAATTGCTATTGCGCAGTTCCATGGTGTCCTCACAGCAACCGATCCCTGGACCTGGCCGATCTGTCCCAGTCTTGGGTTACTCTGAAAACGGTAAGCGATTTTTATTAGCACAGAATTCGAAAAAAACGAAAAAGGAGTAGAGTAAGGCTGTCGAACATATTGATTATTCAGTAATTTTTTTTTAATAGGCGGTCGGGAAATCATTTCAGCCTTTCAATTTTATCGAGCTGAAACTTATCCGAAAAGTTTCGTTATGTAGATACAGTAGAATCCGGTTATAACGAGTCCGCTTATAGTGTCCGTCCGGTTATTGCGACGAAAACTCGATGGTTTGGTTGGTCCCCATACAAACTTATATGATACAAACTTATATGATGCAAACTACTATGGTTAGTGCGTCATCCGGGTATAACGACGTAAAATCGTTGGGCCCTTGAAAGTCGCTATAACCGGATTCTACTGTATTTAATATTTATAATTTTTGGTGACCTGTTAATTTTACTATGGTGTGTTTTGCTGGCTCAAGGTCATAAAATTTAAATGTTAAATTCTTGTGTTTGTTAATATTTTGTAATGAAGATTGAAACCGACGGGACTTGTAATATATTGGATAAATAGGAAGTAAAGTGTCTATTACTGAATTCAAAAATTAATGGCTATCGAAACACCAAGAAAAAAAATGATAAACAAGGGAGCTATAATTTTTTAAAATCAGTTTTATGATCAATAGTGAGTCATAAAATTATAGTGATGTTTTCGAAATTATAATTAAAAAGTTGACCTTTTTTTGCAAAAGTTAAAAAACTTAAAATGGCATTTAGATGATGTAGATTGTGATTTATGTATGCTTGCAGATAAAACTCCAGTTCCTTCAAAATCTGAAGACACAAGTGATATTTGTCGCGCTTTGTGGCATGGGGCAGTCGATACTAGCACTGATACTCTGATTCCTGCGGAGCCCGTTCAATCGACGAACAGCGACCACAGCAGTAGAGACCATACACCTCCCCTCGACCTGGTCAGTGGTGATACGAAACCGGAGCCTACTACTGCTGTCCAAAGCAGTAAAATCAGTCATAGCTACAATAATTTGCCCAAGGTTCACATGAAACCGAATGCCGTGATATTTCCGCAGCGCGGAGACGCTTTTCCGCATCACCTGGACCTACAAGTGCCAAGGGAATGTACGGGAAACACGAACCGCTGCAAGCCGGATAAGTTGTCCAAAGATGCGAATGCAAATGGATCACTGCTGGTAGCAGATGGCTACCACGCTGAAGAGAGTCTCCTTTTGTCGCCCGAACTCCAGAGATTTGTGGGCCAGTCGCCATTCGATGCACCCTCTACCGGTGGTCGAATACGTCGAAACACCTTTGGGTCGAGCTACAGTCGCGACTTAAAATTCACAGCAGAAAACGGCAGGTGTGTAACATGGTCTTCTAAAATGTTTCTTAACTACCAACAAATTACCTCAACGTTTTCCCGATTTTAAATCCATTTTTAGTTTTGGAATTTTTTTTTGGCAAACATGATTAAAAAAACATTGAAAATAATAAGTAATTTTTTACATACGACAAAAAGTATTAAAAACAAATTTAATTTATTTTTATAGTGTGTTAAAAAAAAGGTCGTTTGAAGACATGCTACGAAAAGTAAATTGTTCGACAAATTTTCACATATGAAACCTGTGAATAGAATAGTCTTTTGCCGAACAACATTAACAATTTTTAATGTGAATTAATGGCAAGCTCTGTTTTAAGGCCAATGCTTTTTCTATTAAGATTTATGCTTTACTTATTTATGTGTGCATATTTTCAACCACTGAATACCTCCATTAAAAATCTATTCTTTCAGCGCACACCAATTTCCTTTGTCGGGGATCATTTCGTTGCCCCCTACACCATTTCAGGAGAGGGCGCAGTTTACGATATCCTGTCCAGATGGCCTTGCTCATGGACTCAGCGAACAAAACATTAGACTCCACCAGATCGTACAAGAACATAAGGTAGAAATCAACGCATTTTACCATTTCTCTTGAAGTTATTGACCTTTTTAAACTGTTCTAGCTACGAGAGGAAATGCTATTGCGGGAAATACACGGAATGCGACTGGCTTTGTTGGAAAAAGGTTGCCCGAGCTGCAATAGCATCGTTTCGACAAATATGGAACATGTAAATAATGTTTTAATAATTGGTTAGCGCGTTAAGAACACAAACGTTATAGATAAAATCTGCGTGCATATATTCTTGAGAAGCGTTGTTGATGTTAGATATAGCCATTAGTAACATGGTGTGTGCTTATATGTTAAATACAGGGTTCAAGGGCTTAGCCATCGGATTTTTCACAGACACGACTGGACAGTAGAAATAAGCACACTCTCGACAAAGCAGAGCTTTGACTAACGTATATTTAAAAAATAATAAATTTCGCTATGGTGCAAGAGCATTATGGAAGCATGATATTATTTTGTCAGCAAGGCAAAAATTGTAATTTTATTGTAAATAATGTTGTGCATATCCTTTCAGTCGTCTAATTTTTTAACTCTTCTTTAGGAAAATGGATCGGATATCGTTGAAAATGCTTCAACATGTTCCTGGGAAGCCGTCGAAGAACGTAGCGGTCCCTCATCGTTTGCCCCTTCCTCGATCCAAGAGAAAAGAGCCTCCAGTGTCCTTTGGGTACCAGATCATGCAGTTTCTCGTTGCTCTAGTTGTCAAACTGAGTTCTGGCTTGGACGAAGAAAACATCATTGTCGGTGCGCATCCAACATTAGAAACCTTACTGTTTTACTCTAAAGATTTTGAACATTCGTTTAATTTTTAACTTGAGTTGAATATTAACACGATATCATATTTTATAGCTACTTTAAAACCATAGCCCGTATAGTCAGTAAATTAATAAACTATCTTACTTTATTGATTATTTTGTAATTTTAGCCTTAACACTTGATAGCCTGAGGTTTTATACGTGTAGTTTGAGCCTTAAACTAATGTTAAAATCGTATTTTATTTACTTTATTGAAATATCTGCGTCTCCAGTTCGCATTTTAGTTAATTTACTTGTACACATGACTATACTAACAAAGTAAACTATGCTAATCAAGAATATATATATAGCAAATAACCATTATTTTGAATTTATTTCAATTCAAATCATACCTGCCCGTTTTTGGCATCCGGGACTTGTCCCTGATCTATTGAGTCACACATACTGACACAATTCCTAAACAAATGAAAAAAGGCAGGAATGATTTACAATACTAAAGTCCAGCAGATTTAGAGTTGTTTTTTTAAAAGAATTTTATATATCAAGTGATTGATTCAGGTGGTATATATTTTTTGTAAAGAATAACACATCATTTTTTCTGCACTTCCGTTGTCACAACCACTACAAATTTTGGGGATCAACATTTGAAGTCGTGACAATGATCAAGTGATCATTCGAATTCTAGTTATAAAAAACTGATCGTCAAATCAACTTCGTTGTTCGATTTTTGCTCTTCTTATTGATTAGTACTAGCAATACTAACTTCAAACTTTTCACAGTAACTCGGTCTCAGTATTGAACGTTTTTCAAACGTTTTTTTATACCAAAAATAAAGTTTTTTGAATGACTGCTACTGGAGTTAATAAAATTCGGACGCTCTGTTTTCGCATAATTTTATTATTTTCCACTTTTTATGCTAAATAAACAGATACAATTGGATTATGTTTATTTTAATTTATCCGAATTGTTGGCTTTGTATTAGAAATTCTGATTTAAATTTTTGTTAAGTTCTTAGGCACCGACATATTTACTGATGATTATGATCATGAGCAACCCTTCAAGATATGGGCCTTTTTTAATAGGCTAAGTTGGAAAAATTATCATGGTGATACACTAAAACAAAAACGATATACATATATGAAAATGCTATAATTTGAAGTGAAGTGTAGAAACATATAATCCAAGTTTATCTTGAAAATGCATCTAAGGGCGTGGTTGGCATGCACTTAGTATTTCAACAAACAGTTCCATTCAGTCAATTAAACAATATGCAATGCCTAAAGAAATACAATAAATTTTTTTTTTACTATTTTCAATAATTAATAAAGCTAACATACATTATTTATTTAATACATTTGCAGATCATGTGGAGAAATTTTTTGTGCTGACTGCTCGGAATTTTGGGCGCCTTTGCCAAACGAAAAGCTTTTTAATCCAGTTAGGCTATGTGGATCATGCTACACGACCGTCACAACAAATGTCCACGAGTACGCTACCGTTCCTTCAGAATCCCAGATGAAGGGCGAAGCGACGACTTCTGCAAATTCCTAAGAGCTTTTCCCAATTAATTTAAGACTCCTCTGTTGTATCAATATGTACATATTATTACTAAAAATATTTATTGCATATGTGTTAGCACCATAATAGCGAAATATTAATCTGTGCGTTTATATAGAACACGAAATTATACAATTTTGTTAGAAATATATATGTGGATATATGGAAACAATTGTAAATTAAAATAAATCCTTTAAAAAAAGTATCAAATAATTTATATTTGGCTCTGGTTAAATCAGGTCAGCTTTTTGCGTTTCTTTCAAAATTTCTAAAAGAAAAATAGGCAACCACGTTATATGCGGTTAAACCAGTCTTTGCAGATTGCTTTTCCATCGTTCGGGCAATACCCCATTGGAAGGTCTGGAACTTTGACAGATTTGGAGCACTAAATCCCGCCAAGTACCAACAGTGTCGTGAGCAGCCCTTAGAAACTACCTTCAATGATTTAATTAATAAATTTAAATAATATCTTACAACCAATCTTTATTTAAATACCCAGCCCCCTATTTAAGCCTAGTACTCAGATCGAAAAACGAGTTCGCCAGCGGTAAACTTTAATCTTCCCAGTGTGACAGCATTTTTGACAGTTCATCAGTATTAATTGTGCTACGCTCCTACTGTTAATCAGCTGGGCATGTTAAGCCTAACTACTACTTCTTAAATACTTTTAAAGGCAAATACGATATTTGAATTTTAGCTGCTTGTCAACAATCCCAGCTGATTCACAGTACGACCGTAGCACGCATAATTCTGATGAACTCTCGAAATTTTGGTCACACTGGAAAGATTAAAGTTTTTACGCTAGCGTAATCGTTTGTCGATCTGAGTACTAAGCTTTTAAATGAATGAGAGATGGTGCTATGTGGGAATTGGCTATTAAGTGAAAACGGAATTTGCTGTGACCCATTAGAGTAGTAGTTAGTTCCCGAACCAATGACTCAAAACCTTTTTAAGATTGATCTGCTTTCCTGACTAAAGCGCAAAGATAAGATCAAATTGTAAGATGTGACAAGCTCCCAAAGAAACCCGACCCCCGAAAATTTCCACATTTGTAGAATTAATGTGTGACAGGCCCCCATGTCGCAGTTGGCGACAAAAAAACTTCTTGAAAGAAACATCAAAATACACATTTTTTTCTTTTTGTGGGATTATCTTCTAAAATAAGAACATTACCAAAAAAAAAACAAGTTTTTCGGCGTAAAATTGATATTTTACGAGAAAAATGATGAAAACTTTTGCCTACTTACAGTCATTTTCAAAAAACAGAAGTTTATACTTTCGAAACCCAAAAAACATATTAAATATGGAATTTAGTCCAATATTTTTTGGCTGAAATACTGTAAACGCCGCGAACACATTATTTTTAGATTTATAGAAGGTTCTCAATCAAACTGTTACTTCCAATTTTCTTTAAAAATATTACATAATTAGGGGTTCTTTCACTGCTTAAAAAAATCAGGCTATTACTTTTGTTTTCTTGATTTAATAAATAATAAATCGTGGAATTGGGCACGACTGTAGGCCGTCGTAGGTGTGAATCCACTATAATTAACGCAAATCCTCAGGTAGCCTATATCGATACTTTTGATGCACTACCACTATCTCATCAATAGTAGCGCCAAACACGGCGTTGTTTCGAAGTATATTTTATTCACTTGATGCCAATTTGGCTCGCGCGAAGATGTGTGAGGTGCGAAATCTTATTGACTTGACCGAATGGGATGAGCCCAACAAGGAGGCGTTCGAGGAGACGGACGACGTGGTGGTCGCCGCGAAATTCCAAGGTCCCTATGACCCCTTCGATCTGATGGAGAAGGAGGCTAGCATCAAGGTAAGGTTAGGTTGGATTAGCGACGTCGTTGGCATTTGCGAAAGCAACTTACATATATCTGAAAAAGCCATTGGCTTTTACACGGGCAATAAGTGCGGTCGGTGGTAAAAGTTTCCCTCTTCACTCCCCTGATCTCTGAACTTTAACCTTCAAGACAGGGTCCGGTAAGGCCACCGGGTTTGTAATGTATACATATTACCTATCTGTGCATGTACTTACTGATTAATGTTTCAGGGTATGACTTTAAAGACACAGATCACGGAAAAGGTGTCCAGCGCCGAAAGGCAATATCCGGACCTCAATAACGAGAGCCCCCCGGTTTGCATGCAGACGGATGCGGCGTCCGGAGAAAACTCCCAGAAACGGCGCTCGAACAGCTCGTTCCAAAAGCAGCTGCTAAAACTAAATGCCTCACGATCCGTGGCCAATACGCCGCCTCACAATCGGTCCAAAGCGTGTTTCGAGAAGGCAATTCTAAACGACGATCTGCAGATGCTGGCAGCAGAGTCGCCGCTGAAGCTTATTAAAGACGACGACGTGCTATCCTCCAGCCTCAGTTTCGAGGAAGACCTCAAAATGTTACGTATACCGATTCTAGACGCCTTAAATAATGGGGAACTCAAATCAAGTGCCGATGAAAAAACACCAGTTACTGAAATTGATGCGAAACCCCATGAAAGTTCTGAACCAGAAGTTGATCAATCACCGACGAAAGATTTAAGCCAACTCCTAAAACAGCTGAAAATTTTAGCTCATGAACACGTTCAGAGGACCAAGTGGCATCTGTTTGACACTGCAATTGAATCAATTGCTGCAGTCATCTTCGGTCCCAGTGACGCTTGTGTGGAGGCCCGAAAAGCCGATCCAGCATTACAGTCGCCTTACTCATACACCCGACAGGGAACTTTCGATCTCGAACTTCAAGTACGTAATTACTTTAAGACTAAAATGTTCTTCCGCTAGTCGTTAGAATCACTGTTTCGTAGTCCTATAAAATGGAATACGTTATTTTATTTGTACGCCTTCTAAACAATTTAAATTTAGAAATGCTGTTTTTATTATCTATTTAAAGGGTTCAAAAACAAAGCGTTCTTTTGAAACTGTGCAGCTACCGGAGGAGGAGATCGGGTGCCCATCAGTGACGCCTAGCAGCAACGATCAAAACTTTCCCGATGTCATGGTCTGCTCTGCAGCCACCTTTGACGCCGACTCCCGTCTAGACCCATTTGAAAACGACTTGAACCCAGTTCCACCGATGATATCTTTCTCACCCGTCACCAGAAACGAGCCTTATATGACAGAGTTGGTCGACGAACGACTCGCTCTGCAGATCAATGAGCTGCTGGAACGGCACAAACTCTCAAAGACGGCGATCGGCGATCACGAACCACAAGGTGTCGATCCCAGGACAGTCATATTGTTGGTAAATCCCAGTAGCTATGGCAGTCAGCATGCATTCTCCTCCAGCTGTATTGCGAAGCCGAATCCAATGCCATTAAAAGATTCCAACGATGCAGGCTCAATGCGCCGACGATCGTCTTCACTGTCCATTCAGGACAAGTCCAAGCTACCCAGGGAAGTCCTGAAATCCGATCGCCAAGTGGAAAATCTCCCGCCGCCCAAGGAAGCCAAAAGCACAGCCACTGTAGGCCCAATAAATGGACCAGCTTCGTTTCGAAAAAGAGCAACTCCTTTTCCACGCCTAGCAATCCGTCCACAAAGGCCTACGAAAGCAGACGCACCCTTCTGAGCAGCCGCTTGAAAACCACATCAATTACGGAATCCGTGGCAAAATCCAATGGAACCATGAAGGCGACGAAACCTATTAAGCCGGTGGTTCCGATTATGAAAGTGACCGCGACGAACGAGTCCACCTACCTCAATCCCGTCCACCCACGTGTCCCAGAGACGCCTATATCTTCGAGGACCAAGCCCGTTCAAAAGATATCCTGCACTAGCACGCCACTACCGCAAATGCGCTGCCAGCAGCGTAAATCCCTCAAGCCTTTGGGCATGGCCGCAGGATCATCCCTGTCTAATGCCTCCTACTCGACGCCAAGTTTTAGGGGCCCGAGCTTCTCCAAGAAAACCGGTTCCGGATAGAGTGCATTGCGTAGAAAGCAAGATAGGTAGCACTTCCTTGTCCCGTGGTGGTGGCGCAATGTCGCCTGAAAGTGAATTCAAATGTGATGTCAAGTTATGAGGTCAAGTTTTTAACCTTGAAGATAAACCAACAGTGTGAAAACGGCTTGGCTATCTCCCTATATTTTTGTTTTACTTATTTTTGTTTAACGTCTCAAGATAAAGCAAACTGATATGTACTCTGTGCGCAATCTGACTAGGTAGGCATTTCCAAGAGTATGCTCAAATACCCAATGTAATGTTTTCTTTTTCAGTGTAAAGTAAATAACGTGTGGTTAAATCGATTGCATTAGTTACATGAGCTTGCTCTTAGGATTGGCTATCCTCATAAATTAGTCACTTGCAAAACTATTTTTTTTTAATCTGTTCACTCTCACTCTCATTGTATTCGAGTTTAATAAAAGATACTATAAGTTAAATCACATTTCAGATTCTTATCAACAAGTGTGACGTATGCATATCACGAGAAAACAAAGATAAATGAGCTTCTGGTTGAAAATAATACCTCCAATGAGCCACAAAGAATAGGGCCTTGTAAAGCCCAACCTCTGCTAAACCTTTTAATTAAACTCCATAACGTAATGGTTTTGAATGCCCACTGAAGAAAAATTCAATAAAAAGAGATTATCAGTTCAACAATATCCGTATATTTAACATATGTGGCATATTAAAAAAAAAAGGCGAATATAATGAGCTACTTGTTGAGCTTGCTCTTGAGAATGCTTAACTGGGTGAGGCAGTTGTCGCGGTAGTTGCGGCGGGCGGCCAGCTGATCCAGCGGCACCATCTCGCCCAGCTGCTTGGCCACCTCGACGGCGACGGGACCCTCCATTTTCGGGGTTGGTCCCATCGTCTCGCTGACCGCGTAGATGGTCTTCGAGTACCGCTCGAAGTAGTTGGCCATGCCCTCGGCGTTCAGATGGGCCGTCTCCAGCGGGCCCAGGAAGGCGTAGCGGGGTCCCAGTCCGTTGCTCATCACGCTATCGATGTCCTTAACGTTCAGGATGCCGGCCTCGACAAGGCGCCACGTCTCGTTGAGGATGGCATATTGGATGCGGTTGAGGGCAAATCCCTCGATCTCGCGCGACAACGTAACTGGTTTCTGTCCGATCTCCTCCATGATGGCACGGGTCTTCTTCACCCATTCCGGTTTGGTCCAGGGAGCTGGCACGATCTCGACCAACGGCACGTAGTACGGTGGGTTGACGGGATGCGAGACCAAAACCTGTTCACGAAATCAAGCGCAGTTTGAGTCATTCGTTCTCACCAAAAAAAATAAATTCGATTCACAGAGACTAGTACATGGCAATTGGAATCGGGGACGAGGACGGTTGAGCGTTAAGTCACGATCGAAATAGCAACAATGTTTGAATCCATTAGTGTGCACGGACTGCTTGTATATTACTTCTGCTTTACAAATACTGATATTTTAAGATCAAATTCAGAGACGGATTCTATCTCAACAATGCCCATTATTATGAAAAAGAACTTATCTAAACTTAACCGCGACATCACGTTAATGACACCAAGAAGCCGATAAATGGTGGTTTCCGAACCAATCATAAGACTTGTACTCACGTTGGCCTTGTTTTTCAGGTCCGCGCTGAAGAGGGAGGGCAGAAAAGTGCTGGTGGAGCTGGACAGGATTGTGTTGGGTCCGACGACCGCATCCAACTGCTTGTACAGGGCTTTCTTCAGGTCGAGGCGCTCGGGGATGCACTCCTGGACGAAGACGGCGCCCTTGACCAGCTCCTTGAGGTCGTTGGTGCCCGAGATGCAGGCGAACTGCTGGGCGGCGTTCAGCTTGCCACGCAGCAAGCCCTTGGCCTCGAGGTCCTCCAGCTCCTTCTGGGTGGCGGTCAGGGCGGTGGACACCTGCTCGGGCAGGATGTCGAACAGCGCCACCTGATAGCCCACCGAGGCGAACAGCATGGCCCAGGAGCGGCCGATGAGCCCGCTGAAATGGAAATGGAGCTCAGCGGGATGGGATCCGGAATCGATTTTCCTCCTCTTACCTGCCCACGATGCCCACTTTCTCGTTCTTCAGCTGCGACATCTTTGTTTATTTACTTCTGTGCTCGGTTGAGTATCTGTTGGAGTTCCTGAGGAGTGGAGTTGGAGCTGTCGACTGCCACTTGGCACGGCGTACATGCGTTTGAACAATTGGACGGCCGCGCAACCGGTTTAATATTGGGCGATAACGGCAGAGGTGAACCCTACCCAAGTGTTTGTGGGGTGTTTGTGGGGTGTTGCGGCTGTTGATGGGTGTTGGTGGAGATTTCCGAGGAGATAGTGGGCCTGCACACACGGCCGTGCGATAACAATGCCATCCCGCTGGACAATTGGACGATGCCGAACCAAATGCTACAGCTGCCACGCCCACGCCGGTATGTGTGTACACATTGAGAAGTTCAGATGTATGTACCTGTACCCCGGTTACATATTTACCATCTCTTGACACTTTACTTTTTACCTTACCTAAGTTATTAAATAAATGCGTTCCAATTACCCTACTGATTGCCACTGATTCATTTAAATTCTAAAGAAAAGTAAGAATGTAAGAACATTATGTTTTCAAATACTTATTTTGTATAAATGTAACCATTAAAATTATGTTTATACACTGATAAAATATAAAATCATATTGGGCAGCTGTGGCATTTCATTTAACAATTACTATTTTAAATTTAATAATAAAATCTATTTATCTGTTTGATATATTCTCACATTTCTGTGATTGAAATCGATGAGCTGAAGTTGTTAAATTCTTAAATAAAGGTTTTTTATTTAATTTTCGTGATACGGGAAAAGTTGTGTACATATTTGGTACTCATACCCAAGTGGAAAAAACCATTGTCTTCCTCAAAAAGTGTTTACTTTTTGACGATAATCCAAATCCGTCGTGGAAAGTTCTTGGCAAGCAACCAATTTCCTACTGGGTGGCAGTCGACCAAACTCTGCCAAGATGCCCTTAATTTGACTTTTATTAATAATGCTTTTTATACTGTTAGCTACTATACGAGTATTTATGTGTTTGTTGTGCACTTATGTATTTGACTTGCACAAAAATAGACAAAAAAATAATAAATTGTTAACTAAGCTTTTTAAGCTCACTACGTATTACTATACGCAATTAAACAATATTTGTAAATGTACAAATATATATACATATAAGCATTAATGCATTCATACCAATGTAATAAAAGCGTTGAAAACTAGTAATAAAAACAGATTTTTTAAATACTCTATCTTTTTTATTCCTCATAAAATTTCCGAAAAAAGTTATTTACCATTATTATGAAAGAATTATAGGACTGTCTTGTTAAAACTGAAAAGTGGTAAATCATATTTTTAATGTTGCCAAGCTTACTTTAAATCTCTAGAAATTTATTTGACTAAACGCTCTAGAAGGTTAAACATAACAATAATATTTATCGTTTACCGTCATACACATTCTTCTGTGAATTATTTTAAATGAGCTACGCTAAGTAAAGTAGTTGTTTATTTCAACAGAAAAAGTTTATTGATTGTTAATAAAATTTTTCTAATAAAATGTTTTTTGATATTATCAAAACTTTAATTTTTTAATTGCATCTCAATACAATTATTTGGCTCCTTAAAAAGAGCAGCATTAAGAAACTTTCTGAAACTATTAATGTACCAAGTAAATAATTTAATGACATTGAAAACCTACCAAATTTGTACATCTATTAGCTTTATATCAAGTGAGTACCGTGTAGTATCTAAAAACTCCTATAAAAATTAATTCGCTTGTTTGTTTTAATTAGGAAATCAATTTAAAGTCAAGGCAGCTTAAATAAATTTTAATTTTATAAACATTGATGTCGCGGTCACCATAAGTTTCTAGTTTAAAAGGATGATACATCTAAAGGCACCAAGTAATCTTAAAAAGCTTTATTTTTTGGATTTATTTTTTCATTATACTATACTTGTATTAAACATATTTCCCTCTTTTTTATAAAAAATTGACAAATTTTCCAAGTGTACCTAGGATTGCTTTGAGTTAGAGATGTTGGAGCTATTGTCAATCCAATTAGTTTGATAACCTAAAATGGTTTATATAGTAGATTCATAGACAAATTATCTTTAAAGTCTGTGTTCTTTTTTAATGGGTCTAATGGATTTTTTGAATGAACATGCCCCAGGTGGTCGAAAAGATGGAAGCATTGGATTACACGACATGAGCAACCATTCCATGACCAAGAAGAGCCGAAGTGGGAAATACCTCTGAGAAGAAGCCTTCCCTTCTTCTACCAAGCCCAAAAAAGAAGGACTCTAATGCAAAGCGTGAAAAACTGCGAATCTTTATCTTTAGCCTCAATAGTTTATCGTGAAGGTTAGCCTAGTTTGATTGGAGCTATACGAAATAAAAAAATACCGTCGTCTTAAACAAGCATCTTGATTCTGGGCCATCTAGTGAATACATCCGTTTATTCATTTTTTATTTCCTCCAAGAATCCACCATTTTTAAATCCAAATTTGATTATAAAATCTGTATATGTTTCAGACACTTAATAATCATTTGGATTGGTTGTAAGCCTGTATTAAGTTGGTATAAAATAATTACTTTACGTATCTTAAAATATAATAGATGTATTTTACAATGATTTCATTTCTTTTACAGTTTGCTTGGGGACACAAAATTTGTTTTTAAAAGTTTTTACAGACATTTGCAAAGCAATCGTTAATTATGTCTAAAAATGCATTCAATTTTTTTTAATGCACTTTTGATGATTAATAACTTACTTTCCCATACGGTTTGTACATCAAATGGGTGATGCTTGGTTTAATTTGATTTTTAAAAAGTTTTGCTTTATCGCACTTATAAACTATGCACAACCAATTTTTTTTTAAATGTACCAAGACACTCTGAAAACTAAACAGTAGGTACATAAAAAGTCTTTATACCCAAAACATAAACCAAAGGCTTTGCGCTATAATGTCTAGCGCACAGTCATCGTGGCGGTGCCACTTCAGACCCACAGACTGGGCCACGGACGAGATGAGCAGGCTAGTTTTGTCATGGAGGAGCTCCCATGAAGAGCTCCCGGAGCTGCAAGGTTCAAGATAACGCAGCCAATTGCTTGAAAAGGTAGATCTGCAACTGACAAAGCCAGATATTAAGACTTTAATCAATAACAACTATTAAATGTATCCTTTAATCCTTTATACTTGTATCCATCTCGGGCGGGGATGACTGGATCGCATATTAAGGAACAGTAGTCGCACGTTTCTCAGAACTTAACTCTATCAATGCCGATCAAAATTTCAACCAAGGAATGTGCAAATAATCGAAGATACACAGGTGTTGAAGCGCGGTCAGAACCATCCAGAACTGATGGATCTGTGATGTCGGGTGGCGCTCCAGCGATGTAATCTCCTCCGTGACAACGCCGTTGTGCAGTTGACGGACTTCTGCACGTCGATCATGGCATATTCCTTCTGCCCTCCTGGACATTATCGTTAACCATGCCGTTGTTTAGGCAAACTAATAATTATACCCTTTTATAAAATGTTCTCGTCGTAAATTACTCAATTTATAAAATGGCTTACGAATTTTTCTTTTAAAAATGTTTTGGAATACCGTACGCGATACGCGATGATTACCAAAAAAATCCATCCCAATGGACGTGAACTCGGAAGAGACTATATTACGAACATTGAAAAGGTTTTTTTATTAGATATTGTTTTTACAAAGTAACTTTTATAAAAATGTTCACGCAAATCTGTTTTTTGAGATGTTATTTGACAATGCCAAATTATTCGATTATAATTATTGAATCGTGTTGATGATGTCGGCATCGGGTGCTACTCGCGAAATGATGTTTTTAACTGGAGACTCAACTTGCGAGTAACTTAATAGCTTCTTAATAAGATTGCAGTTTTGAAATTCGAATAGACCATACCCTATATCTTCCCAGTGCCTCCATCTCTTTCTTTTTGACTTTGGTACCTTACTCAAACGATTTAATTTAAAAGGCTTTTGAGTGTTATTATATTCAAAAAATATATTTTTAAATTTTGTTCTATGGTTTCGATTTTATTTTATTTAAAGTTAGCTAGAATGCTGCTTACAGTGCCATCTTGCGGCCCTCTATAGATATTTCGACTGCCCTGCGACTTTCCTTCAACCGCTTTGAGTCCAGAAATCGTTTCATATGCTTTTCGTAGCGGTTCGGCTTTCGCTTTGTTGACTGAAATTACAAACATAATGATGATAACAATCAATAACAATGACAAAAGATATAACTGGTGAGCCACTCACCGTGGAGATTTCGCCCTCTACGGTTGATTTAGGGCGGATGACGTAGTCCTTGTTGGAGGGCATGGGAACACGAGCGCGGGCCACCCAACCGGGATCTCCAGGGCGAAGAAGCTTGTCTTCACTGGAGAAGGTCTGATTCAATGAGCGGGACTTGCTGGTGGAGGATGGTTGTGGATCCGGACTTTTGTGGCGATTGCGCGACATCTGCGCCAAATCACGTTCCTGACGCTCCTCTTTGCTCATCGCCGAGAAGTTACAGCTCAGGTTAAATATCGGGCGGGCCCACTCGGAAATTAGACGACCTGCTCGGTCGCGATTCGTCTTTGTCTCCTGGGGATGTTTGTACAAGTACATTACAGCCTTACCAATGCCCGACTGCTTCAGAAGTCCCTTTTCAATAGTTGGAAACTAAAGAAAAAATAACGTGATATTATTATTTATAGGTGGCAATTTTACTGAAAAAAATCTGGGACAGAAAGTGATCGTCATTTTGTTTGTTATTTAAAGAACTAAAATATCCGTTACAACGATTACTTTTGGTGCCTAAAACTAATTGCAAAAAAAACTTAATCTTCTGTAATATTAGGTTTAAAGGTTTGTTCAATACAATTGAATTATTTTGTTATTTGCTTCACTCTAATAATTTTTTTTTTAGTTAAGCCCAAATAAGAAATACGAAAAACTAAAAGAGACTCATACAAATTTACGATTTTTCTGTTCAAAATAATTTGCAATTGTGGGAACCCCGGTTTAATTGTGCGTAAAACTTTAGAAAAAACACTTACATCTGACAAAAGTCGAAGAATACTCTCGCGTATCTGAAGACATGGCAGGCTTTTGTTGGGCAGGGGAGCTAGCCAATCTGTAAGTACATTAAGTATGTTGTGCTCCAAGAAGGCGAGCTGCAAGTGCTTTTTAATGAGCTGTGACATCACTTGCTTCAGCATTGAAATTTTCTTCGTTGCCGGCTGTCCCATCATGTTCAGCTGTCGGTCGTCATCGGAGGCGTTCTTCATACTTATGATAAGCTGATCAATCAGATCATCGTTATCGTTGATCAGATCGATATCTCGCTTGCGACGTCGCACTCGCTTCTCTTCCTTCTTTCTCAAAAGCATTGCATCGAAGTCCGAAATAAAGTTACTGTTTCTGCAATAAAATGGCATGTAAGTTTGAGATATATATAACTCTAATTAGTGAAATATCTTACTCTGGTTCATTTGAAATTGGGGTGTTTTCATCGTCAGAACTCTCTGTTATTTTATCTTGTGATTTTTCTTTGCCCAGGCCATTATTCTGATCTTCTTCGTCTTCGTTATCCGTGTCTGTGATTTTAACGCGCTTCTTGATTACCTTTGGCGCTTCATCTACAGGGATAATACAAAATAATATCCGACTCTTAGAAGCTTTCGGAGGGTACTAACCTTCGGAATCACTTATGACTAATCGTTTACGTCTGGCACCATCCTTGGATGTGGCACTACCCGATCGAGATCGAGTTCCCTTTCGAGACCCAGCGCTTTTCGATCGACTGCGGGAGCGGGACCGCCGAGAACCGCTCCTAGATCGCCTGGAACCACTCCTAGACCGCCTGGATCCGCTCCTAGACCGCCTGGATCCGCTTCTAGAGCGCCTGGATCCGCTTCTGGAGCGTCTAGATCCGCTGCGGGATCGTCGCGACCCACTTCTAGATCGTCTTGATCCGCTTCTTGATCGTCTGGAACCTGATCCACTACGCGATCGCCTCGAACCACTACGCGACCGCCGAGAGCCACTATGTGAGCGTGCTGATCCACTACGGGAACGTCGCGAGCCACTACGGGAGCGACGCGAGCCACTGCGGGAGCGTCTGGAGCCACTTCGAGAACGCCTTGATCCAGATCCACTGCGCGATCTTCTAGACCCCGAGCCACTTCGAGACCGTTGAGAGCCGCTCCGGGACCTACTGGAGCGTCTAGAGCCGGATCTGCTTCGGGACCGCTTAGATCCGCTGCGGGAGCGTCTTGATCCACTACGGGAACGCCTGGATCCACTGCGGGAACGCCTGGATCCACTGCGCGAACGCCTAGAGCCACTGTGGGAATGCCTGGAGCCACTACGGGAACGCCTAGAGCCACTACGCGAACGCCTTGAGCCACTGGGCGAAGCCTGAGGTGCGTCAGAATGCCGGGATCCACTGCGAGAGCGGGCGGAGCCGCTGCGGGAGCGCCGGGAATCATTCAAAGATTGCTTAGACCGACTGCGCGATCGCCGGGAACTGGCTGCCGAGTGTGACCTCCGCGATCCACTTCGCGAGCGGGAACTTCTCCTAGAGCCACTGCGACTGCGACTTCTCGAGCGGGCGGCGACAGCATCATCATCCTCCTTTGGTGCGGGCGAAGGCGACTTGCTCTTGCCCTTGGGTGCCAATACTGAATCGGTCGCGTCAGGAATAGCATCTTGACTTTCCTTCACCACTACCTCCGAGACCGGGTCTAATGTCCCCTCGGGTGCTCCGAGTAAGCTCTCGGCGTCGTCGCTACATGCTTTTTCTACAAAATAAATTGTTGAAACGGTATACCGACGATTCCAATAGATAATCAATTTTGTAATCAACCTTTTTCACACGTTTCCATGCCGCGAACCTTATAATAACAAAAAAATAATCACGTTTACAACTAAATTTGTGAAACCAGTTGTGCAATGGCTTGGCGGAATTAGAGCAAATACATAAAAGTATTAGTTAAAAATAATTCCTGCAATGACTTATAGAATACGACGCGATTCCTCGGCATTTGACAGGCCGACGGAACGAAATGAATGTGAAACAGTAAAGTCTATGTGTACACATACACACCCGCCCGCACGCTGTTTGGGGCCGTTACACACGACAAGCGCATCAGAAATCGATTACAAACATTTCATAATAAGTGGGATCACCAATTATTAAGTCTTCAGTTTATCATATACTACATTTAAACAAAAACAGAACGTTGCGTGCACAGTAGGAAAACGTATATATATACATTTGACCGAAATAGAAAATAATTTAAGTTTAAGGTGTAATTATCGATACTGGATATTAATTTAGGAACATTATCCACCACATTAGACATCAATAGAAAAATAAATAACTGCTGTTCTGATCAAAGCTGTGAGAACATGGCAAATTTCAGTATCGTTGTTTTCAAACTTCGATGTATCGTTAAAATCATCAACAATATTTGAATTAGTTTAAATAACCGTCAAACTTCTTCAAATTCAAATAAAATAATTGTTTTGCTTATGTCCTTGATATACATTTATATAAATTACACAAACGATAACGTATTAGGAATTCCGAAGAGACATAAACAAACAAAATAAAGAGAAGTGTATTAATATACATTCAATTAATATATATCTCTTTTTTTGTTTGAAATTAAAATGGTATTAAAGAGTAGCATTTTTGTATATGATTATTTCAATGATATTAACGCTGCGAATTTAAAGCGAACCAATCAGTTGTTGCCACTCAAACTTAAAGTTCAAATACAAATTTTATTATAATCGAACAAAATATTTAGTTATTTAAAGAGGGCGCCAAAGATCAAAAAGATGGCGCTTCTAAAACGAATGAAATATCGATAAGTATCAGTATTTTTGTGCTGGATGAAATGTTCCTTTTAAATTCGGTCCTCCCACAGCAAAAAAAAATTAGTTTTCCCACCAGTAAAATGGATAAAAACGCAAAACAATGAAACTTCGGACTTGGCGTTTTGCCTCACAGCTCAAATAACTATTTTGCGGAATTTAGTCGCTGTTGCAGAAACGTGCCAGTGTGAATAGGCTTCAGGGTTACGACTTGTTGCTTAATTTGCTTCAAAAATATCGGTATCGAAGTAGGAGCCACCCACTCAAAACGTGCCATCCCTATATTACTCATGAGAAAATCAAAACAATAACATAATTTAAATTGGTAAACATGAAGGACGAGCAAAGCTCTATGTGTACGTATGGGACTTCAAATGAAAACAATTGGTGTTTAACTTGACCCGAACCTCTCCTGCAATAGCTATGTTTGCCGAGGATATCCTGAAGGATTACGGGTCGTTTATGTCAGAGCACGATGGGAAATTAAAATTGTTAAGGAATGAGGTGCCAAATTCTGATTTTGTAGAGCCCTCGTCATGTATATATATGGCTCCCGTAATAGAGGTAAACTTTGTAGGCAACGACTCCATCGTTTCGGATAAGAACTTTGAGGAATCGGAGCTTGTGGCGAATAAACCTCTGACGACCTTAGCGAATCTATGCAACCAGTGCAGAAACTTGTCCCGGAAAGCAAAGAGGTTTCAGTTGGCGTTTCAGTTTACCGATTTTCGGCTGGATGATTCGTCACAGTTCCAATCATTTGAGGGCGCCGTTTTAGAAGGAGCCTTGGTTTCGATGAGTAACTCCATGGATTTCTTCTGTCAGGTTTACTTTTTGCTCAAACGCATGATTGTGATACTCCAAAATCTGTGGAGGCAAATAGCCGCATCGGTCTGTGTACCAGTGGACGTTAATGAAGTCCATATATTCGTAAGTAAAATAGTTCGAAATTTAAAAGAGTTGAAAATTTGAATCGGTTCCGATTAAATCAATAGGCTGTCTTTGATGTTATGGCTGAATTATTGGAGCATGTTGTCGTTTTTAATGAACTAGCGAACCAATCAAAGATTTCCGCCATGTGGTCTCTCTACAAGAAGTGGCTAGTTACGTTGTCCAACAACAGTGGACTATCCTCTGACCGATTCACCAGCATGGAGCTCAATGGCCTCAGTGTGTCCCTAGTTGACATTGAGAATGTCATCACAAACGACTTCTTTCGGGTATGGAAAACTTCAAAACGAGAATATCATCCGACTTAATGTACTTTCTTGAATAGATTCTTCTAGATAGCCTGATGGAGTTAAAAAAGCAATTGAGCCTGAACGTTGTAAACTACATCACCCAGCATTCCAATGCCTACATTCGCAAACAGCTTCTTGATATTGATGTGAGTCAGAGCAACGAATATAGAAACTACGAAGATCCGAAGCACATAATTCGCTTGACTGCCTTCGTTGCGGTGGTGCATGAGTTTGGCATCCAAATGGAAGGAAAATTAGTCAGAAGTGTTGTCGACTTGGTGGCCAGGCATAAACAGGTGTCCATCAACCGAAGTGTGTTCTGGTCACCTTCGTCATTCCTTTCGCAACATGCCAAAACTCTGATGAAGTCACCAGCCCGAACCCAAGATACCCATGGTCCGAAAATCCATAGCACAGTCCTGGAGAAATTCAAGCTCAGCGACCAGAAGAGTTGCCGTCAGCTGGGCACACAGATCTCGCTGTGGTCGATTAGAATGCAGAGAGTGTTTGATGCTGGAGTCTTCGGGCATCTAAAGACCTTTTCTCACCTGATTCTCACTGGGCAGTCTTATGCCAACCAAGTCACTGTCTTGGCGGTCTCCCTGATCAACCGCCACGCGGCTCTCATGACGCCCATGACCAAATTCGACTGGTTCGTGATCTCTCGATTGCTACAGTACCTAAAGATTCTTCAGAATACCTTTGAGTCAAACCAAATCAATTTCGTGCGTTTTATCAGCTCGCTGATACAGTGGCAGAAACAGAAGGTCCTGCACTTACTGCACACCACAAAAAAGAAAATTGTCGATCTCAAATTGCTGCAGCGCAAGATGAATTTCTTGTCAACAATGAAGCTGGTTGAGAAGTCCATTATTGGCTTTCCGAGCAAAAACCGACTAACTTTTATAAATCTGGCTCTCGGCGAGTTCCTCGATAATCGTATTCTTCCTGCCGACAACCAGAAGCTGATCAGGTCGATTATACTTAGAGCTAATAATATCAGCAACCTTATGCGCGATATCAGGGGGCAACTGGACTTGTCCGACTCGTCGAGTCTGATATACAATTACTGGTTTATAAACACTTTGGTGCAGAAGGAGTACACCGAGATGCAGCGTAATCCGTTCTCCCTACAGGTAAAACCTACTTAAAACAATTAGACTTCTATTTCAACCTTCCATCTGCAGAGCATTGTGTCAGTAAGCCATAATCTGGACAAGAGCATGGCTATATTTAGGGGATCAAGGTGCCCCAAGCAGTCGGCCAACGATTTAATTATTAAGTTTTTATGCAACCACTTAGAGTTTTATCTGCGGGTTGAGGCCCTTTCGCACCTGTTCCAGAATCAAGACCAACCATTCCAGCAAAGTGCTTTAGACTATCGCCTCTGCATTAATGCGGGGTCTACTGAAAATGGTGGTGACTACAATATTATAAGAGGTAAGAGCTTACTTAGATTTGTTCGATCTAATACAACCTCGAGTGTATTTTATTTTATCTTGTTAATATATTTGAGTATACATCTTTCCAAAATTGTTTTTTTTTTAATTAATTTTCTCCTTATTATTGATGAACGGTTTATTGCAGGTTGATTGGATTAAAAATAAGCAACTATTTAAGATATTTCTTTGGCGTTACAGATATTGTTAGTTTATTAATGAAATTTCAATATAACAATACCTCTTTAAACAATACCTAAAGGTATATCAGAACTCACCCCAGAACAATCAGATAAAAAATAAAACTGCGTTTAAGAACAAGTTCCCAAGGTTATTTTTGATAAAAATTAAATATTTTATATTTTTGATTTTTATGCGTATTTGCTAAAAAACAATGAAGCTATGTCGATTTTTCAAAGTTTTAACTTTTGATTTTTGAAAAGAAGACTGTGACACAATATTGTCTAATTTCAATATAATTATGCCCTTAACAGATTGCGCTACTTTGCGCCGCAAGCAAATTATCTGTGTTGATAAATATTTATCAAATAATTATATTCCGCACATAAACATTACTCTACCGAATCGAATTTCACGATTTGTGGGCGTTATAGCTAGAACCTGCCTGTTAAATCGACTTGGCTTGTAATCATTGTAGGGTTGGGAACGCTATCATCTACCATTTACATACTTTTCAACGAATTCTTTATAAAAAATATTCTACATCGTTACCTCGAAAATGAGGTAAAGACTTACATATTTGCAAAATTATACACCGTCTTTTTATACACCTGGTTCGAAATTGCAAAACATCTTGTTTTAAAGAGCCACATTTCTTTCGATGGCTTTCGGGCAATGAAATTGACATCTGACGTTTCTTTTAGATCACCTAGAGAATTATTTCACTGCAACGTTCTACAACCTTACGACAATCGCCCCGCACGACTGGAAGTCGTACGAAAAGATGCGTCATTTGGCCAACAAGGTGTTGAAGCTGCGGCCAATGGATGATCACCTGCCCAAACAGATAATTGACCAAGTAATCAGCCAAACTCCCCAATTGTACCATTTACTCATTAATCCATTCTTATTTAATCGGCAGGGTATAGACGTGCTCCAGATCATGCGCAACATCCACACGTTTGCCTCCTCCTATGCCTACAATATGAACCTACAGTTGTTTGTGGAGACGCACAGCAAGAGCAAGCACCTGGACATCATCGGCACACGGCACGTGGCCAACTCGGTGCAAACGCACGGTACCGGCATTATCAACACCACTGTCAACTTTATTTACCAGTTCCTGCGTCAGAAATTCTACACCTTTTCCACTTTTCTGCACGACGAGCAGATAAAATCGCGACTACTCAAAGAGCTGCGATTTCACTCAGAGCACAAGCACAGCAAAGAATACCAATCGTATCCTTATGAACGCGCTGATAGCTTTCTTAAAAAGATCAGAAAACTCGGTTGTTCTGGCAACGGCGAGACCTATATGGACCTATTCAGAAAAGTTATTACCCAAGTCGGTACGTAAAATAAAATATAGAATCTCCCCAATCCGATACTCGATTCAAAATTGACCAGTTGTCAGCTTGTCTATCTGTCTGCATAAAATCCCGGTTTTAAAGCTCTTAAATCATACATTATAAAAATATAAATTAAATTTGATTTTATTTTTTATTATTATATTATGATTTTATCGACAAATAATTATGCTTTCAAAATTAGGCAATGCCGTGGGCTATGTGCGCCTCCTGCAGGCAGGAAGCAAGAATGCGAACTTTAGGAGTCGTTCATATAAGACCAGGCTCGACAGCAACTTCAGTTCCGGAGGCTCCAAAGTGCATGAGGTCACAGAGGGCTCCATTAAGGAGTACGAAAAGAGCTTAGGCCACATGAAGGAATGCTATTCTGACAGCACAAATTACTTTAGGGTGAGTGAGTGATATGACCTGGTCGAAAATACAACTTCTCATTAATATTTGTTTTAGCTCCTCTTACAAGGTTTCCAGCCTTTCTTATGCAACCCCCATAACCACCACCTAAAAACCTTCTACCTCATCACACCTGCGCTCATAATGAACTACATTGACTACAGGGTCAAGCAGAAACTGAAGATCCACAAGAAGGACCAGTCCAAGATCTCGCTGTTCGAGGATGGCTTCGCCATCGGCCTGGTCTACATTCTAAACTTGCTGAACCAGCAGTTGGAGTTCTATGAGCTGGGCTGGAGTCAAACCACCACCCAGCACCTGAACGAAGAGCGCTCCAAGGTCCGCGACATCCTGACACGCCAGCAGACTGCGACGGAGCAGCTGGACGAGAAGCTCTTACAGACCGTGGCGATAACCGAACGACATGTGAATGCCTATGAACATGAATACAATCTGCTTTACGCCACCTTAAGTAGCTCCGAAATATTTTTCCAATAAATTTGTTTATCAAGCCAAATAATGACAACACACTGATTGGTAGTTGGGTGCTGTTTATTGACTTTTATTAAGACGAAAATACAATTCCGGTTCCGTTACATATCGTAGAACGTTGGTATATATAGCGTTAGTTTTGTCTGCCAATATTAAACATCAAACATTTTGCTAAACACCTCATTAATGCGCATGTGTCTCGTCGTCTGTTTTCAATAGAAATGTGAAAGTTACAGGTTTCAACCATTTACATACATAGCCTGATCTAAGAACTTCACTATTCGATTGAAAGCAACATTGAAAATTTAGACAATGTTCTCACGCATGTAATTTTAAAACTCACTGGACTGACATAACGAGGCTATATTTGAATTGAATTTTGGCCCCCATATACAATTTACTGGCCAAAACACCAATGGGAATATTTAAACATGTCTATTGAAAATATGTTGTATTGTATTTCGTAATATTACAGTAATTGGTAAAAAAAATGTTTGGAGAAAATGCAAATGGTTTTCGTCTTAACAGATTTTTCTTCTTGTAATCTTGCTTTGTTTGCATTCTTAAAGAGAACCACTGTTAGCAACCATGATCTTCTTGGAGGTCTTGCCGGACTGCGATCCGTAAGATTCGATCTTCTTGACCACATCCAGGCCCTCGATGACCTCGCCGAAGACGACGTGCTTGTTGTCCAACCAAGCGGTCTTCACAGTGCAAACGAAGAACTGGGATCCGTTCGTGTTGGCGCCAGCGTTGGCCATCGACAGGATTCCGGAGCCAGTGTGCTTCAGCTGGAAGTTCTCGTCGGGGAACTTGTTGCCGTAGATGGACTTGCCGCCAGTGCCGTTGTGGTTGGTGAAGTCGCCGCCCTGGCACATGAAGTTGGGGATGACGCGGTGGAAAATGGAGCCCTTGTAGCCGAATCCCTTTTCGCCGGTGCACAAGGCGCGGAAGTTCTCGGCGGTCTTAGGCACGACGTCGGAGCGCAGCTGGAAAGGACAATCGAATGCACAGAAATCTTGATTAGTATAACAGGAAATGACAAATCGTTGGTCTCTTTAAATTTTAAATATTCAACTGTTTGAACCTGTGGAATATAACTTTCCACTTTTATGGTGGTAGACTAAAACTGACAAAACATATTTAAGTTTACAGTTTAAAACCTATTTTAAGCTTACCATGAAAACTAGAATACTTTGGGTCAGATATTTCGGAACTTGGCTGTTTACACCCTTAAATCCCCTTTTTTTTTTTAGAAACTTTCGTGCTCTCCTTAAAGTATGTTAAATCTTAAGAAAACCCCCAAAACCCTTACCACTTATATGAAAAATAAATTTATATATATATACATATATGTACCTAAACAATATATATACATTTCTAGATTTAAGTCTATATATCGATAAGTATAAAATAAAATTGTATCAGTATGTTAAAACAATGATTTAACAAATTTAAACATGTTTTTAAAAATTTTAAACATTACCTATAAGGTAAACTTACAAAAAAAAGTTTTAAGTAATTTAAATTTTTGGAGGTATGTTTTGACATAATAAATTAACTAAAAAATATTCTTTTGCGAACCCTTGTAACCCGTTTAGTTAGATAATATAAGTAATTGGATTTTATTGTCCACTCTATTTAAGAGTATCCTATTGGAAAGTTTTAGACATGTGGGTTTCTTTACGATTCGGGCAATGACTTGGCTCGGCTACTAAAAATAAAATTTAATGCAATACAAACATTAATTTAATAGACAAATGAAAATTACATCATCAACGAAATTAATACTGAGTTCATTTTTCAAACGGGTTTACAGAACTCGCGCATTCACACCCCAATATCTCTGTGTGTACACTGTACATACATGAGTGACCGCTTAGAGGTTATGGTATCTGTATTGATCTGCGTGAGTATGGGCTGCACGCATACACCAGGAAAATGTATGTGCTGAATACCCATATACATATAAATACCGGTAAAAATTGCACCACACCCGCAAACGTTTGCCGACACGTCAATTAAATTTAAAAAAAATTCCACTCCACAAAGATTAATTTTTAAGCGGTTGTCCAAGCGATTAAAGTTCTAAGTATACCGGAGAGTGCATCGTCATGCAATTACTCAGCCATGAGAGTACAAATATGGAAAATAAGGCAATTCTAGGCTCTTTTGTACACATGTATATGTGAGGCTATTTAAAAGGCCAATTTTTGCAGTATATTTATCCCTGTCAAGCACAGATTAAAAAAAGAATGTATGTATGTACACAGCACTTGCGGCATAAGCATTTTCATGAATTACAGCGTTAAGTGGCCGAAAAATAAGCAATTTAAAAATCACGTGTTCTTGACTATCTCCACTTTCTGCACAAATTTTCCAATAATCTTCACAAAAAAAAAACGTACTTTTGCATTTAAAATTAATTAACTTACCTCCATTATAATCCTACCGAGGGGCTCGCCATCGGCGGTCATATCGAAAAATACCTTAGGTAAAGTACTCATCTTCGACGCTTTCGAATAATCGCGAACAATCTGAAATCCAAATTGCAACTGACCCCTATTCGCACTGCACGCTGACGAAGCTAGGGTTATAGATTTTTTAGTTAAAATGGCGGACTCTGCGATGTGAAATGCCGCTGCCGAGTTATACCGAAAGTGGCGAATCAGAGTTGCACCGAAAGAGACCATCGTGTATGACCGCGTGTATGATACTACATACACGATGGATGGGGTTTCGATTCCACCCATCGCGAGCTGTTACATCACTTTGGGGCAGCTACAAACGCACTTTTCGGTCCGTTCCTTCCCCAACGGAACTGTGGCACAATTTATTACTGCCCGCAACTTGCGATCATTTATTAGAAATAAGCTACGTGTTTTTTGTGCTTTACAATAAAAAAAGGCACATGAATTCACAAAAACAATTAATTTTATATAACAGAACAAGGACAATATCTGCGGTCACCATTAGCAGTGATCAAGACTTTTAATTTACTGTATTGTTTTCCTACAAATAATATTTTGAATCATCTACTTTTTCTTTGTATTTAAATGAATGTAGCCAAGTAAATTTTTTAATTAAGTAGCCTTTTATAAAACTATAATAATACCCCATTTATAGCCGAGTTAACCATACGAATTTTCGATCATTTGCTAAGTTAACGCAACCATGAAGGTCTGCGTGATGTTAGCAAACTCAAGTTTGGGCGTTTGGATGTAGGACAAAGGCTGTTCTTTCTGTTGCAAATGAAAACTAACAAAATCAGGGTAAACAACAGTAAGGCTATCAAATATAAAATATTATAATTTTTAATTGCAAGGGCTATAATTTAAAACCTTTATTAAGCCGAAAAAAATGTATAGTTAGGAAAAGTTCAAAAAGCTTTTACATTTGTAAAGTTTAAAAAAATGTAATTTTATCATATTTTTTGATGTTTGTAGTGATAGTGGCTGTCGATAGTTAAGCGATAGGTCAAACATCGAGAAGAAATCAAAAAAGATCAAGGTGGCTCTGAATTTCAAAAAAACTAAACTTTAACTTTTTTTCCAGCTTTAGTTCTCTATGCAGATTAAACATACTATCAATCAGCTTGGTGTGTTAAAAAACAGTTAAAATTCAAACAAATTATTTGCAGAAAAGAGCTTTTAAAGGTCAAATCAGCTCTAAGTTCTTGCAGGCGACGAAAAGTATTGACCAGCTGTTTGGCTCTCGCTCTCTCTTATAGTACTATGATCTAGGCTTAAGCATCGTCTAGCAAGCTCATGTGGCCAGCTGATTCGATTTGGCAAGCTGTATTTTTAAGGAAGAACACCAAACCCAAATTCCACATAGCACTCCCAGTGGAACAGTTGGAAATTTTTTAGCTGATTATTTTAACTCTTTCAAACTATTTATTTGTTTAAATAGGATAATGGCTCAAAGCTTATAATAGCTTTTTAAATATAATCTTAAAACTATTCTGTATTCAAAGACTAACTGAGACTTTTTTGGCAAAACCTTATGGATAGTGGATGTTGAATGGTGTTCTGTGACATATGTAACTTTAAATATACAAATTGCAATCGATCTTTGACCTTCCATAAAATAAATGATCTTAATCTCTCTTTATCTAACAACACTTGTATTTTGAATTACAATTAATTCTTTATTGAAATTAAGTGTACTAGGCCACTCTTGACTATAATTTATAGTGTTGTAAAATGTTTGAATCGTCGTTGGGAAAAACGTCTGAAAAACAAATTAAAAAAAATCGCTAAATATTTTATACAAGGGTTGATGATAACATAACCTCGGTTTGGGACAACAAAAATGTATGGAAATAAATATATATGTAATTTTTGCTGTGATTTTGAAAATTAAAATGCGTATGTATATATTTCCTGTGGTTAAGTTAAGTCGACAAATCAAAGACGCAGTAAAGAAGACCCACTATTTCAAGCTAAACTCAAAATGGCAGGCAAAATATGGCTTTCGAGGAACAACAATTGCTTACCTTTCGAATCAAAACTAGAAAAGAACAGCTTTTCATAACTCGAGATATAGAGTTAGCTTAATGTGGACACGATTATTTCTATTTCTATATATTATTGACACGTTTACCATGGCACAAGATAAAAATGGTGCATATTATTTTTTTCAACATAATGAAGAAAATGTCACCTAACGTTTTCGCGTTTTAGGCCGTATTAAGATATGGCTTAGAATGATTTTTTTAAACTTTAATTATCGCTCCGTGTATCTTTTCACGGAGCGGTAAATATTCAGGCAAGCTATAAAACTTAAACTTTTCTTCAGACAAACAGCTGTTTAATTCTTGTTGGTGTTAACTTAGAATGGTCAATAATACATATTTGTTCAGAAAGAACACACATATCAGAGAGATAAGAGCCTGTCTATGTTTAGGCAATAAAATTGTAACTACACCAAATTGTTGCGTCTGGCCTGCAGATGTCCTGCAAATAGGTACCTAGAACGCTTGGAGTGGTCACCACATGTTTAAAGATAAGTGCGATCGAAGGTTTCCCGGGTCTAGAGATAAGGATTTTCAATTCTCATGTTAGCTACCTAAGCTAGGATTTTAAGAAATAAAATCAGTTTGAAATATCAACTCAACAGTGATAGACGCTTGTTTCATTTACAGCCTCCCTGACAGTCAATAATATTATTAACAAGAATATTTTTATTTTCAAATCTATCACTTTATTTTTACAACAATGATACGTATATTCATTTATAAAACTATTAATACATAGTGTAGAGTATTTCTTCTAGCCAGACCCTTTACCCTACTCACCAGGAAATAGTGAGATTACCATCAGTTGCCCTCAAAAAAAAATCAAATGGTACTTTCACACGCGCATCAAGATAAAGCTGTTGAATCATGGACACCGGTTCCACAGATACATAATTAGCAAAAGCCTTACTTTTTGATTAATCGCTTTGGGTTGGAAAGCTAAAGTATTAAAGAAAGTTTAGATATAGGGCTTGCTCTTCGAGAACAAATTATGCATCTTAAAGCTAAGGAGATTTTTGAAAAACAAATCGCAAAATAAGCAAATAAAAACAGAAATAATAAAAAACGTTTAGAGGCATTTGTTGGGACCCTCGGCTTCCGCTAGCTTCAGCGACCAGTGGAGATTTTTGGTTGTCGCGGCACATTGTTTGGTTCCTGATAAAGTTGAACATGGACTCGACGAGATTGGCCGGAGTAATGTCCGCGCACTGCTCCAGTCGGCTGACCACGCAGGATTGGAGGGTCAGCATTTCGTCGCACTGCTTTTGGCCTACGGTTAGCTTGGGGATCGACTTGATCCGATTGTCTTCCAGATCCGAGAAGTTCAGATACTCCGAAAACGTGCTGTTCACGCACTGTTGAATATTGTCCTTCTGCGACTCAATGCACTCGGGACCCCTCTCGGAGATGAAGAGGGCTATCTGGTCGCCGTCTTTGTGACACACGAAGTTAAGCAGGCTCTGGATGATTCGCTTAATCATATCCTGGCCCTCCCGTTCCTCCTCGACCATGCAGGGCACGACCTTCGACGAGAACTCATTGACGCATTCCACGGCAAGGGACCGCCTGATGCAGTATTTATTGAACACCACATCGAGCTCGCCTTTTGGGCTGGCCTCCTCGATTTCCTGCTTTATTACCGTATAGTTGACTATGCCGTTTAGGCATTCACCGAGGACCATAAATCCGGATTCAATCTCATCATACGCCAATCCACCCGCCTCTTTGCCGGCCACCTCGATGCATTTGTTACGGATTAATTCCTTGGCATCGTTAAGGCTAAAGTTCGACTTGCTAAGCTGATCTGGAAGTTGGGTCTGGATTTGGTCTAATTCCAGCTGGGCGCGTATGCCAATATTACAGAAGAGAATTAGCGATACTGCGCCGATTGCATGTGCCAAAAATGTCCTGCTCATCTTGAGTTTTTCCTGTTTATTTTTTTCCCTTGTCTTCGTAAAGGTCAACTCCCGACGAATGAGTTTTGCACTAAAACGATATCTCTCGTTTAAGCAACCATAACAAAATCATTTGGTTTGGGAAATCGTGATTACAAAAAATTCATTAAAGCGATTGGAAAAATTAATTTAATTATGACTACAGTTATATTCCATCCCTCCCGTCGGCTAGAGGTGTAGAAACAGCGATGACAATATCGATAGCACAGACACTGTTTAGATGCGACATCGATAAGATAGATATTATCTTGTTAAGTACTCTACACAGAGCCTCGAGTTAGCTATCGATTATTTAACGCAATTACCTCGTCCATATTGAGATAACTCAATAACTGCGGAGGGTAAGGAACTGTTGTTGTTGGTCAGTCAAATTTTACCCGCCATATCATTAAACAGTTGTGCTAGTGGTGATACCAACTAATAGGTCAATATATCTAGCAAAATCGACTGAAATTCTGCTTCATTTCACTTTTACCTATCACTAGTTTCCTATGGTAAACCTATTCATAAAAAAGGAGTATTAATACAATTAGGCGGGTGCAGCAAAAGAGGAGAATCTCTTTCTTAATCGTTTAGCGAATACCCTAAATATTTATAGATCGATATTTATCAACAGAAACGATTAAACTATCGTTGTTTTGTTTGCTTTCGATGATATTGAATAAAGGTGCTGGTTCAAACGAACAAGATAATGTAGATTTTACTACGTGAATCTACGTGTGAGCCTGGTTCAAGTTGACCAATTAAAAGATGTTGCGACGTGCGATTTAATAGTTTTGAGGGGGAGGGGGGCAGTTTTAATGACGATATGGCCCCCGAACAAAGGACGGAAGTGGGGGACCTCACTATGGAGTCGATCTCCATATTAAGCTTGGTGCTAACAGGTGTTTCCATTCTATGGAGGTTCGTTTCCATCTTTATCAACTGGGGCCTAGCCTACCATTTTTGGATGGAAGATTCGTACGGATACTGTGCGTGGACAGTGGGCTCGATATTGGTGCCCATGGCAGTCACATCGGCTATATACATACACACGTAAGAAATCGGCGGCAGCTCAATCGGCCTAAGAGGAAATATGGACTATTTTCAGTTTAAGGGCCGCTCCCTCGGGCCAAAAGCGCATCCTGGACAGAGGCGTCTACTCAAACGCCGCGATCTCGTATCTTTTCCGCGACGTCTACGCTCTGAATTACGCGCTAAAATACACCGATGCAAAAAAACGGAATGATAAACAGGAGGAGATGAGGTATGTGAATGCAATTCACCTGATCTTGTCAGCCTTGTATATCCAAACATCGGCTTTAGTTGTTACCCTTGATCAATGTATTTCGCTAGAAGATTGTAATCCAGTGAAGGAGAAATTTCTGATCCTATCAAATGAAAAAACAATCATTTTAATGAGATCTTTTATTTTTAGATATTATCAAATACTTATAACGGAAGAGTGCAATGTTGGCTTCGTCCGGCTTTTTGACTCATTCTTGGAATCCGCACCGCAGAAAATACTACAGCTCGTCATAGTGCTACGATCGATAAAGGAGTTTACATGTAACATGCACAAAATACTAAATAATTGGTTTCATGTATCAAATCAAAAAATCGGATTGACTCCGGAGTCAAACCAATAGTTTTATACATAACACTTAGTATCTTTACAACATTAAACATTTAAATTTGTATAAGGACAACCTTCACATTAACGACCGTAAAACTGTATAGAAATGGAAGGAAAATGTTGCAATACCAATAACCTTATTTTAGTTATGACAATCTTGCAGATTGCCAGAAATTTTTTTATGACGACAAGTTCCGATGTACCTAGGCATTTAAATGATAGCCAACTAAAACTATATTTCCTATTTATTTCTCCAGACTATCGCCTGATTGTCTTCGTCTTCTACTTCGGAAACATTGCGTGGTGCATCCAGGCGTACAATCACTCCAGTCGCTTGGCCCAACTTGACAAACATGATATTGCGGCAAAGGGGCGATTCGTCCAGTTTCTGTTCCTGCTCTGTCTTACCGGTTAGTAGTAGTGGATCCCAGCACGCCAAGTATTTAGTTATTTGATTTTATTTTGTAGTTTCGAGAACGCTTTGCATTGCATACGTGGCCAGTATTTTTCCTGTGGAAACACTGATCATCTGTGCGATGCACGCTTGCTTGTGTGGTTCTGTCGTGTTTTTGGTGGACTTTCCAATGATCACCGAATCGCGGATTTGTAACTACCTGTACTGCCTTTGCTTTGGCATAGTGTACTTATTTATTTTTACCCCCGTTAAGGATGCATCAACCAAGTGTAAATATGTATTTTACCTTACGTTCTGCCTATTGCAAAACATTTTCGCCTGCGTCCTGTTTATTCCCATATATCTTTCAACTGCCATAATTGCCTTATATATTATCGGCATCATGCTTATATTATTTTACTACTCAAATTGTCATCCTAGTACTATACCAACTTATTTCTAGTGTAGTATTACGCAATAGTAGTATCGCAAAACACTCTTTCGTGACAGAAAAAAATAAATAATTTATTGAATTTCAAGTCCTATGTAGTTTGTTTTTAATTGGGGAAGTACCTGAAGCACGATTTCGAAGTAATCTGATGACTATCATACACCTGTTTCATGGACAATGTATTTTGCCAGGAGCAAAGGGTATCAACATAAAATTTGTCCGATACTTTTTAAGCAGCTGATCGAGTTAAACCTGCTAATTTTCTTTGTTTTTACGATTTGTGCCTATATCTTACTGGTTTTTTCCTAATATATATTTTCCTAAACATATATTCGTTTTTTATTCAAGGTTGTGCCCTTTTTTCCAAACTACAGATTTGGCAACAATATTTAACGACAAATTCTTGGCAAAAATCAAAAATTAAATTCAAGACTGTATAATTGTTTTTAATTCGCTTTAATACGTTTTTTCAAGCAATGGATTTTCAAGCATTCGTAGAATCATAAACAAAAGCACAGGCTCAAAACACCGATTTCTCAAAACTGCGTTTTAAAACTCTGTGTTCACCGGTATTTCAAAACAACTTAACAGTTTTTGAATTAAGTCATTTGTTATTTTACGGGATCGTTGGGGGAGTTTTTATGAATCCATGTTTTTTTTAGGTCTTTGATGTAATTAAGTTATTTTTTTAGGTTTGTTTGTCATTATCTTCCAATATAGGGCATTTACTTAAGAGCTTATTTTTTGATTAAGTTCATATTTTGGACAATAATGGCTAAAACGGTTCATATCGTTTTTTTCCCCGAAACCGAAAACCGCCTACTTCGATCTATTTATTTGTAATCAGGGCGACCAAATATATGGATTCTGAAAATTTTAACGAGATCGGAGGTCGATAATACTTAATAATATACAAAAGTGTTAATATGAAAAGCTTTTCCAATTTTCTTTAAAATTTCTATCGATGTTTTAACCATCGATATACTGAAGCAGCGATGGATCATGTATCACAAAGAGGTAGCGTTTTTTATACGCGTTATATTTACTGATCTTAATAAAATAATTTTTTCCATCATCTCCTTGATATGTCCTGCTCACCTCAAATATCCGAGGAAATCCTTCATTGATTAGTGATCGTGTGGTTTTGTTGGACGCGGGAAATGATTTGAACTCTTTTGATTAAAGAAACATATGTATGTGAACTTAAAATTGTTGAGTTCATAAGTACTATCCTACCATAGTTAATTAATTATTAATATATTTAAAAACTCTTATTCAACACGTACATATACATTAAAAACTATTCACGATCAAAAAAAAAAGTCATTAAAATAACATGACGGTACATTTTGTTTCTAATATGAATAGATTTATTACGTGTTTGTGAATCTCATGTGAAGCGACGTCAGGATAAGCAATTAAATCCAATCAATAGATAAATTAGGGTTCAGGTTCATCGCATCGTCGCTGAGTTTATTGCGCAGGCGCAACGACCGAAGTATCTGGAACCAGTGGGTCCAATTAAGCGGTTCCCGAACCGAACCGGTTCGGACTCGAAGCTAGACTTAGCCCAGCTAGTTGGCATTGTATATTTCATGCAGCTCGTTAACTTTCACTTCGGTTACAAGGGGCGGAGACAAAGGCAAAGGCAAAGGCTTATTACAGCAGCAGCAGGATCTAATCGGGATCGGAATTGGGATCGGAATCGGGAGTGATGTGAACAATAACGCAAAGACAATGGCATCCAAATACGAGCGCATATTGAGTGACTGCAGGGCGAGGAACGTGCTATGGGAAGACCCCGATTTCCCCGCGATTCAGTCGTCCGTCTTCTACTACCAGACGCCCCCGTTTACCTTCCAATGGAAACGGATAATGGACCTAGCGGACAACGGATCTGCATCTGGATCGGGATCTGGATCCACATCTGCATCTGCATCTGGACCGGTCTTCCTGAACGAGACGGCCGAGTTTGACGTGGTGCCCGGAAAGATGGGGGACCGCTGGCTGGTCTCCTGCCTCGGCCTGCTCAGCTCCCTGAGGAACCTCTTCTACCGGGTGGTGCCCGCCGACCAGACGCTGGCCAATGCCCACGGCGTCTTCCGCTTCCGCCTGTGGTGGTGCGGGGAGTGGGTGGAGGTCCTGGTCGACGACCGCCTGCCCACGATCAACGGACGGTTGGCCTTCATGCAGCCGCAGGCGTCCAACTGCTTCTGGGCCGCCCTGCTCGAGAAGGCCATCGCCAAGCTGCACGGCTCCTACGAGGCCCTCAAGTACGGCACGCGCTCCGACGGCCTCACCGACCTCCTCGGCGGCGTGGTCCGGCAAATGCCCATCCTGGCGGACACCATCCGGCCGCAGACGCTCAAGGAGCTGCTGACCACCACGTGCATCGTCACCTGCCTGGCGGACAAGGGCGCCTCCGTGGCCAAGAAGAACGTCGCCGAGCGAATGCCCAACGGGATTCTGGTGAACGTTAACTATAGGTAACTATGTGTTCCCTTGTCAAGGGCCATTTTTATAGTTGGTTGGTAGATGTCATGTGTGGGTTTCATGTGCCAAAAACAGTTTCCATAAAAAAAACACATTTGGTTGAACAATTTAAAATATAGGTAGAGACACGTTTGGAATTTAAGGAAAATTTTTATAAAAAACTTTAAAGTATAGGACTGGAAACTTTTTTCGATTCCCCAAATTTTCCCCGATCCGTTTACTATAGATTAGGATAAACTCAATTTTGATATCAATATTTGCCCGATAGTGTTTCTCAAAACTAATTGGTAGATCAAAAAACAAAAAAAAAATTTAATTTAAATATTTGTCCAAACTTTGAAAATAGAAAATTTTGTATTACATTTAAATAATATTTTTGCAGAGGGTATTCTAATTTTTAGTCAAAATCAGTGCAATTAACTTGCTCAGCTTAAACGCTAGGGGCTAGAAACTTTCGCTATTGCTTTCGGGTCATATTAGCTACATTAAGAATTCTTTTAAGAAATTTTCTTATATGTATGTCGCTGGTTTTGCCTAATATGATGTTATCATACTATTTTGGGGCCAACATATGTACATATATTATTCATATCTCTCTATTTTGTGCTTAAAATGGTGGGTGTGTACCAGTTTGACCCCTTCCCATGAGTTAAATCAAAATATCTGTCTGGTTCATCAAAATCTTGCCGATCGGGAATGATCTGAAAAAACTCACTTATTTATTTTGTTATATATTTAATTACAACCAAGCAATGTGCTTCATTCCATCAGTAGATATTGTTAGCCTGAACTGGTATACAAAATTTGAAGCCAATGCATACATATGCACCTCATGTGATTTGATATATCCACGACATTCGAAAGCAAGAAATCTAACACTTCATAACACTTTCAGACTTTCCAGCCTGGACAAGGTTAAGACTCTGATGGGGGACTTGGTGCAGCTGATCTGCCTGAAGGACACGTTCTCCAGCAAGCCCTTCGGCGACAAGACGCACTTCCTCGGCGACTGGTCGCCGACGTCCAAGACGTGGGAGCGGGTGTCGCAGGTGGAGCGGGCGCGTCTAGTGCGTCTGCTGGCTCCCGGCGAGTTTTGGATGTCGTTCTGCGACTTTGTGGAGATCTTCACCATGATGGAGGTGGTGTACCTCGACACGGAGACGGCCAACGACGAAGAGATGCTTAAGAGTCGGCCGCTGCACTGGAAGATGAAGATGCACCAGGGCCAGTGGAAGCGGGGCGTCACTGCCGGCGGTTGTCGCAACCACGAGTCCTTCCACATCAACCCCCAGCTGCTGATATCCGTGCAGGAGCAGCAGGATCTCGTGGTGGCCCTCAACCAGCACACGGCCGTGGAGCCCAAGGTCATCGGCTTCACCATGTACACGTGGGACGGCGACTACGGGCTCAGCGAGTGCCTGCAGAAGGACTTCTTCAAGAACCACGTGAGCTTCCTCAACTCGGACTACGGCAACACGCGGCACGTCAGCTACCACACGCACCTGGATGCGGGCCACTACGTGCTCATCCCCACCACCTACGAGCCGGCGGAGGAGGCCCACTTCACAGTCCGCATCCTGGGCACGGGGGCCTTCCGGCTATCCTGCCTGGAGACGCAGACCATGATCCTGCTGGACCCCTTTCCGGCGCTGAAGAGCTCGGAAGGGGCGGAGCGGGGCGGCGGGCAGAAGGTGAAGAGCGTGTGCCAGTACGAGCCCGTCTACATGCAGTTGGCCGACGAGAACAAGACCATCAACTGCTTCGAGCTGCATGAGCTGCTGGAGGCCTGCCTGCCCAACGACTACATCAAGGGCTGCGCCAACATCGACATCTGCCGACAGGTGATCGCGCTGCAGGACAGGAGCGGCAGTGGGCGCATCACCTTCCAGCAGTTCAAGACCTTCATGGTCAACCTGAAGGCCTGGCAGGGCGTCTTCAAGATGTACACCAAGGAGAAGGCCGGCATCCTGCGAGCCGAGCGCCTGCGCGACGCCCTCTGCGACATCGGGTTCCAGCTGAGCACGGACATCATGAACTGCCTGATCCAGCGGTACATCCGCAAGGACGGCACTCTGCGGCTGAGCGACTTCGTGTCGGCCGTCATCCACCTGACCACAGCCTTCAACCAGTTCCACCTGAAGAACTACAGCCAGGTGAACGTCATAGAGGTGCACCTGCACGACTGGATAAAGAGCATACTCAGTTGCTAGGCGATCGGCGCTTTTGCTAGATTTATATGTATGGTTACAAACCCTTAAACCGAACTTCGTCCCCTTTATTTACCACTAATTTTTTTTAACATCAAAGTTTCTATAACTTAAAATAGTTTTCAGTAACATGACAGGAACAACGGCAACTACAAAATGATCCCACTTAATTGTTAATCAGAGAAAACCAAAAACTGGTCTGATATTTTGATATTTTCATCCGTTTTGTCTTTTCAATTTCGATTTAGCCAGAATTAAGCGAAATCGGTAATGTTCTGCGTCTGCAGAATTATGTACTACTGAGAATTTTATTTATTGTTCTTATTACTACAATTAAACGAGCGCTAAAGGCGAGACGTGTTCAGAGTATTTTTAAAATGTATGTATGTTTATTCACTTTCCCCAGCTTGGGAATAAGGATTCCAAGGTAAGTCTGTATGCAGATACAATAGTTGGCCTTTCCGATCTGCGAAATCGAATTGCGCGGTTAGTTGGATTATCTGACGTATAGTTAAGTATTTATAAAAGAAGTGTGTACAAGCAATTGTTAGCGACGCGAGTATTATGTGTGCATATAGTACACTAGCGGATGTAATCCATAGTAGGCTTAAAAGTAATTGCATGTGCGTGGGTCTTCATAGTAAAAGTGGTATTGAGTCCTGCGGCAGTTTTAAATTCCTAATATTCATAATCGAGGAGATTAAGTGATTCCTCTTTCTTGAAATTTCTTGACTCTGGTCTGGATTGAATCGTGGAACTGTCTTTATCATATTCAGATAGATAGGAAAGTTTCTCTCAATCCACGGACTAACTGCCTCGTGATCCCCGCAGAAACCCACACATGCGCATCACCTCTTAAAATAGTCTGAAATATCAGCGGGTAATCACTACATCCGTAGTTTGTTGTGGACGACATGACCGGGTCTCCTCCCAAGTGTCTCCAATTGAAATATACAAGACGCAACTCAAGTGTTCCTCAATTGACATTACGTTTACATGGACGTTCCGTTCTGGGAGGAGGCATCGCTAATGCGACGGGAGAGCGTCGTCTTGCGGCTGATGGACTTGGAATTGCCGTTCTGATTGGTCGGGGTATCGTTTGATGGGTCCATGGTCCGCAGCGCAGACCGTTTCAGTGATCCGGTGACCTCATGGGGCTCTTGGTATCCGGAGTCCATATCATCGTGGTAGGAGTCCATCAACGGCGTGGGGTCCTCGTAGTCGTAGTCAACGAAGCCATTGTTATCAAAGGACTGCAAACATTGGGTTGGCATTATTGACGGAAAATTAATATAGATTAACTCCGAAAAGACATTTTCTACAAATTTATAAATATTAAAGGAAAATTTTTTGAGTTTTACCGGCTCGAGGTCAACAATTGAAAAATGTTTTAATTAAAAGTTTTCAAATTTTATTTTTTGTTCTTTCCAATATATTTCGGTTGCACTTCGGCAACCGTCTTCAGGGAATTTAATTTTACACGTCTGCACCGTCGGACGTGGAGATTAATAAAATAATATGTATAACATGTGCGAGCTCAAGTCGTTAAGAAATCATGGACGTTCAAAAAAAGCTTATTTAAGGTGTTTTCCCGCTCGAGTGGTGTAATAGAACTTAAAACAAGAGTGAACGCTATAGTCGAGTGCCTCGACTATTAGATACCCGTTACTCAGCTAAACAACTTAATATAAATATGCCTTCTTGTATGTTTTTCGCCTCTCGAATTAGCTCCCGATTTTTATGTTAAGATCTGTACCCAGGGAACACCGCTATTGTATGGCGCCATCTACCCCAAGACATTGGTACCACGGGCCATGAAAGGCGGAAATGTAGGCGCTAGCCAGGCTTAAGCGTTTAATGGGTTTTTTGGCGTTATAGTGGGCGTGGCAAACTTTTATTAGGCCAATCGATAGGTATTGACGAAACAAATACATATCAAATAAAATCTTCATAATAGCATCAAAACTGTGGCCACAGCTTGTGGCTTGTGGGCGTCAGAGGGGGCGTGGCACCATTTTGAAACAAACTTGCGCTGCGTAGGAACTCCTAAAATCTACATGTAAAATGCCAATCTTCTAGCTTTTATAGTTTCCGAGATCTCAGCGTTCATACGGACAGACAGACGGACGGACAGACGGACAGACAGACGGACAGACGGACAGACAGACGGACAGACGGACATGGCTAGATCGACTCGGCTAGTGATCCTGAACAAGAATATATATACTTTATAGGGTCGGAAACGCTTCCTTCTACCTGTTACATGCTTTTGCACGAATACAATATACCCTTTTACTCTACGAGTAACGGGTATAACTACGCATTTGTATACCCTCGCAGAGGCAAATTTAATTTTAGTCAACTGATTACAAAGCAATGACGGAGACATTTCCGACCATATAAAGTATATATGCATTTATTGACCAGGATCATCAGCCGGTTCGATCATGATTGTCGGTCTTTTTCTAAGAAAACAGTATTCACGTATATATGGAAATGGATCACACCTATACCTTAAAGCTGTCATTGGAACGATTGGTCAATGATAATCTGTGTAAGCATCGTAACTTTGTTGTTCTCAATCTTAATTATACAAATAGGAACTGGACAACTAAGTATATAGCCTACAACATTTTGACTGCATTGCAAATGAATGAGACATTTTCGATCCTATAAAGTATAAATATTCTTTATCAGCAAGGACCATTTCACAAAGCTATCATAGGGACGATCAAAAACTTTTTGAAAAATCGTCATAACTTCATTGTTAAGTACATATATGCGTGGAAATCGATATATAGTCGTTTCATAGATATTGCATTTTTGTTGTATTTGCTTCCACCCTTGTTCTTACAAATTTCTTGTTCATATTGAAACTTCACCGCTTAACTTGAAACAAAGAACAAATTACGACTATTATTTGACATTACAGAATTACTACATGATTTTACTAAAAGAAAAGCGAAAATGGTATATTGTATTCGCAATAAATTTTGAAGAATGTAAAAGAAAACGTTTCCGATTCTAAAAAGTTTTCTTGCCTTATATGGAAGACATTTTTTGGCATATGAGTTTTAAGTGAAAATATGAAAATTTTTATAAATGAATCATATAAAATAACAGCCTCGCCTCGAGCTATGCAACATATTTTGTAAGAAGGCAGTGAGTAGTGAGCACTCGACTATTACTTTTTATTTAAGGCTACTATGTATCCATAAAACTCTTTCTCGTTAATTACGCTAGGTTAAGTTCAGAAGGCACTTCAATATATAAAAAAAAAAAAAAAAAAAGACTATTACTTCTGCCCCTGTTTCCGTTTCCCCGGAAGTATCCCGAAGCTCACCTTGACAAAGGACTGCGAGTGCTTCTCGTAGCCGCGGAAGACCTGGCTGTGGGACTTGCCGCGGTAGTCCACCGACTCGTAGTGCCCGTCCTGCGAGTTCTCGATGATGAAGTGCCGGGTGCCGTGGGGCGTCAGGGTGGCCCACAGGAGACGGCTGTCGTTGACCAGTTGGCTCTGGAGCAGGTCCCGGCTGTTGGCCGTGGCGCAGGGATAGAGGATTCCGCCGGAGGTGAAGGCGTTCGACTTGGTGGCCTCGCCCAAGGCGTTGATGGCCGTCTGCTTGATGTTGGCGTCGTGGTACGAAAAGAAGGAGCTGCTGGGCAGGAGGAGGAAGTGGCGATTAGGGGCCGATCCCTGAGAGCCCACGGGAGTGGGAGCCGAACACTTACTCTCTGCATCTGATCACGATGAGGGCCAGGAAGCAGCCGAACACGAATATCCCAATGCAGGACGAGACGAAGAGCCACACGTTCTCCAGGCTCTTGGAGTCGCTCCTCACCAGCTCCATCAGCGCGTTGCCGCTCTCGTTGTGCTGCATCCCGTGGCCGCACATGAAGGCGGCGAAGCACGGCTGGGACTCATTGGAGGGCACCAGGATGTCCACGGTCGCCGGCTTCGAGATCAGGAAGGACGGCAGCGGTGGCGGCGGCATCGAGAGGATGAAGTCCGGCGGCGGACCCGCCAACTGGTCGCAGCTGCCCACACAATTTCCGAGGAGTATGTTCATTTCAAAGCTGAAAGTATCCAAGCGGACTCGATAATTTGTCACCTGGCGTACTACGAATCAATGGCGAATACCTATGTACCCCCTCTATTCGGATTCATGTGTATCTGTGTTGTGTTTGGATTCACAACACTATTTTGGGGGTAGGTTTTCCTATAGTAACTACGAATCTACTAACGGCAGGGGACTAACTATTAACTCTTGCGGCCGATTTTAACATTTCGTACTTCGTAGCACTCTTAAAAGTCTAATATTTTCTAATTCCCGACTTTCCCCAACCGAAGCACTAGGATACGCAGGTACAAACACAACCATTCCTAGAAAATTCCATTGCATCCTGGGGAAAATAGATATTTTGGCACTTATCCCCCACAGTGGCTTAAATAAAGCGTGGCAGGTGAGAATCTTTGGAATCACATTAACGGGTAACAATGATGAACAATTGAGTTAAAAAACAGTTTCAAACCTTTCAACACACAGCCTAGACTTGCGTCAAGGAAATCCCAGTCAGAACTGAGTGGTAGTAACTATCCCAAAAACACGGCTCTCCATCAGAAATGCGCGCGCATCTTCCCCCGACATAGGTAACCAGTAACCTTACAAAACTTTAAAGCCAGTGGCCGGTTACTCCTGTGCCGTCGGACACACCCAGGCTCATCCATATCCATTCTTCATAAAGTATTTATTTCATTTACACACCACTATAAAAATACAACCAATAACATTGATAAGATTGATTTCGCTTTTCCAGCTTTTCCATCTGTAAAGTGTAGGAAAATGCTACAATTACATTTTCGGGGTGAAATACCGCTCAATGAGATTTGAAAAACAATTGTTTTAATATTAATTTAGACTTTGAAATATTTTTTAAAAACTTGAAAGCTTTTTATTCAAAAGGCTTTTCCAAAATCGGACTTTATCAGGACACTTTTTGGTTCAGATCTAGGCTGTGTTATGTGAGGCCCACCTCGCATCATTTTTATTACATTATATATTTATTTGTTATTTCACATCTCCGGCCACTTGCTGTATTTGAGTCAACATGCCAACAACTTTTTAAAAATAAAAAAAACAAATTTTTTATGACGGTCCAAAATTTTAAGCTCCTCCTAATTAGAAAACTCATAACTTCAGTCTTGATTGCTTAAGTTTAATGAAATTGGCGCACAAAAATCAATTAGATTTATTATCTTTCAAAAACAAAATATTTTCATACTTTTTTTCAATTTTTATTAAACCAAGAAATTTTTAAGTAAAGTTTTTCGGCGCGGTTGCAAAGTAAAAATAAATTGTAATGCCAGACCCTATTACTAAAGTCATAGTTTCTGTTTTAGTCGTGAGCTTAAAAATATTTTTAAGTTTTCGGTCGATAAACTAAAAAATAAAATACAACTGTTTTACTACGTCAGTAATAGCTTTCTTTCTTTAAGTTAATGACAATTAAAATATATAGATATGGCTTGCTGATTGGGAATCAGCGAAAACCCACTAAACGAATAAATTTCTAGATTGCCACAGAATTCCGAGCATTTACACAAATCTTGTCACAAATAAGTTATTAATTTGTTTCTTATTTATTTTATTGAGCAGTACTTGGATAATTTCATCTATTGCGCGCCATCAACTAATTCTTTACAAAGCAACTCTGGCAGAACCCTGGTCGTGCTTTTGCCAAAGCATTTCTGGTAGCGCTGTATTTAACCGACTCCTAGTAAATTGCAATCAGCTCTTTTAAGTACTCTCCACACTGCCTCGAGTTTCCTATCGATTGATTAACTCGATTATCCTCTCCGCATTGGGCTAACATCATAACTAGAGTTTTTTCAATGGAAATTAACGAAAAACTAAATGCAAATACGATAAAATAACGATACATTCCAATTATTAAGTTACCCCAATGTAGACATATTTACCGCGTTAAAGCCTAGTATCCAGATCGACGAAAACCGTACGCCAGTCATGATAGAGAGCGAGAGGCAAACAGCTGGCGTTCACTTTTCGTCGGGCCTTTTTTTCACGTCGGTCCCCTGATCGACGAAAAAAATACCAGAAAATTCCATAGCGGAAATTAACTTTGGGTGAACCCTAGCGAAAAGATTAAAAAATTTAATCTTTTGGCGTGCGCTTCTCACTGAACATTATAAGAAATGGAGGGAAAAACTCAAAAAACTCACAAAAGTCGATTGCAGGTGTTTACATGTGAGGACAAAATAACATTAACACTATCTGGGGTGCCTCTTGTCAGAGCAAAATGTTTTTTAGGTCCAGAATGTACGAAAAAACACAATAAAAGTGCAGCTATGAACTTTAAATTAGTAAATAATTATCAGTAAATTAAAATAAACAACTGTTAAATTTAAATAGTATTGTTTTTAATTTCTTTGTACAGCGGCAGACTTGTCTTGCCAAGGTATTTGATAATATCTTTTAAAGGCTCTTTCCCGCAAATACGATATTTGAATTTTAACTGCTTGTCAACAAACCCAGCTGATTGACAGTACGACCGTAGCACGCTTAAATCTGATGAACTCTCAAACTTTTGGTCACACTGGAAAGATTAAAGTTTTTACGCTAGCGTAATCGTTTGTCGATCTGGATTCTAGGCTTTAGAATATAACCGATCCAGCAGCTGAAAAGTGCAAAGAAGGAAAACACATATATATCGAACAGTTTGATTTTAACAGCTGTTAAAAAAACTGTTAAAAGCTAGTGCTCATATGCAATGGAATTTGGATGATGGATCATATACATACATTACCGCCAGAAAATTGTATTTTAAATAATAGTTTTTCTCTTAAAAACACATGTTGCCAAATCGTTTCCATGCACAACCTAAATTACAGCATTGCGCACAACATTCGTAGAAACGACAAATTCAAAATTGATGCAACATGTATCAAAAAAGGAAGCGTTCTATTTTTACTCCAGGAAATTAAACTCGAATCGGAAGACTTTTTTAAGGAGTTAAAACAATAATATCGCTAAATCTATCGGGCTAAAGGAGACTATATTATTTTGACTACAGACTATGAATTTAGAAAACTGCAATAAATTCGACAAGGGCTCAAGTATAAGTTGGAGACATTTTGAGTGTCAAACTAATTGGTGATTTATGCAATTTATTAATGTGCTTGTTTTGTATAACTCTTAAAACCTATTGGTTAATCACAGCACGAACTATAAAGTACCCATATTATAATCGACACATTGCAAAAGTAAGATTTGTTGGTATCTTTTAGAAACTATATATATAAAGTTAACATATATTTATACATTTACATATATAAGTTAGTATTCGTAGGTGGTAACTTTTGTAACGTGCTAGAATAACGAAACAGAATTTAAATTCAACCTATATATTTTGGTTCATAACATTATAAAAGTGCTATTTTTTGTCGGTGTAAGTCATAACGACGCCGACAATCAGAGCAAAAACGGTAAACCCCTGAGCCGCGATTCGAGTGCGCATCATCAGCTGCGACATCTTGCGATTTCCAGTGCGAAAGTTGTATAAACCAGCTGTGAGAGCCGCAGTGGTCGCCAGGCACCCTGCATGCAAAATAAATGCACAATTACACAAATAAATATTTGTTTTGTTTACATAACCCCGGCTATGCTGCGTGACAGAAACTTACCCAGAGGAACCAGCGGGTTCTCTTTTATCTTGCGCTGAAGCTTTTCCTTCGTTGTTTCTACCTCGATAACAGGTCCCAGGTCTTGGCGTAATTGAATCCAATCCAATTCCTCCTCAGGAAGGGAGACTTGAATTTTGTTCGACATATTGCTGTTATTACTAGTAAATAGAATGATGGCAACTACAAAGTCGAATTCTATTGTTGAATTAGAGATGAGCACGTGACACAAACAAAAATCCGTTCGTTCACACCAAGCCTGCGCAAATGCAGCTGATTTCGGTGGTAATTTTGTTTGCACACTGCAGCCACCTAATATTAATATCGAAATAGTCGCAATAACGGGCCTTGCTTATGAAAGTAATACTAATCCAGATAAACTTTAATGAAATAGTCGAATAGGCCTTACCTTGTAATATTTTTTTAGAAAAAAAAGGAACCATTTCACTAAATTTGCAGAAACATTTTTTAACGATTTTTATTCCGGTTCCTTTAATATTTATTATTAAATTTCACGAAAATCTTTGGAACACAGCCGAATCAAACATTTGGCTTAGAAGTTTTTAAACCTATTACGTTTAAAATTTTTATTTCTGTAGAAAAACAGTTGTTCTTTGCTTTGATTCAAATATGAAAAACAACAAATTTTAAAACAATAGTAAAGTGAACAAAAATCATCATTTTTTTTATTAAATTAGTTGACAAAGTAACGGGTACTATAGCGTTCGTTCTTGGTTCATTTAAAGTTTTATATTGTTAAAGATTTAGTGGCCATAAATACTTAGCCTTTTTTTTGGAAATGTGGTTCATGATGTCATAAAAAACTAAGGTTGTCAATAGTTTAAGAAACTAAATTAAACTAACTATAAAAAATAAAGTCAAACATGTTTTTAAGTCCCAAAATTTATGTTTTAAGATTTTAGTCAAGGGGTAAGCTATTTAATAATTTATCTAGACTAATGGTTGCTCCCACTAACGTTGAATATTTTCGTTGAATTTTTAACAATTTACCAATTTAGTCGTTTAGGGAATACCCTAAGTATTTTTTTTAAATTACGAACTCATATAACAACTAACGGGTTTATATGTACATACATATTTGTACTTATGTATGTATGGTGAATATGAACATTGATACTATTGTTGTGCAACATAATTGTATTTTAAATGTTTAATTTTTAAAACTGTTATTTTTTATTACGTTTACATTACGTCTACGTCTAAGAATCAATATTAAAAAATATTAAATATAAGATACATACATATAAAAAAGTATATCTCGAAAAATTAAATTTATTTAATTAATTAAAGCAATTAGCTACTCAAAAAAAAACAATTTACAAAATTTGTTTTTTGGGTTTCTGTGCCCTCACTAATACGTTTACACATAGCTGCATTATTATTATTTTAACATGCCTCTCTTTTTAAAACGGGAGAGAGCGAGAGAAAAAGAGAGATGGAGAGAGAGACCTGGGAAGTACAGTCAGACGGCAATACAAAATGAAAATGTGTATGTAGCAGACACTGCTATGTGTGTTCTATACGTACATATATGCTTGGTATGTATCGATGTGTTTGCATTGATGCATATCGTTTTTGTAGAATTCGTATGTCAAGCGTACATGAATAATACATAAAATAATGAATTTAGGGTGCAAACTTATGTGCATACATGAGTCTTCAGATAAAAATAAAATATGTTGAAAATAAATTTCCCATTGCTTTGTTCAAAGGTACGCTTGCAGGTTGTGTAAAAACAAAACTTATTTCGGTGCCTTTACCTACATACACACATACATAGTATGTATAACAACTGCGTGTATGTACATATGCATACATACAGTTTTGTATTTTTCCCACACTCCATAGTTTGTATGTAAGTTAAGAGGGGTGAGGGTGCGAAGCGTTTATGTACATACTCGTGTTTGTTTGTAGGTGTGCACGAAAGTAACAAGCCAAAATTTTATAAGGCCTTTTCCCTCCACCACGTGTATGTACATATGTATGTATCCTCCGCCCAGAGAGAGTGTACAGTAAGCCCAAGCAAGCGCTCTCACGAAACGCGTCCAGTCCAGTCCCAGTCCACCAACAATTCAGAATGAACCGTGCTCTCACTCTCCCGCTCCCATGGTCTCTCCCGCACACATACACACCGTTGCGCATACAATTCAACGCATACAGAAGTTTCGTTTGGATTTTGAAGCACAGTAAGGCAGAGACGGCTATTCAATTCAATAGCCTTTGCATTCGTTGTTGGTACTCTCTGTGTGTGTTTTCAATCAGGCGAGCGGCGCGCGAACGAACCTCATATTTTCCGCATTGATACGATACCAACAAAACACAGCGATACGATACAATAAAGCAGCGTATGCAGCGCTGTTTGTTTATTTTTTACAAGCTAAAAACAAACGACAAAACAAATCAGCTAGCCGTCCGCGTTCGCGTTTGCTTGGCGCTGCAAAAAAAACACGCGTTTCGTTTCGTTGCCGTGCGTTGGGAGTTTCAAAATTCAGATTTCGAATTTCAAATTAGCGTGTGCCGTGTTCCTTTTTCTTCCCACTATCATACACACACATATGTGCGTGTACATACGTGCAATAATCAATACAATACGACTTACAACAAACTGCGTAGAACAGTATTAAAACTGGCTTAAGACTCAACTCCGACTTGCGTTGGTGTGCGGTGCGTTCATACGATTATTTGTGCAAGAAGGGACGAAAGAGTGGCCAATTGAGTTACTATTTAAGACTGGCAGTGATAGACAGCATAAGAAAGGAAATTAAATAAAGCCAATCCACGAGTAAACCGTTCGGACCAGATCCGATACCTCACAGTTATAGTTATGGAACACTTTCATCAAATACAGGTAAGCTTGTGTGCAGGTATACGGCGTTTAATTTAAAACACCAACACTCAAACGTACTAACACAGTCACAGCCGCGTTGTTGTATGGGTTGCCGCGTTTTCGCCAAACTTAATCATTTTCCCGCCAAACGGCAGTATAATTAATAACTACAATGCATGTATTCACACTAAAGAAGCTTAAACTATTACGCGGATATTTCGGCACCTGATTGGGCTCTTTGCTGCAGTGGAAATTTTTGAAACGCTCTCCTATGGCGGTGTACATGATGAATACATAAGTACATACATACATATATGTATGTACAAATGCTTAAACGTATTTTCATCGTGTCGCTTTGTTTTTAGGTAATAAGTAACTAATGCAATAAGAGTATTCCTGTGTGTAAGTATGCATACAAACAAAAACGACGCTGTACAATCAAAATTGTATTTTGCGTGCGCATCTAAGTCCGCCATTTTTCTTATTAGTTTGTATAAATATACCAATATTTTTATACCAGAATCGTGAATTCTTGCAAACACTTGGCTGTAAATTTTATTATATTTTGTTTGCCAAATGTTGCCGTAATGTGATGTACGCACGTTTGTTTGTATATGTTTGTATGTACAACATATGTGAAAACCTGAATATACAAATCAAATCACAGCTTGCGTAATCTGAAATGGGCTATTTTTCCCCAATGTGTGCATAAATACATAAGTACATAAATATGTATACATAAAAATGTACGACCGAATACTTGGTCATGCAAATATTTATGCGCATACCTTTTTATTTTTTATGTATGTGTGTACATAAGATTATAACTGCTCAGTTGTCTTCCTTTCCAATATATACAGATATGTACGTACTTTTTTTTGCAAGAAGGAGATACCGTAATGCTAGGAAAATTATTTTTGTTTTGCTTTTGAGCTGCAGTGTCTTGGAAATGGGCAAGAAAAACAGCTATTTTCTGCTTTTAGGTTGCTTAAATAATTGCGTGTGGTTCATTCACCATCGACCATTCATGGTTTTTCTCTGACGCCCTGGTTCTAAACTCTAGGCCCTGGTGCGAAAACAAAAAGCCGATTCGATTCACAAGGCGGAACCAGTGCGATTTCTTCTTCTTCCGCAAAAGTTAGTTCCATTTCCATGCCCGTTTCATGTAAAAGCTTTTATCTCGGCGTAAACAGCTGGTAGGATACTTAATTTGTATACAAATCAAGTAAGAACGCTAAGGTCCAAGATAATGATTTAAAATTGGACAATTATTTAAACGCAAAATATGATATATCTATGAAAATGTTTAATACATTTGTTTAATGTATAAAATTGATGAACATTGTACATGTATACGGATTATCTACATGTTTATTTACATGGATGACAACGGCATTGAAAAATACAAAATTGAAAGGATAACTAAAGCCCATAAGTTAAATCGAATCTCTCCTCCAAAAAGGAATTGGTATATTTTTGATGTGCTCAAAATTCAAATACATTTGGTTAGAAGATTTTAACGCAGTGATGTTGATATTTGCGACCTTATAACGTATGTTTGTCTACATTTATATTTTTGATCAGCATTCCTAGGCGAGTCGATCCAGCTATGCCCGTCTGTTTCTAAACCGTTTGCTAGCGCAGTAGATTAAAAAATCATGCCGATCGGACAACTATATCATATATCTGCCATACGAACGCTCTGGAAAAATTAGCTAAGTTTGTTTTGTTTATGAGGAAGTATCAGTATTCTCGCTGTTTATTTTGTTTAATTTAATTGTTTTATACCTTTTGGAACCCATATATATGAGTGCAAGGGTTTGCCGAAGCTAGCTCGTTGTTAATACAAATGGGATCTAAAACCCTCAAAGCTACGAGTACCGAGTACAAAAATAAGCTTTTTTGAACGGAGACACTTATGCTTACGAGCCTCGGTTTTGTAAAAAAACAGACATTTGTGTATATGATTAAATATCAAATCTGTATCTGCAGATTTCGTATCGGTTTAATTTATCTTTCCTATATCTTAAATGCATAGATATCTTAGCTGACATAAAGTCGAGCCTTATATTTATTTTAAATCAAGGCCGACCGTGACCTCAAGTTGGTTTAACTGCTGACTACCAAGTCGAGACATCGCAAAAACAAGTCAGTTTTAAACCTTTTTTAAATCTCGAGCTTAACAAAAATAATATATTTTAACTGTTTAAAACAGTTTCTGAACATGCATATATAACTCGATTCATTTAAGTTTTGAATTGTTGCAGATCGGAAACAATGTCTCCTTTCATTTGCAGTTCGGTAGTTTTATAAGACTTAGAATAATCGGAAAAACTGCTTTGAAATTAGCTGCATCTGGGCAGAAACTTTTCTTTTATCTGCTAGACATTTGTTATTTTTATAGTATACTTCGAACCCTTGATTTAGGTAGTCTCCATTTGGGTCACATATTGTAAATCTCCGCCTAGTCCGTTCGGATGGACCCTTGGCTCTTAAAATCTCAGTCAACTCTTCACGTGCAGAACCCTGATTTTAGGGGAGTTAGTAACAGCCCGGTTCCCACTTTTCGGTTGACAAGAAATATCCGCTAAGCCCTCGTATTGATATTGCCCTGTTTTGATGCATCCTACCTTTGTTATTTGTTATGTTTTACTAATCCATTCACACCCGTAAACTCACTACAATTCTCACTATTAATAATATTAAGGACTATCTTAATAATTAGTGCGATGCTAGAGAGGGGAGAATGCTAAGACTCGAAAATTTGTAGTTTAGACTCAAAGACTGGCATCGCACTATTAATGATAATAAACATCACCAACCAACTATTGATCAGCAAACAATTCAACACTATCAGCAGCAACTGGCTGCTCAGCAACAACAACAAGTACAACAGCAACAGTTGCAACAGCACCAGGTGGTGGTGCAGCAGAATCAGCAGCAGGCACATCAGAACAGCTCCAACACCACAGCCGGCGTTGGAACCCAGCAGCTGTTCACATACAAAATGGCCAGCAGTTTTCCGAATCCGGCCACGACAATGGCCCAGGTGGTGGCCACATCGAACGCCGCCGGCACCACGGGCTATGACTACCGTCTAAATATGGCCCAGGCCGCCGCAGCAGCCGCCGTGCCCGGCTCCCAGTGGTGGTACTCGGCCGCCAATCAGGGCCAGGTCGATGCCAATACAGCCGCGCAACTGCAGCACCAACAGCAGCAGCAACAGCAGCAACAACAGCAACAGCAGCAGCAGCAACAGCACCAGCAGCAACAACAGATGCAACAGCAGCAACAGCAACAGAACGTCATCAACTCTGCCGCGGTAAGCTAGGAACGGCGGTGCTCTCACCGGAATAGGTTCAATCCATCATCTAACATGATTTTAATGTACACCCCACAGAGCCCAATGATCAGGGGCAAGGCAGATGCAAAGCCCAGAGGCCGAATGACCGCCTACGCATACTTTGTACAAACTTGCAGAGAGGAGCACAAAAAGAAGCATCCCGATGAGACCGTGATATTTGCAGAGTTCTCACGAAAGTGTGCCGAGAGGTGGAAGGTAAGTAACACGACTAGCCAGCAAGCCTGAACGGGTATCCTTTTTTAATGACGGTGCTCCCCTCAGACAATGGTGGACAAGGAGAAGAAGCGTTTCCACGAAATGGCCGAGAAGGACAAGCAGCGATACGAGGCGGAAATGCAGAACTATGTGCCGCCCAAGGGGGCGGTTGTGGGACGCGGCAAGAAGAGGAAACAAATCAAGGACCCAAACGCTCCAAAACGTTCATTGTGAGTTCGTAGCAAAATCAATTACCTTATCTTCAAATGTGCAGAAGTGACTGCGAGACGAAGAAGCAATGGATCAATAATGATTTAAATTCTTTTATCTTCCACCTTTAAAAAAAAACAGGTCTGCGTTCTTCTGGTTCTGCAATGACGAAAGAAATAAGGTTAAGGCACTTAACCCCGAGTTCGGAGTTGGCGACATTGCTAAGGAGCTGGGACGGAAGTGGTCGGATGTGGATCCTGAAGTTAAGCAGAAGTACGAGTCGATGGCAGAGAGGGACAAAGCTCGATATGAACGCGTAGGTTTTATTCAAAATGTGTGATTTGGATAGCCAAATGACCTCTGATTTTTCCATTGCAGGAGATGACAGAGTACAAGACGAGCGGGAAAATAGCCATGTCCGCACCGTCGATGCAGGCGTCGATGCAGGCGCAGGCACAGAAAGCCGCGTTACTTGCCGCCGCTGCCCAGCAGCAACAGCTGGAAGAGCAGCACGACGACGACGACGGCGATGGAGATGATGACGAGAACCAATAGGTTTAGCAGTAAATACTCTTCACTATTTATACACACAGTCGTTGTCACGAAGGAGAAATGATAAATGATAACGTTGGTTGATCTATTATCAGGTTGACCAATGTGTGTTGAATATATATTTATATATATAAGGGTGTTCTTTTTAGAGGTTCCGTTTTCCGGTAACAGAAAACTGTCACAAATAGTTCAGATCTGACATCGCTTCTATCAGTCGTGTTTTGATTAAATAGACTAACAATCATGGTGGGAAGGTTTTCATTTTTAACGCAGTAAACAACAAACACAGGTCCATAAAAAGCCCGAACATTGCGTTTTCGGTCTTGTGAATCTCGAATGTGTGATGGCTCTAACAGAAATTTTTTTAACCAAAGTCTAGCTATAAATCCAAGTTCCACATAAATCTCTTGCCCTTTCTGAAGAAGTTTTAAAATTAACCGAAGAGAAGTAGGCTATGAAAACATTGTTCCTAAACTCTGAAAAACTGTATTCCGAATTCTTAAGAGATTCTGTGACACTAATGGATTTTTCAAGCGATTTGCAAACCAACTGAAGAAAACCTCTACAGATTTCTGTGATTGGAAAACCAGAGCACAAATTGTTTTTTTGTGGGAATTTGATCGTTATCGGGAAGTGAAACCTCTAAAAAACACTTATTATATATATGTAAATGCATATATATAAATAATATATAATTTTTTTTTTTAATATAAGTAATCAAATTTCCATGAATTATGAAGATAAATCACAAAGAAACCTTTTATAAGTTCTATGTTAAGATGAATACGATTAAGTATGGTTAGATTAAAATGACATTAATCTGTTTGCAAACCTTATTTGTGCTTCAGTGCTAAGTTTCTCCTAAAGTAATAAGAGAATTATTTTATAAATTGAAGAAATTCATCATGATGTCATTCGTTCTCAGCAACTATGAAGGTTACCACTACATTTATAAATATTGGTACATATTTCCCATTTATTAAAGTTAGATTCACCATAATGAAACTACAAATAATGTGTTTACTCATTCGAGTTTATATGTCCCCAACAAAAAAAACTTAATGAAACGTGATAATGTTAAATACTTAACTCAGTGGCGGGTAATATCTCGATCTATTTATTTTTGCCTCTACATGCGTGAATTAACTTTACACATGTATTTATTCGTTTTTTAAAACCGTGTAATTTAAAAGAGGTATTGAAATTCAATTTTTATTTTTTCATTTGCGAGTTCAGTTTGCGATTCTTGAACTTAGATTCTTGGAGAGATTTGGGTTTGTGTTCATTTGTAAATATATACATCAATTATAATAGCCACGATCATAAGATTCTGAAAGTTGATCTAAGGTTGCCTAACGTTTTGATGGATGAAGCAACTAAAACGATGTCGGACATTGCAACAATTGCTGACTTGTACATGTACATACTATTTGAAGTATTATTAGATGAGACTACGCAGGAGTTAACGAGAATCGAAGGCATGTTAAAAGAAAACCGTATATTACAATATAATTCAACAGGACTGTAAAGTAATGTAAATTACGAAGAAAGTTGGAAGGACGAAGTGAAAAATAGATTAACGTCGGCCTTGAAACCAAGGTTCCAGGCACCGAATGTGCTTATGCAGATAAAGAGCGACTTGCTTCTGCCCATGATAGAAGGTTAGTCCATCTACGTTGGTCGAAAGCATGTTTTTCTTTATACAGCGTGTATAAGCTAAGTAGTGGTAGGTTATAACGTGATAGGAGAGGAGCTGAAACTATAACTATGGATGCGTCAAAGGTCAGTTAACCTAGACGTTTCTAGCTGTACCCCTAACTTCGCTCTCCCCACGTTATGAGTGCGACATATGTATATGTATGTATTTATATATTTTTAGCATGATTTTGATAGAGAATAACTCGCCACCGAGATTATATTCATAGAAGTGTCTAGGCTAAACCCTTAATTCCTAATTTTCTACAAATTGACGGTAACCCCTCATAATAATTACTATGAAAATTCCAGTTCCCCGTGCGCTTGTTATAAGAACTTAACTAATATAAAATAAACTTTTAGAAATGAGATTCTTTTAGATGGAATGATATGTTCTCAAATCCATTTGTCTTTATTATTCGTTTTGAGTAATACTTGGTACATATTAGATGACGAACTTTTATGTTAAATCACTATAAACAGCTTTAGCTTTTATATTTGATAGACAGACAACACTCGGAAGACACCCTGACCGAGTTCCTAAACTTAAAATGTGTGAATTAATTTAGCAATACTGTAGTAGCCACTAAGAATTTGTTTTTTTTTCCTAAGAATTTACACAATACTGTAAAAATAGTTTGAAATAAATTTAATTTAGCTAGATGTACGCTTGTAAAGGCAAATCAGAGAAAATTTGTTATGAGTTGTTTTGCGTACTGCTATGTGCCAAAGTGGTTTCAGGGGATTAACCAAGTATTTAAAAAAAATTGTATTCACAATCAGATGGTTTATGTCATACAATACGTTTTTAGCTAATCTTTCGCCTAGATCCTTAGGGTGTTGCGTGATAATACTGTTTGCAAGTGGACAACTGAAGCTTTCTTTGCATTCGCGTGCTGTCCAAAATTTGTGGTATTTAACATTAACTTTCTGTTGAAAAAGGATGCGATTTTATTCTCTAACCTGTACATAACAAACTAACATTTAAATAGAAACCCTGTGGTTTTAAGTATCTATCCCAAGAGGATAGTGCATAGGCTCTTCTATCAGACATTTAAAAGTATCTATAGAGACATGTCGGTCTGTCCGTCTCTCCGCCTGACCGTATATCTACATAATACAATTGTTCAAACAATGAAATACAACTATAACTTCTTTGTTTCTTAACTCCGCGATATAGACAAATTTAATCATTTCAGAATTACTGTTTTAATTTTATAAAAATATTACGACTATGTCATTGGGCTACAATGGGAACGATCGAAAAATGTATCCGAAAATAGACATAACTTTATTAGTTTTAAGCTATTCGCAAAAGTATCGAAATATAGAATATTTAATTTTTCTTACAACTGAAACTGAAAGGGTATATAAACTTCGGCTTGCCGAAGATTTTTTTTTATTTTTTGAGGAGTTTCTTTTTATAAAATATAATGCATTAACTTTAAAAGAAAAGTAACTCCGGTCATATCATATTACACTCTCTTACTGTGTGGAACCCTTTTATTCCGGTCTTTTACATATTAGATGAGAGGGGGACTGGCTGATTTTTGCTCGTCATATAAGGTTATTCCCCCTAAACATCTGAATCGCTTATTGGTAAAATTTAAACATTTTCATTTTAGGTTTTCAGGAAACGATCCAAAATTGGACCTATTCAGTTGTCAAACAGTTGACCTGCACAACTGAATTATTAACAACTTTTTGGGACTTCAAAACTTGTTTAATTTTATTGTTAAAACTATTATTGACTATTTTATATCATAGTTAATAATCAGTGGATGTTACAGAGTTTCCATGGCCTTTTAATGAATTACGATAGACAACGAAGGTTTCAGCGATTCAGTCGTTTAGAGAATACCATGTTATAATCAAAGAATGTGCATATTTTTTTTGTTCAATAACTTTTTGATGTTTATTTGTTCTTTAGAAAAAAATAAAAACGCATTCGTTTCAGCAGTATTAATTAATTTTTTCATATAGTTTATTTTTAAGTCAATATATAATGTATGTGTATATATGTGACTTTTGTAAAATAGCCTTTTGCCCCTGTCATCGTACCACAGTGACACCGAAATTAAAAGTATCATATTCGGAAGTACACAGAAATATTTTCGGTGTACATCATATGTACAATCCAACCGATTTTCAAGTGAAGAGATTACATAGCCAAGTCCCACAAACACCATCCCAGTGGAATGGCTGGGATTTTTGATGGATGTGAAACAGTCAACAGACCGCTGAGCAGAATTTTAGCTCTGTTAAACTGTTTAAAAAATACATTTTCTGCTTTTTTTCAATGTTATGAGACAACTTTACAAATTGCTGCCTGGGGAGCGTTTGCCTCCCAATCCTTCGCTTTCTTTAATACTTCGCTCCTCTGTTTCGTAGAATTAATGTGTCGACATGTAAATTCAAATTGTTTCGCGCCAAGATTTTAGGGTTGCACGGACAAATAATGGGGTAAGTATTGGATAGGTACGTGCGGTTAGAAACGTAAATCAACCGCCTAGGACTAATTTGAAAACAAAACCTTGTGGACCACCCTCCAAAAGGGTGGTGCTTTGTTGCTAATACCGTTTACACTGACAATATTCCACAACTAGAGTTACACATTAGCTGTTCTTCGTTCTAATACCAATTTTCTGGTACTTTGATTTAATTTAAATGCAGTTTTTGTGTCTTGCGAAAAAGTATAATATTCCCAAAGATCCTTCTAGTAGGCCGCTAAAACAATATAAAATAACTGAGTTTTGTCATTAACTCTGGGACTTAACGCAGATTAACTATTGAACCCATAGTCCCTTCCTCAAAATGTGTTAATTTATTTTTTGTTAAGAATTATATTATTTTTAAACGCAGCTGTGAGATTGGTAAATAAATTCAAGTCTATTCACACAGGTAAAGGTTCTGCAAGGTTCTTTGGGATTTTATCGAGAAGGAGTCAGCTGATTCAAAGGTAATTTGTCGAAAGTAAAAACTAAAACCAATGCCAGTATTTTTTCATCAAAGATAAGGATGGAATCTTGGAGCGTCCAGGATAAAAATAGTCATAATGACCAATGAGGAAAACCATAGGCGGAAAAACTGATATTAATGAGGAGTGGTGGTCAGCACAACATCCATCCACCAAAGGTATGATGAAAAGCATCCTGTACTATTTCGCCAATATTATCATTATCTGCGGAAATTGTATTAATGTATTTAAAAATTTTTTTTTATTTCGGTTTGTTTACTTTCCGTAGGTCGATCAGCTGTTTTTATGAATGGGTTGTAACAACTTTGTTTAAACTCTTTAAAAACTCAAAGGTATAGCAATTCAAAAGAGTGGGGAATGCCCCATATGATTTTTCTTGGTTTAGTAGTTGTGGAGCCATGCCACCTGGCAACACTGGCAGACTTCCAGCAGCTGGCTTATCTTATTTATTTGTGTGGTGTTTTTGGGTACATTTAAAATACTGCACTGTTAAACTCGGGTGTGCAGTTCGCTCTTTGTGCGTTAAATTGGTGGAAGAGGGCGCAGTTGATCTGCGAACAGTTCCACACGCTGGAACCCATAGCTTGCATCGGCGATTGGTTGGCAAGGCACCACCTGTAGCAGCCTGTAGTATAGGATAGGGATAGGGATACAGATACGGACACGATGAGCTGCTTTAGTGCGATGAGTGCCCCACTGCTCGGCGAGATGGAGCAGACCATCGGGATGCTGGAGCGGGGGACCATCGTGACCAAGCTGTACGGGAAGCAGCGGCGGCCGGACCGTCGCCACCTGATGCTCATACGGGAGACGCGGCAGCTGCTCTGGGCCACGGTGGCCACGCAGACGCCTCGCACCGACTACGAGGGAGCTATCCAGCTGCGCGAGATCCGGGAGATCCGGGTGGGCAAGCACTCCAAGGAGTTCCGCTTGTTCGCCGACGAGTGCCAGCGGTTCGAGAGCAGCAAGTGCTTCGTCATCCTGCACGGCAGCCACTTCAAGCTGAAGAGCTTCTCGGTGGTGGCCCTTTCGGAGATCGAGGCGGACAACTGGGTGAGGGGCCTGCGCTACATGGTCAGGGACACGCTGGCCGCTCCATACCCTCTGCAGATTGACCGCTGGCTGCGCCGGGAGTACTACCAAATCGAGAACGTCAACTCGCACTCAGCCAAGGCCACGGAGCAGTCGCCGGCGCAGGTGACGATCAAGGACTTTAAGCTCTTTTTGGCCGGGGTCAGCTGCAAGATGACTACCGGAAAGTTTATGGAGCACTTCACCGAGGACGTGCGCCGCAAGCACGACCTCAAGTTCGACGATTTCTCGCGGCTCTACCAGAAGCTGCTGTTGCCCAACAGCTTTGCCAGCATCCTGTCTGGATCGGGAGCGGCTGGCTTCCCGTACTCGGAGGACCAGCTGGTGGTGCGGCCGGCGGAGCTGAAGCAGTTCCTGGAGGCGGAGCAGCGCGACCTCAGCACAAGCGAAATCAGTAACGCCTCCATTGCCGCCTTCATTCGGGACTTCGTGCAGGATGTGGAGCGCGATGTGCAGGAGCCCTACCTGACCTTCCCCGAGTTCGTGGACTTCCTGTTCTCCAAGCAGAACGACCTATGGAACAGCAAGTTCGACTCGGTGTTCATGGACATGAACCTTCCGCTGTCCTCCTACTGGATCGCCTCATCGCACAACACCTACCTAACTGGCGACCAGTTCTCCAGCGAGTCCTCCTGCGAGGCCTATGCGCGCGCCCTGCGAATGGGCTGCCGCTGCATCGAGCTGGACTGCTGGAACGGGCCCGACAACCTGCCCTACATTTTCCACGGCCACACCATGACCTCCAAGATCAAGTTCATGGACGTTATCAAGACCATAAAGGACCACGCCTTCATCACCTCCGAGTACCCAGTGATACTGTCCATCGAGCAGAACTGCTCTTTGGAGCAGCAGCGCAACATGGCGCAGGCCTTGATCGAGGTGAGCTCACATTCCTTAGAACTTTTCCTATATATTTGCTTTATATGCCATCCTACATACATATAGAATAAAACAATCGACAATTTTTTTTCACAGACTTGCAAATAGTTATTCATGAATGTGTAGTTTCAAATTTGTCCAATATCTTTGCAAGTTATAGCAGTCAAAACAAGTAAATTAATACCTTGGGCGCCAAGGTATCAAAGCCGTTTTTAATACTACTACCTAATCAAAATAATGTCCTTTATTTTAAATTTTCGCTTTTTTTTCCTAGCAAGAACAACGGACTCTAAAAAATATCACTTGTCGATTTTGTCTTTAAGTTTTATATGTATCTCAACTCTTATATGCCGATTTCTTAAAGTTGACATGGAGTTACACAGTTGAGTAAAACTAATTTGCTTTCCAATTTAATGCCAATTTTTAGAACGAAAAATCGGTCTTAAATTTAACATTACCATTTCTAATAATTTATTTTAAAACACACATATCATTGCACCAATGTTTTCAGGTGTTTGGGGACATGCTTCTTTCCCAACCTTGTGACCGGAACGAGAAACACTTGCCCTCGCCATACCAGTTGCGTCGCAAGATTATCCTAAAGCATAAGAAGTTGCCGCAGTTTGACGATATCAGCAATGGGATTTCTGGCACAGGGTCGTTGGGCCCCAGGTCTTCATTGGCCAGCGGAGGTGGTGGAGCCCACGGGGAGAACGATGGCGAGAATGTGCGCAAGGTGTTCAAGGAGGGATTGCTGTACTTTAAGGACCCGGTCGACAAGTCCTGGAATCTTTACCAGTTCGTGCTTACCCATCAGGAGCTAATCTACTCCTCCGAGATTAATGAGTCGCGGAACGGGAACTCGGAGGATGATGACTTTGGGCTTTCCTCGTCGTGTTCGCTGAACAGCAACATGCAGCAGAAACAGAAGGATACGTCGGCCAACGACGAGTTGCACTTCGGCGAGAATTGGTTCCATGGAAAGCTGGAAGGTGCGTTGATCCGAGCAATCAAAAAGTTGTTTGGAACGAAGTATTTGGGTTAAGTTGCATAAGTTATTATATTTTTGACCAGATTTTACTTTCCCTGGCCTGTTTCGATTTCATTTTATTACACATAATTCGTAGTTCCTTTTTTATATCTGTTCCAAAGTTACGGTGTGCTTTGGTTGTTCTGCTTTAGACATCGATTACTTAAACCCTTCTTGAGTCCAATAATTTCGCAAAATTAATCGTCAACCAAAACTCGAACTATATAAAAAAAAAAAGTGACATGTTAATATTATGGAGTTAAACTCCACCAAAAAATGGTTAACATTTTTTAAAATTAATTCTGTTGAGTAGTGTATTTAGTCTGCCATTTCACAAATGGTAATTCAAGTAACATTTTTAAAGAACTGAATGCTTCATTTATATTTGCAATTTATTGGAATTTTTCATTTTATCTTTAGATTAACATCTAATATATGTGTTTCAGGTGGCAGGAAGGAAGCAGACGACCTACTCAAGCAGTACAAACATTTTGGGGACGGAACATTTTTAGTACGCGAATCGGCCACATTTGTAGGAGACTATAGTCTATCATTTTGGCGACGAAATCGACCCAATCACTGCCGCATTAAGTTGAAGCATGAAAATGGGTCTATCAAGTACTATTTAGTAGAGAATTTCGTTTTCGATTCACTTTACTCCTTGATAGTTTACTACCGAAAGAACATGCTGCGAAGCTCAGAGTTTTCGATTATACTGAAGGAGCCTGTTCCGCAGCCGAAGAAGCACGAGGACCAGGAGTGGTTCCACCCAAACACCACCAAGGAGCAGGCCGAGCAGGGTCTATTTAGACTGGACATCGGCTCGTTCCTTGTGAGGCCGTCGGTGCAGAGCATCAACGCGTTTGTGATCTCGTTCACTATCAATCGGAAGATAAAGCACTGTCGCATTATGCAGGAGGGTCGTCTGTACGGCATCGACACGATGAACTTCGAGTCTCTGGTCTCGCTTATCAACTACTACACCCGCAACCCGCTCTACCGCAATGTTAAACTCAGCCACCCGGTCTCTCAGGAGCTGCTGCGTCAAGCACTAGCGGAGGTCGCCCAGGGCGACCACAGTGGCAGCCTCGACGACAACGGGGCCTCCAACTACATGGGCTCCCACCTGGAGGAGTATGTCACCTGCAAGGCCCTCTACAGCTACAAAGCGAACAAGCCCGACGAGCTTTCTTTTCCCAAGCACGCTATCATCACGAACGTGCAGCGGGACAACTCGATGTGGTGGATTGGGGACTACGGCGGAATGATAAAGAAACATCTGCCGGCAAACTACGTTAAGGTAACATCTGCAAGTATACTTCAAAATAAAATTGTGAAGCTGCAGTCAATATTGTTTGTCCGTTTAATACTTATGTATATCCAACTTCTTTATAGTAACCAACAATCAAAAAGACACCAGCTTTAGAGTTATAAGACTCAATAATATACGATTTGTGGTGTTTAGCAAGATTTCTCAATCTTTGAGAGAAAGAATAACAAGAACTAGAAGTCAAAAGTCAAAAGTGATTACCGACAATCAGAATTAACTCCAACATTGTATTGAGAATGTAAATGTTAATTGCAAATTAATGTCAAATCTTAACCAACATTCAGAAATGGGCCCTAAATGCATCATCCCCAGATTGTCACATTAAATAATATTAGTATTAAGAACAGTTTTATGAAAAGTATATAAAGATAATGTAAGTTTGTAAGTAAGTTCTCTGACCCCATTAGTGCATATTTAATTGTTTTATTTCTTTTCACTATTCAGGTTATTGATTCCGCCACGGAAGACTACAGCTCGTTGAACGAGGAAGGTTCCGATGGGCGCACCGACTCCATTGAGATATTCGGAGCTGTCGCCTCGCTTTTTGAGTCTAACGATCCAGGCATTATCTTCAAGCTGCAGATACAAACGCCAACGATGCAGAATCCTTTCGTAATCGGTTTTGACAACCAAGAGACGGCCTACGAGTGGGTGAAGGCCATCCAGGAAGCGGCCCTCATCGCCAGCCAGCTGGCATCGGAGCGACGGAAAAAGGAACGCACTGCCCGAGTGGCCAAGGAGATGTCCGACCTGATCATTTACTTCCGCAGCGTGCCTTTCCGCGAACACTCGTGGATATTTCAGGAAATGTCCAGTTTTCCTGAAACGAAGGCGGAGAAGCAATTCTTCCAGCAGAACACGCAGCTCTTCCTCTCTTATCACCGCAACCAGATCAGTCGAGTGTACCCAAAGGGTCAGCGGCTGGACTCGTCGAACTTTAATCCCATGCCGTTCTGGAACATCGGATCACAGATGATCGCTCTGAACTACCAGACGGGTGACAAGGCCATGCAGCTGAACCAGGCCAAGTTTAGGAACAACGGGCAGTGCGGTTACATCTTGAAGCCTGCGTTCATGAAGTCCGATGGCTTTAACCCCAACCATCCCTTGACCGACAACTTCAGCGAGGTGAATGTAAGCATTCGCGTTATCGCGGCCCGCCACCTGTTTCGGGGGGGAAAGTCAAACAATCCACAGATCGTGGTTGAAATAATTGGCGCGAGCTACGACACCGGCGTCAAGTACCGCACCAAAGTCAACGAAAACGGGTTCAATCCCGTGTGGAACGAGTCGTGCGAGTTCAACGTGCGCAATCCGCAATTCGCGATCCTTCGCTTCGAAGTGCAGGACGAGGACATGTTCGCTGAGACGCACTTCATCGCACAGGCCTGTTATCCACTGACCTGCATACGGCAAGGCTATCGCAGCGTCATCATGCGCAACAAGTTCAGCGAAGAGCTGGAACTATCGTCCTTGCTGGTCAACATCAAGATCGCAAATGCCACTTCCTCATAAATGGATTCGTGTCTTGTTAAGTATATCGGATCATTGATGGGTGTATTGTACTTTCTATTTAGAGTGCGGCCAATGACTCCAAATCCACATGTAAGTGTGGATTAGTCGATTGGTTAGAAAAACAATTGTGAACTAAAAGAAAGCAAAGCTATTTCGCAAAAGCAATTTGTCAATCGCTGTACATACATAATTCCATCAAACTATGACCTGATTCTCCGACTTATACTAGTTTTAAAAGGAAGAAACTTGAAACGTGTTTTGATTTTATTTATATTTATTTCTATACACATCTTGAGTATGAAAATGCATACTATACTATTAGTATTGAAGTAATCGAAATCATTCAAATCAAAACATAAACTAAATTGTTGTAATCTCTACGAATGAGTTTTACTTTTCCTAAATGTGAGGGTTTATCTGAATGAAAGTCTTTTACTAAAATCTATTTTTCGTCAATCTATAGTTTTTCTATGGTTTTATTAAATAAAATATAAAGTAAATACATAACCGAAGTTCCACTAAAGTCGTTTTATACAATATTTTTAATTTTAAAAAATTCATGTCAACATTTTATCATGTAATTTTAAAATGGCAAACGAAAATCTACTTTTTCAGCTTAGACTTTAATTCAGGAGAACAAACTATATTAAGGATAAGATAAAATTATCCGTAGAGGTGCTTAGCCCTGAGTTTTGTTTTAAAATCACTACTCAGCTTTTCAATAATAGAAAATCAGAAGTAATCAAGTACATTCTTGATGGACTTTGGAAAGTTTTACTTTTACTTACTCAATGCACATTCAATTTGCATAGATCCAGTAAATTCAAAATTTGTAATTATTTTTTAAATATTTGCTCTACAATTATTAAAAGTTATTGAATTTTATTTTTTAGATCATCATTAAATAAGTTTTATATTCATTTTGAACCGAAGAATAATTAATTTGTTGCACTGCGACAACCAAATTCTTTAAAGTTTTAAAATGATTTTTTTTAAATCTAAAAGTTAATTTCTTCCACCTAAACTCCAATCCAATTTTAATTGAATTGTACTGGAACAAATTTTGGGAATATATCGTATAATATGAATCAAAACATATCAAGCATACGATTCGAAGATCAAAAGCATTTATTTAACATTTTATTTTCAGTCTAAGAAATTAATTTATGTTTTAGAAAATTTGGGAAATTCCTTTAAAATCTTTAAATTTTTAACTATGACTTTACTATATTTTAATTAAGTAAAATAAGAAATAAGCTTGGTGATTCGGATATCATTTGTAAACACCCTTCCCAAATGATAACTGAAAAAGCAATTTCCTTGGAGTGTTGATGACCTTCTGTTTATCCAAAGGCTTTAACCGACCATATAATATTTTTATCTAAATTAAATTTAGATATATATTCAGGGATAAAGGGATTAGCCCCAATGAAATTCCAAAAATAGGGCATTTTCTTAATGTATTACTGGTACGAAAACTAATACATTTTTTTAACAATATCATTATATTTCACATATCTTAGAATTTTTGAATTAACAAACACCGCGTTTTACGGTGACCAATTTTGACCAATTTAACTAGTGATTGTCAGTTTAAAAAAATTGTATTTTTTTACCAAAAAAAGTTAAAAGCTTTAGTTTTACAGACAAAACTATCAATCGTCATTTGTATCGAATATAAATTTTTCGAGAAAATCGCGATAACAGTTTCAACTTCAGTGGTAAACTCAGCAGATTCTTGTTGCTCTAAGGTCATATCTCTGTCAACATTGCTCGTATTTAAAAAAAAAAAAATTTGAAAAAAATTACTAAGCTCTTTCCAGCATTTTTTTTAGAAGAAATAATCAATAACATTTCGTTTACTGATCATGAAAAGCCTTCACAACTTAAAACCCGCGCACAAATTTTAATTTTCTTCTAATATATTATGTTCTTAATTGGCTTACCAAAAAATGTTATTCTAAATAATTCTTAATAATTAAAAATGGCTTGTTTTGACCCGTGATAGTTGTTAACTAGTGCCTTAAAATGCAAACTATTAACTTGGACATTCTAATTCTAAAACTAGTATTAAGTTTCATTTCCAATAAACTGTTTTCAAGATATACACAAAAAGCATATTCAGTCCCGGTACAGTTTTCACTCGAAAATGGAGTTGTTAATTGGGTTTTCCTCTATCAGAACTAATTTCGTTGGTTGAGGAGAATAAACGATTCTTAAGAAGAAGATGACTTACATGAAATGAAATTGCACTTAAATAACACAAGGATAAAAATATGAAGATTTTTTAGAAGATTATTTAAATTCATGTTATTACAAACTTGGTTATAGGTTCTTTATAGAACATTGATGTTTTTAAATTCATTTATTCATTTAACTTAGCATTCCCATTCATTCATTCTTATAAAACCAAAAAAATTTAAATTCCGCTTCTTACAGACGGAAAAACATGACTTGATCGACTCTACTGATGATCCGGATTAAGAATACATACTTTTAAACGAATACAATCCACTCAAATTAGTTTAAAAAAATCTTTGCGCTTGACTCTAATCTGCGGGATTTACCAATTCTAAACTTAACCGACTAACGTAATTAGATACCCATTACTATACCCATTACTCTAAGAGTTAAAGGTTATATTTTATTTTTGGAAAGTATGTATCAGGTAGAAATAAGCGTTTCCGACCCCATAAAGTATATATATCCTTGATTGGGATCAACAGACAAGTCAATTAAGCCATGTCCCTCTGGCTGTCATAAGTTTAGGGTTCATACGCAGCCACGCCCCCAAAATCTATCGACACTCCAAAAATGTTTCAGATCGCACAATTGCTTTGGAAGTTATAGGTCATATTAACTGTTAATTATGACGCACTGCATATTTCAAAAACGAAATTCAAATATTTAAGAGTGCGGAAAAGGGCGAAATACTGTTAGCGGGGGCGGGGCGCAGGTCGTTTTCAGTTTGAGGTGTTGGCACTGCAGTCCGGCAGATGGCCCCACCTAAAATTTTCAAAATGCGCCATAAATGAGTAAGGCGGTACACTCGACTACAGCCTTCCTTTTATGTATTTGGTAATTTAAATATAAAAGCTAGGAAATATATGAGATCGGTTACAAGCATTTCTCGATTTGATGAGTGGGAATTTAATTCTCTCGGAGTTAAATGGGTATCGACAGGTTTACAATCTAAAACAGATCTGTATTCCATATGAATGCGCTTAAATTATCGAATTTTATTTCCATATGCGTGCTTTTAGATACTTCTCTATACATTTAATTGTCATGCATTTGCAGTTAATTTAACCCATATATCTAAATCGGACATTTTTGATTAATCATTTTAAGTACCCTAAATGTATTTATATTGCCCTTTCCGTTTTAAGTGTATGTATCTGTATCCGTATGTCTAAAATATATATTCCTCTATTTTGTAAACGCAATATTTTCAGTAAACACACAATATGTGTACATACATACAATATTTAATGCCAAATAAATATTTTCCGGCGATAGCTGTATATGTATATATATTACATTGTTTTAATTTTTTGCATTTGCCTTTGGTTCATCAACCTGTAAGCCCTAGATCGAATTAAATATTTATCCATACCAACCGATGTTAGTGTAAATTTTAGAGCTCTACACGGGTGAACTTGTAAGTGATCACTTTGTAAGCAAATCCAGTCGAGAGTAGCAACTTTTCATTCGACTCGTGCTAAAATGAAATTGGTTTGTCAACTTGAAGACTTGTAAGTCTTGCCGAAAATCTTAGGTATACTATGGAAGAGACATCATTTGTTTATGATCTGCCATTTGCATAAAACGAATAGTATTATAAACCTTTAGAGTTATAGATCTTTAGCAATCACTAAACTCCCATTTTGCGAATAAAACAGGATGTTGTAATAATTCGGTCAGTTATTAGGAATAATGTAGTGAAAATTAAAGTGTGCCATCCTCATCCTAAGAAATATCATTTGTTTCCCTTTATCTTTCTGTTATAAGCGACATGTTTAGAAATCCTCATCTGAAGAATTCGTTTTATATGTATATATCAAGCTTTATGCGTATATGTTAAAAGCCAACGAAATTATTCGGTTTTTCTCTTAATTTGCCAAAATTTTTTAGATCTATGTATGATGCCTCCAACTTGTATAAACTTAAAACCATATATCACTATATGTTGTATGTATGGAGGGCTATAATTTTTTTCAATTATTGCTCAGATCCGTAACGTTCCGACCTATGTAAATATAGATATAGTTTATAAAGAAATAAGTTCGATCCAGTTTCTTAATCTTTGAAATTATCAGATGATAAAAAGTGACTAAAATAAATTTAATAAAATGTATATTTACCAACAATCCACTTATAATTTTTTCGCTCAACATTAAAGTGTAAAGTATAAATTAAGGTAAAGTTTAGCACCAGGCGAAATACAAATTAGTTGGTATTACCCATTAAAAAGTACGTAAAAATTAAATATTTGATAGTTTCACCAAGTTTTCTCATAACGTGAAAGAAAGTTTCCTGTTTCGAATTATTAATCTACAAGTAACTTCTTTTCAGGATCAGAAGCGTTAAGTCTAGTTTTTTTTGTTGACCAGTGATATAAAGGAAAGAGCTGCACGATGCCAAAGATCCAAGTTTTCAGTAAGGAGCCGTGGTGAACAAACTTGATATTTTATAAAGGTTCGGCCGGTAATTTCTCTTTTTTGATTTAAAAACTTTGGTTAGAGTACGAAATCGATCTACTTTTTTTTTTAAACCAAACGATAAATGGCCAGACAACAAACTAATAAAAAAAATAAATATTTGAAACTCACTTAAGTCACTTAAACAATTAGTTGGAAAGAGAACCTAGTTCTTTATTTTAAAATGTCACCCACATTTTTATGGCCTATTCCCATAAATTGTGTACAGTTTCACCCCATTACGAGCACTCTTATTTGGTCCTCAAGGTCCTCTACAAGGCAGCAGATATAGGCGTCTATCCCTTTCTATTTGATGTTTTTTCGTAGTCAGATCGTAAATTGTTACTTTTATTGTGTGATATTTATTGGACAATCGGTGAATGTGAGAAATATGATTTACTTGTATTTAGAATTCGCGTCTATGGTATTTGTCAGGGTCGAAATATGATGTAACGACAACGCGATCGCTGAATTTTCTTCCAGTAAGTGCCTGCTGAGCCTTCTGACAGTCGAGAACCGAGTTAAATTCGACAAAAACTTTGCCACATCCCGGGACTTCCACGCCTTCTATGGGACGCGGTATCTCCACGCTTCGCACGACTCCGTACTTCGTGCACTCTTCCTTGATATCCTCCAATATATCCTCGTACTCCTCCTCGTCCCGCAGTTCATCAGGGGTGACCATGTTGAGCAAGCAAAGCACCTCTGTCGGTGGTCCGGAAGTTACCACGTTTGACAGACCCGGTACTTGCAGCATTACGGATTGAGTGGTGTTGGCAGCGTTCTGGGCATTCTTAGCGCCAACGCTTGCACGTTGAACAATCAGTTTCTTGTCACCCAGCTGCATTCCATTCAAGCCAGCAATTGACTTTCAATAATAAAATAAATAAAAAGAGAGAATACCATTAGAACAAAGTTTTCCTAAATATTAATCAAAATTGAGCAAAAACAAAAATTATTTCACTGCAAAACGCTTGAACGCTTTCTGGGAATCTTTCTTATTTTACTTATTTATAAGTAATTTTTACGGTATTTCCATGTTGTTTTTTTCTTTAATTGCAATGCAATTGAGTACGTTTCTTACCTGATCAGTGATACTTAGATCCACATATTCGCAGAATGCGTACCCTTTGCTTAATCCAGTAGCAGCGTCTTTAACAAGGTTAAATGCTCGTAGCTTGCCAAACGACAAAAGTAATTCCTTAACCTTGAAGAAAACGTTGTCATTTTATTTTGTTAATAACAATATATGCTTTTTTACAAACCTGATCGTCATTTAAATAGTTTGGCAGACCTCCAATGAAGATTTTGTGAGGGGAGTCCGGAACCACTGTCGAAATAACTCCGCTCGAAACTGTGAAATGGGCGCGTTAGATGGCTGGCTTTGACTAGGAAACTGAAGCAGTGACTTACCAACAGCGGGCTTAATTGCTGGTGTATCCGTAATACCTGGCATGGGTTGATAATCATGCGGACGCCTGATCTTCAAGCTCTGCCCCTTCAAATTGATGCCGTCGAATGCCATCGCCTGGGTGGTTTCATCTATTGATCTGAACTCAAGGAAAGCGAAGTTTTTGTCTAAATTTATCTGGCAGGCCAGCACCGGACTGCCGGCCGCTTGTGCCAGGCCAACTAAATGCATCTGTTGGTTAAAGAACTCCATCATCTCCTCCTCGGTGACGCCAAACGGAATGTTGCCCACGTACAGACGACGCGCCTGTCGGGTGATTGTCGATCCGACCACTGGCACCGCCGTCTGGGGCGTGTCCGGCACAACGCTGGCCGGGATTTGTCCGGACGCCTGCATGGCTTTGTACTGCATTGGGGTTATGTGCTCGAATCCCGGCGGCGGCACATCCCAGTAGAGCGACGGCTTGCGCCGAGAGTTGCGATGATGGCGACGGTCCCTGGAGCGATCGCGATGGCGGTCACGGGAGCGGGAACGATGGCGGCGTCTCTCCCGGTCACGTTCGCGATCTGTAAGGATAGATATTATAAATAAATGTTACGAATTAATCAGAACCGAAGGCATCACTGCATTTGACGTTCAGCATACACTCTGGTACATTCACATATATATCACACGCATACACTCAAATGTTTTCAACGAACGCTTACTTGCATCTTTGCGATAACATCACCTTTTTGCAAATAACGAATTGTTTGCTGTTGAAGATCGATCATTTCGTTAAATGCACCGGGTTGAATAAAACTACTGGGAAAAGTATCCGAATATGGTTAGACATTCATACAGACATACATGTGTACAGATTGATATGCATGTATGTGAACCGCCGGGGTAAAAAAAAAACAACCGGTCAAATACTACAAGCGGTTAACAGAGTGCATTAAGTGAAATTGAACTGTGATAAATCGAAAATAAACTCTGCAAAGCAGGCAATTCTGCATTGTCAAACAAATCTGGTTGCACATTTTTCATTTCTTTACTTAATAAAATACGCTTGTATGTATGTATGTATACGCATACATCCATTTATGCACACTTGGGCATCTAAATGCGAGCCATGTATTCAGTCTTCATTTAACTCACCATCATATCCCATTGTTATATTTAAATAAAATAAATATCTTTATAAACGACAACAATTTTAACTATATAAAATGCCGATGAAAAATGTATCCCTTTATTGCGTATATTAATGCAGATATCTGCGAAACGATATAAAACAGAACACGTGAAAACTGGAGAACAATGGAATGGAACGAATAGAGTACTCCGATTTATCGAACAGTTGCATTTTCAAAAACATCGTTCAACGATTAATCGGCATGATTTCACTTTGTAAGGTAGCTAAAGAAAAAAGCCCATGATCTAATTTATTTTGGTGCAATATCCAATTCTAGTTGTTTAAATAACTTAAAAAAACCACAAGAGTGATCTAAAACTTGGCATTTCAAAAATGCAAATATTACAACGTTTATTGCTCTTGCAAGATAATAACGACTGTGACGTCATGCGCAATTGCGCACCTTCTCAGTCATGCACAGATTGTTTTGTTTTGCTCGTAAACGGCCGGTGTTTTTGTCATTAAGACTACTATGAGCATTAAGATATATTTACCATTCAACTACTATTACCTTAAGAAACTCACAAATTTGTACGGCCATGTGCAAATAAATGAAGATAATGTCGTAGTGTATTACGTCCTTGAAGCTTCAGATTTAGAATTTCGTGAAAAAACCATAAACCATGTAGCGGACAATACGCGATTCTTGGGTTCTATCCTGAATGGGGACTTCAATGCAGATCAAAATCAATATCTTAAATTCAATATGCGGCTGTGTTTTACGTACAATAGCAGTCAAGCTAATATAACGCTGGTTTACATTGGGATTACCCCAGAATATCTAAAACACATTAAACTAATTCTCTATGATAAACAAATTATACGGAATTTGTTGGTTGGCGGGGAGTCTGTAAATAACCGACCTAAAGCATATAATGAGAGCAATGATTGCGACTTCTTGGAGCTATCCAGATTGACACAGCCCACAGTTGATACTCATGGGCCAACTAATACTAAAAAAAAGCGTGTCCTATATCTGCTAACTCTCATTGCCGACGCTCCAATTACAATGTTTAGATATATTGTAGAAAATGCGTTCGTCAATATCATAATGATTCATACGACTATCTACAAACACTTTAAGGAATGGCAAACAACCTGTGATAATCGGTAATAAAAGGAAAAAAAACCATATTCATTTAATCGATACTAAATGTTTGTAAATATACTATTTTGCTTATCTTGGCAGAACTCGCCAGGCTAACATTGCACTTGATAGAATAATGGGAATGATAGTGATGCTAATACTTTTTTCATTAGCGACACAGCCGGGAGATTTTCTTATACCTATATCGCACGTAAGTCTGTCACTTAACGTTGTCACTTGTTACGTTACATTTACCATTTTGTCAGTACGTTATTGACGAATTATACAGCCTACTAAAGGTATTAGAAGGAAGTCCTATTGGTCTCAAGCTAAATATACATTTAAATAATTTCTTTCTCGACTGCTTTAAATATCACATTGAGTTGTGGTCAACGTTTTTGGGTAAGCATTAATCAAAATTAACCACTCATTTGGAGGATATTATCATTATAAGAACAAGCATATCAATTTACATCCAAACTAATAAATTATATATTAAAAATAATAATAAGTTTATGACTGCAAAAGAAAGAAGAAATTGGTCAAGCAGATAACCAAGAATATATATGCTATTCTATAATTAAAACTACTCGAGGCCATTCAGCTCGTCAGTTAATTTATTTAGTTGCGATATTTTTAGTTTAGTAGAAGTTTATTTGTGGTTAATTGTCATTTAATTTTTTGTATATATTTATTTTATAAAATGTTTTGGGAGTTTTTTGTGTTGGGCGATTGTGCTTCCAATATAATGTTGGTAATATGTTATTTCTATTTATAAGTTGTTAATACATACGATTATGTATGTATACATATACTTTTTTATTGTTATTGGTCGGTGAAAGAAGCAATTTTACCTTTCTTGATAAACGTTTTTTTTGTTCCAACTAATAATTTGTTTACTTTTATAGATTTTATCGAACCTTTAGTACGACAAGTCTTTTTGGCGATTGGAGTGTTTGGTTGTTTGGGTCTTACATTCCAGATAGCGCTCCTAGTGGATTTAATATCCATAATTGGGCTACATTCTCATTGCTTTTACATTTATACCAAAGTGTAAGTAACCATATCATTTAGAAAATATATTAAATAAATTTCTTATAAATCAACATTAATTTTAACAGGCTCTACAATGTGGAAAGAAAAGGGCTGTCAGTACTATGGCAAGTAGTTCGAGGCAACCGTTACAATATTTTAAAAGGCAAGTTTAATTCTTATGGTGATACAAGGATTACTTTCATTTCTAAAATTGTGTTACTTTCAGGTCGCATAGAGTCGCATAATTATATGAATCGGCAGTTATATCTTGCAACAATATTTTTCTCGGCCATTTTGTTCTTGTTTCCAACTACCCTTGTCTACTATATTGTTTTTGCTGCTGTAAGTTTACACATTGCCCAAATATTACGTGATTTTAATATTACAATCTTTAAAGCTTAAGGTGCTAACCTTTGCAACTCTTAGCATATTTGAGTTTTTCCGGAGAAAACTTTTGTATCTTCCGATTGAAGGATGTATGAAATGGTTTATAAAAGGATGTGTTGAAATAGGTACATACATATAATAAAAATGGGGACATAAATGGTTGAAGTTTTATAATTATCTATTTTTTCAGATTGCCTTCAAATCAAGGATGTTTCACCTAATGACAAGGCTTTTTTAAAACACAAACATTATAATATCGACGTGTCTGTATACAAAATTCAAACCATACAATCCGAGCCAAATATATAATTTTACCTCTATTTTGTTAATATCTTCAATTGACTTTTTAACTTAAAAATTTAAGTAAAAGTGTGCACGAAATAAGCTGTCCGATTTATATAAAATTAAATCTGGCTTTTCTTAAATCTTAAAAATGAATGTATCTCGAAGTATGTATATGCGTTTGTGCTTAAAACAGCAAGACTTGCATCTCGCTTACTCTCCATGTAGAAGTTGAAACAATATTTATTTGCCAGCAAGTCTTGCATCTCGCTCATTTTCACTTGATGCCATACAGTTGTCCAAAAAATACTTAAAACTAACTTTTTGGTGTTATTGCTTTGACCGCAGTTGTGCGTATCTCATTAGATGTGCAAGATTTGCTGTTTCTGAACTTATACGCATATACTCAGTTATTTGCCATTTCAGGAATTGGGATTTAATAAAATCAATACAACCGGAGGTGAAGAATTTTCTTTCTTTATTTTTTCGCTGTTTCCTAAAATGTCACCTAACCCAAACTAAAAAAATACGTTTTTGAAAATATTCTAATACACCTTCGCAAAATGTGAAAGCATATTTTTATGAAATCAGTTATGTAGTAGCTCACAGCTTATTTCGTGCAGACGTAAACTTAGTAGTAGTATTTTGGCATTTATTAAGGCACTTCATTATTTTTAAACTTCACTTAAAACTAAGAATAACTAAAAATACTGACTTGTGTCAAAGCTTATTTCGAGCAAGGAACTTCATGTAAATATATTGACTATTAAATAACGTTATACTTTGTGCGGGCTCCCTTTTGTTTGATGACATCCTTTAATCGAGTTTGCATCGAAGAAATCAACTTATCTGTGGTATCTTTTGGAATATTTGCCCATTCTTCCAAGAGGGCCTTTTTAGATCATTTTTATAAGATTTTGACCTCTTGAGACCTTCGTAACGATCAACGATTTAATTAAAAATGTACGGCCATTCGAAGACCCATAGCATATTGGATACATTTCGGGAAAATAATCCTATTACATTATACAATTAACCGTTTCCAAGGCTGACCTTCCAATAATAATGGTAATAGGCTCGTTTTGTTAGCTTTACTATAATTCCCCAGATTTATTTAGCTCCTATTTAAAAATCAAAACAATGAACAGCTGTTTTTCTACAGCCTAGTATAAAACGGTGGTTCAGCGTGATTGCGTTAACTCCGATAACGATAGAAAACTCGCGTTAGGGTATATCGGCTTTTTCAAACTATTCCCATATGGTGTTCTGTGGAAATAGGCTATTAGAAAAATAAAAAACAGCAATGATGCCTGCCAAATATCGATATCACCGATGATTTAAAATCATCGATGTGTAACATAAATGTTTTTTCACATCATCTAATACAAGTTTGATTTGGAGGACGGTTGTTTGAACAAAAAAGTCTTGTTTGTCTAATTAAAAATTCATATTTTAAAAATGGAGAGTGCGGTTAAACTAGACAATTCTAATAACACCACTCCGTTGCAACAACGCCAGCAACGGGTTAATCCACCCAACAAAAACATTGGCAAGCATAATGCTCAAAAGCAAAATGATACTTCTGATGGAAGTCCGGCCGAAAAGAAGCCTCGATTTGGGCCAAACACCCAGAATGGTGGTGTGACGGGTGGTGGTGGTGGCCCCAATCAAAATCAAAACAAGAACTTTGGAAATAAGGGTGGTTTCGCTGCCAACCGCAATCGCAACCGCGGAGGAAATCAAAACCGGACGAATTTTCCAGGCGCAACTAATGTTAATGTAAATGTAAGTTTAATTAGTAGATGTGTCAGATTGGGTAGATTGTTGTTCAATTGCTCTGAACTTTGCACGATTTTGGGGTACAGCTGCGCATAAATACACCTATTAATAATACAAACGGGACGCCCCTGATAGTGTGCGCATTATACTTTTGTACAATGCTATACATACACTGCTTTGACCGATTACTGTTGCAAAATTATTTATGTATGTACATGTGTTACCATTACCCGATTCCCACTTTATGCAGGCATATGTACATAAATTACCGAATACATACAATATTAACAGTAAAATCCTCTTAAAAATGCATTTGCGTATGTATACATACATACATACGTATGTATGTACATTCTGTACGGTTTCCACCTCACATTATTGGTCGAAATTTTAAATTTTCTTATTACATTTTTGTAATAATTCGTTACGATTATATTTCAACCAGTTGATAAACAGTGTATTAAAGCATACTAGTAAATATATGCATTTCTTTCAAAAAGTATAAATCATTTGAAACTGGACTGATCTAATCAATTTACATATGGGCATTTCCAGACAAAGTTTGAACTCTTAGTGTAAAAAAATTTAAAGCAACAGAAGTTTTTATAAATAAAACTTCCATGTAATAAAGCTATGTCGATTTTCCGATAAATTTTTTTTATCGTTCCTATTGCAGTTTAATGATATAGTCGAAGGGTTTTTAAAAAATTAAAGCCGATATTCAGAAATTGTTTAAAAATCGGTTATATATATTCGTATATATAAAAAACAACGCAGATATAATCATTTTCATTTATATTCCCAATTGTTTCAATGGAAGCTATATAATATAGTCTGTAGATCCGGCCCAATCCGTACCTGTAAAGTTTTATCCGAATAACTTTAAAATTGAGGGACTAAATTGTTCTACTCTCTTTGTGATGCATATCTTGAATATTATATGTATATACTTTATATAGTCGAAAACGTCTCTTTTCTGATTTGCAAACGTTTGACTGAAATAGTACCCTCTGCAAGGGTGTATATATATTTATACAACATTTGGTGGCACAATTCATTTATATATATAACTTCCGTTAAGTTTCTTTGATTTCTTTGTCGAAACCATAACAAAATATGTTATAATTCAAATTTTGGCTTGATTGACCTCTTGACGGAAATGCCTATATTCATTTTAAGCTAACTAAGAATTTCGTTGACCTATGAACGTTCAAATATTGAACTTTAATATGTCGAGTCTCGATATCAGCTTTTTGTTGTTTCTATTACAATGGTTTGGTTCGGAGTCGCGTCTTCTCGTTGTTGTGTTAAGAAAGCAGACGTGTTTGATTTGGATGGATTCCAGTTCAGGACTATAGATATTAAGAATCCGTGGAAGAAAGTTAATTTCGATATTATTTTTCGATATCTAGTCGATGGACCTGTTACCTGCACTACTGCTTACAATTTTAACTGCGTTTCTCGTAGCTCCTACAGCTTTTAAAAATTCTAACATTTCAAAACAAAATAAAAGGGTACTGCAAACGTTCTACCTCATCATAGCGATGAGTTTTAGTGCCATTTAAATGTATATATGTATATACACATATGATTATTAAAAACAAAAACAATTTTTTGCAAGAAAAAAATGTTTTGTATTAAAAATAATTTTTCGAAAAAGATCCCTCGAGATTGTTTAGGGTTCTAATAATCGACAACAAAAATACGGCTTTTTCTCCGAAAAGAACAAAAACAACTTAAAACTATTAATTAAATTAACTAGAAGCCTTCTCCAATCCTATAAATTAGGGAAGTAGTCTCGGTTTTGTATCTTTTTTTTTTGACCAAAAAAACATCCATTTCAAATTAATACTGAATTTTCGGCCCATCGGTCCGTCCATCTTTTTTAAATTGCCGGCACTTTTATTGAAAAAGCTGGCCAGAAAAGGCGGGAGATTATGGATTTAATGTCTTGTTTTGGTTAATTTTGCATTTATGGTTTTTCCTGAGTTTTTAATTTAGCTTCCAAATAAATCAATTTTCCTGACTAAAATACTAATCCAGTGAAAGAAACAGAACTTTGTTAACCTTCTGGAACCTATTAAAAACAAGCTTAAAATGAAAAAAAATGTATAAAGAAATAACTAAATTGCATTTATTTTAGGAGCATTCTATGGCAATAAGAACAATCAAAGCTGACACGTTTTATATTATTCATCTTCGTTAATTGATTATCTAAGCTCGTTGATGTTTAAATGACTAATTTTTTAGTTTGAGTCAAAATAGGTGTTTTTAAAATGAAGTTGACATTTTTTTTTTAAAGATTTAACATGCTAAATATTATTTGAGGGACTCAATATCAGTTGGTACTTCTGAAAACAAAACATTGCAAAATTGTCATTATGGTAATGTTTTTCAGAAACTAATTTTGTAACTCTATTGATTCAGCCATATTAACATGTTTCAAAAAATAAGTAAGCAGCATAAATAGTTTGCTTTAATAGGGTTTAATGATTATGGATTTGTTTGTACAAAGTATTGTGTTTGAAAACTCTTTCTTCAGTTTTTTGTTACATACAGCCTTACAAGAGAGATCCTATATCTCTCAAGAAGTAGCTTATTTTTTGTATTGTGTTAAAAGACTGTTACTTTGATTTTAGGGGAAAAAGGGGAAAGTGTATATCTATATTTAAATGGTCCGTCTGTAGCGCCGATTCAGTCATTGGATCAATGTGTACCCATGCAAAATGTGAACTAGAACGTCAAAAAATGCCAAGTTCTTGGACGCATCCATGTGGGTTTAACTGGATCGGCAGTACTGCAGATGTGGCTTACATATCAATTTTTTGTACTGATTAAAATGTATAATACACATATAGCAAAAGCCCAATAATGAAAAACCAAAAACACCGGACGTTATCATTGTACCTGCAAAGAACAACGAATCTGAAACTGCAAGCCAAAACCAACCGAAACAGAATGCTAATAAAGGCTCAAATCAAGACCAAGGACAGGGTCAGGGTCATGGAAATCAAGGAGGTCCGGGAAATAATCAAGGATTCAGGGGTCGTGGCGTTGGCTACAACCAAGGTGGAAATGTTGGCGGTGGTGGCGGAGCACTCCAGCACCAGCACCAGCAGCAGCAACAATATCAGCAGCGCGACAACAGAAACCGGGGTCCACGCTCGGGAGGTCCAGGAGGTATGAACAGCTCCAACATGGGTGGCGGCGGAGGCGGTGGTCCGCGTGGCGGGGAAGACTTCTTCATTGCCCAACGGTTGCGGAGCATAGCTGGACCCACGTTTGAACTGGAACCGGTTGATGTGCCGACCGAGACGAAATTCTCTGGACGAAACCGCCTGTACGTGGGCAACCTCACCGGAGACATCACAGACGATGAGCTGCGCGAAATGTTCAAGCCGTATGGAGAGATCAGCGAGATATTCTCAAACCTCGAGAAGAACTTCACATTCCTAAAGGTCGACTACCATCCTAACGCCGAGAAGGCCAAACGCGCCCTAGATGGCTCGATGCGAAAGGGGCGCCAGTTGCGCGTTCGTTTTGCACCCAACGCTACCATTTTGCGCGTGAGCAATCTCACCCCGTTCGTGTCGAACGAGCTGCTGTATAAGTCCTTCGAAATATTCGGTCCCCTCGAGAGGGCCAGCATCACCGTCGACGATCGTGGCAAGCATACAGGCGAAGGCATAGTTGAGTTTGCCAAGAAGTCGTCCGCCAGCGCCTGTCTGCGGCTGTGCAATGAGAAATGCTTCTTCCTGACGGCTTCTCTGCGTCCGTGTCTGGTGGACCCGATGGAAGTGAATGACGACAATGACGGGCTGCCGGAGAAGGCGTTTAACAAGAAGATGCCGGACTTTAACCAGGAGCGAAGCATTGGTCCGCGTTTTGCCGATCTTAGCTCCTTTGAACACGAGTACGGTTCGCGCTGGAAGCAGCTGCATAATCTGTTCAAAAGCAAGCAGGACGCTCTTAAGCGAGAGCTTAAAATGGAGGAGGAAAAACTGGAGGCTCAGATGGAGTACACTCGCAATGAGCAAGAAACTGAACTTTTGCGTCAAGGTTAGTATGTCAAGAATAAATCGGACTTTCGGTGAGCTAAAGCCATATTAACATTTCACATTTAAGGCGATTGCAACGTTAAATCAATATCATTGTTAAAATGGCTTTAGGTACACATATAATTTATGCCTTTTAAAACTTGATTTTAACAAAGCCCAACATTATCGAGGCAAATTATCTATCGGGACACCATCTAACATCGTCTTTAAAAAAAAAGTCAAGTATAGAAAAATTCTAAACAGTACATATTATTTGAACAAATTTAGTTGCTTGCTTTCCAGCAGAAGAATTAATACTTTGCAAATCAGAGATTTACTATCTCCACATAATAATAGTGTATTTTCTGCCATAATATCTGCAGAGACAATTTCTAGAACTGCTTTGCTTTGATCGCTTAAAAAAATGTTTACGGACCAAACACGATTGGTTCCAGGAATTGGCGTATCTTTCTTTTCTCTGGTAGGGGATCATCTGGGTAGTTGAGGATAAACAAAGTTGTATCGTCGAAGAGACAAACATCCGATACGCAGTATTTAATTTATTTATTTATTCAGTACATTGCGGCGTACAGTCTCTTAAGATCAAGAAGATATTTTCCTGAAAGAGACACTAATGAATTCATTTTGTCTTCAATGAAGCGGGTGATCAATCTTAAGCAACTTGAATGTTGAAACTCTTTGCATACTCTTATCCTAAAGTTAGGTTTATTATGGATGGGAATGTAATTACGTTGAATAATTAGTTGCATATTACATAGTTTTATATTATAAGATGGTAACACCATTACCAATGTGTATACATCGGCTCTGCCTAAACAGTTGATGATGGCGTCTAGGTGACGATCGCAAGTCAATCTCTTCTTATCTAATATTTGCATATGCTTTTTTGTTCCAGAGTTGAGAAAGCGCGAAGTGGACAACGAGCGTAAGAAATTGGAATGGGAGATGCGCGAGAAGCAGGCCGAGGAGATGCGCAAGCGCGAGGAAGAAACAATGCGTCGTCATCAGGGCGAGATGCAGAACGTCATGCTTCGTCAGGAAGAGGACATTCTCCGTCGGCAGGAGAAGAAGAACCTGTTTATGCAGGCACAGCAGCTTCATTCTTTGCTAGATCAGCAGGAAGGATTTATTAGCGGTGGAGGCGGCAACAACTCTAGCTTTGACAACTTCGGGGGAAACAGCAATTCACCATTTGAAGTTTTTAGAGGTTAGATTACAAATGTCATTATTCCCTTGATCCCGCTGAAATTTAAAACTTTCACAATAGGCAATAACAATAACAACTCCACCATGATTGGAAACAATTCTGGTCCTGGAGGACCCAATACACAGGTATGTTCAAGTCGTAACTACTTCTTCACGAAATATTTGATTACCAGATCTGTGGTAGAGTTTCTGTCTACCGCTCTCATAAAAGTATAACCGAATACATAATTCATAAACAATAGAGTTTCTCTCTAACGATTCTTCAGGTCTGTTTCCGACACATATACGATTTTTTTTCCTTGCATAGGAAATGGGGATGAAGTCAAATAATCAAATGTGGGAGAAATTTTCATTAACGGTATACAAAAGTTTATTTTTTCTGATGAACTGAGTTACACCAGGATAACAAATTTCATTTGCATCTACTTCTGTAAATCAAATTCTGAAACCGGGAATGCATACCTAACCATTTCTTCTGAGAAGTGCACATTACTTTAAAAACAGCAGGGGTTAGCCGTCTCTCTTTCAAATACAGGGGGGCTGATGAATATTGCTACAATAAATAACTTGAATAGCTAATTTAAGGGGCGTGTTCTCGTCCTATCGTTGGAGTACAATTTCCGAAAAGTGCGGATAAATGTAAACAGATAGATCGAGTTTTATTTTCTCCTCCACACATAAAAGATAAACCCTTATGTGACTAGGTGGCAGCTCTGGGCAAGAATAACCAAACCAGTCGTACTGGACAGCTTAAAAAATATATCAAAATTATTGGGAGGATAAAGATCTTATACTCGTGGATCGGGTAGCCGTGGAAAGACCGTTCTCTTTCGAAAATAACGCCAGAATCGACAACAGGGGATTGGATTCTTTCTAAAGATTGTTGGAATCTTGGCTATATAAAATCAAGTTTTAAATATAAAGGAAAGCCACAAATGTGTCTTAAATGTCGAAACTGGCGAAGCAGTTGGTGGCTAACGCAATGGATTCATCAAAATCAGCTTTTTGGAAACATTTTGTCGCAATTCTGAAAAACAATGCTGGGCTGAGGGTTTGTTGAGACCAAACTAGTTAAAAAAAAGGTGTCTATCCCCCTACACAGTCCAAAAAAATGTCGAAATTCTAAAGTGGTTACCTTCCTTAAAGAATTTAAGTTCGACAATGCCTCGTGTTGCAACTAAACACCACACTGTGACACAAATTGGAGCATATTCCGTACCTTTAATTATTTGCAGGGTGGAAAAATTCTATATTCGAATATTTGTTTTGTTTACGTTGCCGTTTTGATTATGATGGGCCTGGTAAGGCACATTTAAGCTTGTTTTCGTCTTTTGATTCAAAACACCTTTTGCTAAATTCCAAGAGAATCGGCCAGTCAGCTAAGTTCGGAAAACACTTAAATTTTACGAAGAAATATTTTCTATGTGCAATTTCTACAACGACTGTTTGCTGTTTGCCTTGTGAGTAGATAATCTCAATGATTGTTTTGTGTGGCAGCAGCAACCACAGCAAAATGAAGTTCTTTATAACTTCTGAACTGACTGTTCGATTTGGACCTTTTTTTTGTGTGAAGATACATTTTGCTTCCATGTCTTCAGAATCTCATCTGCATGCTATATACTACCAACTTTCTAGCACTTTTGGTTTTTGAGGCTTGATCAAGAATATATATATTTCATAGGGTCATAAACGATTTCTTCTACCTGTTACATATTTTTAAACGAATTCTCTACGTGTAACATGATTACGTTACTATTTTTTTTTTTTTGGTAGCTGCTTTCATCAGCCACCCTGTTTTTCTCACAGATGTGTGTAAATTGGGATGCATTTAGGACTTGATTGGGGGCACTATTTTTGTAGGATATTTATTTATGTTTTGGAAATCGTAATATTGAAGTCTTTTTAAACGAAGTAAAATGGTCTTTTATATACCAATCAGAAGGTGGGAATGTTTTCATGCGTCTTGGGGATATGCGGTTATATATTTTACCTTGGGCATGGTGGGGCACAGTCACATATATTTAATCAGATGTGGACTTAAATATAAATTACATTTTCTCTCAATTGAACAATTGTATTTCATTGCTTGAATAGGACTCCTTCGCTTTTGAATTTGGGGTAAACAATATGAACCAAGGCGGAAATCAACGCGGAAATAATGGCGGAGGAAATAATGTCCCATGGGGACGTCGACGTTTTTAGACACTGGAGCATACATTTCCGGATGAAAAATAACGTACTCTCTAACTCATTGAGTACGTTTTACATTTGACTTTTTGCTTGTTCGCGAGCGAAATGTGAAAAAAGAAAATAACTAACATAAAAGGATCGTCTAATCGAATGCACCCAAATATGCGATGATTAAATATTTTATCAAATATTTGAATCGTCAATCGGTCACAATAAAGAGTCAACCATGGATAATGACATACAAAGGATAAACCCTTACAAAAAAACAGAATCCGAATCCCAAAATGCTTGTGCTTAAAAGTGCAGGGTTGCTAAAAAAAAAAACAACAAATATTTTAATCATTACGTACATCTATTTAATCATAACGATAATGTTCGATATATGTATGTAGTGACTACATTCTCCAGTAATATGATAATTTTTTTTGTTTTTCATTCAAATGAAATATATAGAGAAACATAAATAATCGCCCATTGAATTTAAAGATGAAAAGCTTTTATTAATTCCATTAACAAGTCGACGGTGAGTATTCCGGATGAGCGCATGGACCCCAAGCTCCATCTGGTCTGGATCTTTCAATTGGATTAGTCTCCTTCTATGTACACAAAAGGACAAATGTGTACAGAGACAATATCACAAAATTCGATGTTTTCCCAACAAAAATATGTTTGTATTTTGTTATAATTTTAACCATTTCTAAAGAATTGTATGATTTCAAAATTATATTAGGGTTAAATCTTCCTTCACTTTGTGCAAATCCAAAGTTTTAAAACTCAATTGCTCCGAATTGCTTTTTAAATCTTTGAAAGTTTTTCCCAAAACAGACTATTTAATTTTTTGTCTTTTTTAAAACTTGATGACTCTATTTTTTCATTTTTATTAAAAAGTTTTTTAAAATAATTTGTTTTGCATTTTTTTAAGCTATTTCAATATATTATTTAATGTTATATTTTAGTTTACTTTTTTAAAAATGACCGTTCGGCTGTTTTCTAATGAAGATGGGCACACTGCAAATTAGTCAAATATTTTTGACTAAATCAATCAGAAGAATGTGGTTTTATTTATGTTTGATTTTTAAAATGATTAAGAATTATAGCTATATGGTGTTTGATTGTTGGAAGAAAACAAATTTCAAGATATGGGCATTCGGGTTCATAAATTCTTTATTAGACAGTCCGAATATAAGAATCCTACCATAATTCCTAAAACACGCTGATGCGACGAAAATGAAACGAATTTTAGAATTATTTTTCAGCATACATATATACTGTTTTGCAAATTAAATCAAACATGCTTGTTGGTTTCATGCCTTACTACTTTTGGGGAGGTCCAGGGTAAGGTAAAATCCGAATCCTTACTCTCAGATTTTGGTGGGAAATGAATTCGATCTAAAAACAACCAATTTTAATTTAAGTTTTAGGCTTTGCGCATTTGTTTCAAAGTTTTCTCTTACAAACCGTATAACACTTGGAATTTTCTTGAAACCTGTATAAAATTAATGGTATAAGTAATACAATTTGAACCCAATGCGCAGACCCTAAACCAAAACAAACAAACCCCTTAGTATAAACTCGTTTTTGTGTCTCGCGTATACCTACAACTTTCCTATTTTGTCAAATCAACATAAACAAACCCTAAGCATACAAAATCTAATGTAATAAATACTATCGTAAAAAAATACAGACAAATATTTAATAAATGGCCTTATAAGAATGTGGGTATACACAATACTCCGAAAAAAACATTTGGTACTATTGTCTATTACTTATTTCTGACTCCTGCGGTCGTTCCGGCTCTGCAATAAACTTTATGTAGGCTTATTTTTAGCCAAGGATTACTGTATTACTGACCCATTTCATTGACAATCTTTTTTCGATTTTAGGAATACTATTCGAGAACTTGAAAATGTTGTTTAGATTTTTATAATTGGAAAATTTGGACTTCAAATTGTTATATTTTCATTTAATTCAATTTTTCTGATTTCCGAATGTAGGGCTTTGACATTGCAATTATTAAACATTTAAAAATTGGCTTTTCAAAATATGGATGAAATTTTCATGTTGACCATGTATTATTTTTTCCTTTTTTCAATGTGTTGGGAGGAAAGTCACCCGTAACGGACTTTTAAGGATAATATAACTTATATAGGGAAATCTAATAGGGACCAAACAGTTTTATATTTGGGAAGTTTGACTTTTTTTACTGGCGCTCATCTGTACTAAATATATTATTAAAATTTAAATACACTATGCTTGCAGAGATATTTTCATCAGAAGTTTGATCGCGACAATGGGGGCAACTATGGTCCTTAAATGCGAATACTTTATTAACATTATCAGACGATTCCACATAGATGTTGCCGTTGCTATACAGTTTGTTCGCTTCGTTTAAAACCACCAACAGAAATCTTTTTTAGTAAGCTATGTTTAAAATACTATTTTTCTTAGTAAATGATTAAAAAATGTTGGGGTCAATCGACAATTAAAAAGGGTTAATATAAAAATTTAAAAAGCATAGACTGATTAGACTCTTTTTAGTGTAGTTCCAAATCTGTGGCTTCATATACAGTAGAGCCCCGGTTATCCGGCCTTCGATTATCCGAACCTCCGTGTTATCCGGGTTACTGAATGGGTCAATAACAGTTTTTCCTAAACCTCATCAGTGACCTGCCCTCTATATTCAGCCATGTTTTGTATACCAAATATAAGACTATGCCAATACATTTTCCATTTTGTATATCTGTACGACTAAACTTGATTTCACCTTTCAAACTACGTAGAAAATAATTGAATTTTTTTTAATCCTTTATGTCTTCCGTGCTATCCGAATTTTCAATTATCCCCGGCACCCCTTCTCCACATTTCCTCGGATAAACGGGGTTCTACAGTATTAGTTTCCTTCCCTACAAAGTCGTTAAGTTTCGTCACTACGAGACCGTCTGTTCATAGTGATTGAGTGGTAAATAGCGGAAAAATTTTTGCTGGCGAAAAAATGAAAAAGCATAAGGTGGTTGTACCGACCGAGAAAGCAATTATTTTATTGAAGTCGACTTTTCGTTGAGATACCCTTATTAATGTTACCCAAGCACAACCTTTAAATACAAAATAATTAGGATCTGGGTCCCTGGGAAAGCCGTATAGTTTATATATTTTAATATTCGGATCTGCAAAAGTCCTGAACAACATTTAACTTTTTTTTTGGCAACATATACATATTGGGTATTGGACTTATTAGCAATTGCAATTTTGGCATTTATGAGTTTCTAAGCCGTTTTATTCATTCTTGAATTTTGCTAGCGCTTAGATGATAAGCCAACCATTAGTACTGTAGAATTAATTTTTGGATTTCATTAATATATCATGCTTACTCAGTTTTCAGCATTAAGCACTCAATAAATAAATACATTTTGGAAGTAAATCTGAAACATGGAAAACAAAATACCTTTTAGGTATAATAGAGCATAACCAATATGATTGTGTTAACTTAACAGTAGCGGCAGTTTTAGTTAAATTAACGTTTATCTACTTAAGATATATTGTTTTAAATCCTTTAACATTTTTCGTACCACCAAGAATTGGAAATTTGACTATGAGTTGTTGGGAAAAAATTGAGGCGTGTAATAAACAAAGTGGGATGACAACGTCTTTCGCGTTCTCAAAGAATGTGCTCTTCGAGAAGGATGAATATTTCAATACCATGGCGAATGGGAAAAGGTAATGCCTGCCCTTGTGAAATTTTATTAATTTACCTTCCAACAGATACAACAATTTAATTATTTTCACATTCAAATTTTTTTACAGGTTTATTTAATGAATGTGATGGCATGCATCGTATATCATATACAATAATGTTGGAATCATTTTAGATGGAACTTTGATCAATTTCGATTGATATTACGAATGCGAATAATATATAAACTACAACCAAAATTTAATTCAAGTTTAAAGATGTTCGGGAAATTGTCCTTAACGGCATATTAAAAACTTAGGGATCGGATCGGATGGCCTCTGCCATTATTTAATTACACTAACAGGAACTTTTCTGTGACTTTTCCACCGTTTATTTAGATCAGCACGAAGTTTGTTTTGTCTTCGGCTTTTTCACAAAGTCCGATGCACATGAGTCAAACCCTGCAGAAGAAATATATGCGGTTAAGAGAAGCAAAGAGCATCTGTCCAGATCTGATTTGGATTTGAAGAAAAGGGGTTAGGGGTGTACATTGGCCTATGCTTCAAACATCCTTTTATTAATAAAAAACTAATGCAAATGATTGAGAAAGCGTTGAACGCACAGGTTTGGAAGATGCGATAATTACTTGCTATACCTTGCAAACTATATTGTGGAAAGATACAAATGTTAATGCTCATGTAGAAACAAAATAAGGGTGTACCAATTTTTTTAATTAAAAAATCGAACATATGTTTTGCAGTTGTGCGGCTTCTTTCCAACCTTCTGTCGAATTCTTGAATCGGAACTACTTGAGTTGGAAACATCTTATCTTATTTTCGGAATAGAAACGATCATTCAAACTAGACATCCTTAAAATTTTTTTTGTTAAAAAAATGTAGTAAAATCGCTGTATATATTTTATTACAGTTTTGGTGAGAAAATTTACTTTTAATCTGCAATTTATCTTAGATTTGATCTTATCTTAAATATGAGTGTAAAGTATAGGTATGTTATTTATTGTTTCTGGAGGTCCACATCGATTCTATCAAAATCCTTTACCTATTTATGACTTTTATATCTACTTTGACGTCATCGGAATTACAATTCGTACAAATTTAGTTTTTGAATTTTATAAGAATATGTATATGAATAAATTCATTTCAGAATGGAAAAGGGAGTGAATTTTAGCTCCAAAGTTAGCTTACACAAAAACCTTCTCAACAATGGATATTCGGAACGACAATACAATAATTACTGAGGAAAGTCCAGTGGGCGAAAATGAACATTTTATTTACATCTCTTCGATGGAATTTGTGACTTCAAAGCATATCATATTATCGTCGGATGAGACAAAATCCAATCTCCTCAATTTTGATTTTGTAACTCAGCGTAGACGCAGACCAATAAGAAATGCCTTCAAGCCACATTATACATTTTAATCTACAATGTTTTTCTAGCAAAAGTTTTAATCCCATCGAGTTAATATCCCAATGAAAACATAACATACTATAAAAAAATTTTGTTGCAATTTTCTAAAGATTCTTCAATGATTCAAAACACACCTTGTAGGTAGTGAAGAGAATGGTTTTTGAAACAATTTTAAAAATCTTATTGTTTGAGCTTTAACTTATCAAATATTAATTTAGAAAAATACCTTTTGTTTTTCTTATTAATTATGTAATACTAAACAGTAAAACCCAACGGAAAAAAAATTGAGATATAAAAAAAAGGTTATAACAAATTTGTAATCGGATCGGTCCGAATCAGACAATTGAAACATAAAGCGCTGTTATATGAACCATTGACCAC